CTCGATTGCACCCTTCGCCAGGAGGGCAGCAATCTCCTCTCGCAAGACAGGGGCGGACAGGGGGTTGACCCTGGAGAAATACACGCCCGTAAACTTGGGGGGCCGTTTCGCGAACTGAATCGCGTAACCGAGTCTGATTGTGCGTATGAGCCACCGCGAGGGGCTGGCCCGCGCTAACCAGGCAGGCAGAGCCCTCGCTAATGGAGTCATCGCTACAATCGCTGACGTACCAGCGGTGGGGCAGCGCGGAGTGGGTGTGCTGATCCGGGAAGCACGAGGGTCCCGCGGAAAAGCTGGAGGAGAGCGATTCGCTCTAGCTCCGCACCCTGACTCCGGAGAGGGGGCTGGAGGGCTGAGGGAAGGGAGACCGTCCCCCCAGCGCTCGTGAGCCACTGGCGAAGCACGTAGAGTCTGCGAGCCGGAAGGCAGCGCGTCCCGGACTGGCAGAACTCGTGCAGTCACATCCGGGGAAGGGAAAAAGTGCTCTTTTACTGATGTTTTGGTGGCACTGAAAAGTACCGTTGTTATCGGGGCCCCGCCCTCCAGCGGGGAAAGAGCAAATTTCCTCTTCTCCGGATGGCCTGTCTCAGGGACGCTTCGCGGTCCATTTACCGGACTTAACGGCGCCCTGGGCAGGAGGGGCTGCCTGCTTTCGAGGTGAACGCCGCGCCCGCTTGGCCGGAGGCGCAGGCGGGGGCGGGGCAGCACTCGTTGGCAGGCGCCCTCGGCGAGGAACAGCGGAGGTGGATGGCTCGGCGGGCGGATGGGGCTTACGGCCACGCCGATAGATGACATTGCCCATCGCATCCGACTGCTCTTTCACCGCCTTGAATTCCTGGGTGAATTCACCGACGGTGTCGCCGAACAGGCCAGCCTGGGATATGGGCGAGTCAAGAAAGCGAACTTTGTCAACGTCGCGCATATCGGCCAGGTTTAGCCAGAGGTGGCGTTCCTGAACCACAAGTGTGGACATCGTCCTCCCCAGCGCACACGCGGCGGACTTAGTAGTCCGAAGAGCATAGTCGGTCGCGGTGCGCAGCTCATGTAATAAGCTTGGGTTGGACCCGCCCTCGTGCAGCTCGGCCAGCGCCTGCGCTTGGTAGCGCTGGTAAGTGGCCATCGCGTGCAAAGCAGAAGCAGCCTGGCCCGCAGCCTTATAAGCTCTGGCTCCGAGGGAGGCAGACAACCTACAGGCTTTGGACGGGAGGCGGGGCAAACCCCGCCACGTAGAGGCGCCGCGCGGACAAAGATTGACCGCGATAGCGCGCTCCACTGACGGGATCGCCTCATACCCCCTGGCAGCTCCGCCGTCAAGGGCAGTGAGGGCGGAGGCACTCGCAGCACGGGCAGAGAAAGGTGCCCTCCAGGACTGCGTGAGCCTACTGTGCACTTCCGGGAAGAAGGGGACGAGAGGCTTCGAAGGCTTCGCCTTCTGGTCCTCTACGTAGCACCCATCTAGTCGGTCCGGCCGCGGAGCTGGGGGATAAACCATCTCCAACCCCACGGCCGAAGCAGCCCGGGAAAGCACGGCTAACATGTCCGCTTCAGGATCCGATTTGACAACGCTCACCTGCCCGGAGGGGGTGAGCGGGTCCGGATCTTCGTCAGACAGTGAAAGCCCACCCTCCGATGCCGCGGAGGACATCTGATCTCCGGTGTCAGCGAGTGTGAGAGCTACCATCTGGTTAGACGGATCACTCTCACCACCCGAAGCTTGGATGGAGCGCCGTGAGGAGCGAGAGGTCCGCGAGCCCGTGGGCGGCGGATTAGCTCCCGCTGAAACCCTCAGATCTGCCCGAGCGCCCGCTGCTTTTTTAGAACAGGAGGCAACTGGGGTGGCTCGCTCTCTTGCGAAAGTTAGCCGCGATCTTAGCTGTGCAACGGTCATGGCATCGCAATGACGACATGAACCGCCCGCGAGCACCGCATTAACATGCTGGACCCCCAAACATGCAATGCAGTGATCGTGTCCATCATCCGGAGACAGGAAACCCCCGCATCCAGAAACGCACAGTCGGAGCGCCATCCTGAAAAGGACGTGCTGCACGACTGTGTTGCTCTTTTAGGAAAGTTGCAACTATACGCACCGCTCTGGAGGACCGGACCCAAAGAACCGCAGGCAAGGGAGTAACCCAGCTCGACCGTCTGCCACCGCGAAGACCCACTCTGGACCGGGAGACACACTCGTTCGCTCTGAAGTGCTGATCAGCAAGAGGAACCCTCATCGACTCACTCAGAAAGGATCTGAAGCGAAAAGGATGGCGTCTGCTGGCTTCAGGTGTGCTTATATGCTGAGATGATTGCAGATGTCGCACACCTGCGCAAGCTTACGCTGCCAATTAATTTAATTCATTGGCCAGTTCAATACTCTCCAGATAAGCGGCTTCTGATCCGAATCCTCCCATTCATGGCACTGAAGTTCCCCAACCGAAGGGGAACTGTTGTTTATTTTGTTGACAACTGAAAAAAAAAAAACACTGCTTAAGAGGGCTAATAATATTGACCTTTAAATGCTTTTTAAAAAATTAAGAAATGCTTTTATTCTAGCTGAAATAATACAAATAAGACTTTCTTTAGAACAGAGATGCCCCAAGTAGAGCCAGCGGGCTGAAGTTGGCCTATGGTAACCTTTTGATTGGCCCACCGTCCAATCAGAAAAGAGAGTGGGAATGATAGAGTGGGTTGGAGTGAATGCCTTTGACAGAGATCGAATTGAACATAACCTCTTGTTACTTTTATTGCTGAGCTACAAAAAACAAAACAAAAAACAAACTAAAATTAAATGATTCAATTAAATGTTGCTAATGAATCAGACTTTTAAAATGTAAATACTGTCACTTAACCGATAGAGGACAATGCACAAGTCGTCTGCGAGCATATCAAAGCAGGAGTAGCTCGACTAGTGTATTCAGCAGCATCGAACTCCACTGTGTTTTGTGATTGTTTACGTTTTTAAAGTAATAAGTTCCTTATAAAATGTTTAAAGTTATACTGGTTTAGTTGATATGATTTAAAGCACCATTTTCTAGTTAAAAAAAATATTATTGTATAAATGAGCAAATTCACCTTTTCAATTTCATTGTAATACGGTTTGTTATGTGTTCGGCCCAGAGCCTTTAATAGAGTTTGGTTTTTGGCCCTTTATAAGAATAAAAACTTTAGGCACCTCTGCTCTAGAAGAAAACAAAATATTAGGAAATACTGTTCAAATTTCTTTGCGCTATTAAATATCACTTGAGGAATATTTGAAAAAGAATAAATAGTTCACTAGAGGATTCATAATTTTGACTTCAGCTGTATACTACCAGATTAAAGGACCTGTATGAGATGCATAACTGCAGTCATCTGCATGCAGAAATAGCGGTTGGTCATAGCTTGTAATTTTGTGTAATTACATCAATAATGCTGACAAAGCAGACATTGTTTTGTTATTGTCAGCTGTTCACAATAAGCATTCCCGCATATCGGTTGATTAAAAGCATGTAGGGAAATGAAACAAAAATTTTGTAAAGAGTTTGAAAATGAGACTCTGGAAGCCAAAAGCACTTCCACAAGGAAGTGGCATAGTGTGTGTGAGTTTAACAGCTGATCTGATGCTGTTTGTGTGAAGAGAAGCCACACCCTCCATTGAGAAAGAGAGAGAGAGAGTTTGACGTACACAATGAGGAAAAGTAGAGCATGTCTCATGTTATAATTCCCACAAGCACTTAAAGGAAACCCTCCTCACACTCTTTTACATGTTGCATACATTTCTGTTAATGGACAATCACTTCAATTATACAGTCATTTCATTTCCCTTTGGTCTTAATACAAGATGTAACTACAGAAGAGTTAAGCTTAAAATTATTGACATTATTTGGTCACATTTTAAAATGAGATGCTAATGGTCTAATCCAATTCAGTGATTTAAGCTAAGCTAAGCTAAAAGTGCTCCTGCCAGTCCCAGAGATAGGTTGAATAGATTAAAAAATGGCTAAACTCAACTGTTTAACTATTAAACAATTGAATTGTAAAATGAGCCTATTTCCAAAAAAAAAGAGGAGTGATTCTTTAATGTTACAAAAAATGTATCCATATATTTATTGTTTTATTTGTTCGATGCATAAAACATTATATATTTTAATGCAATTATAAATATTAAAATTGTTTTTTATTATTAATGATTATATTATAATACATTTTTTAAAATTATATATACTTTTAACTGAGTTACAAAATTTGCAAGTCTTCTTTACATATCAATCATTAACATTACAGAAATGCATCTATTTATTGATTTATATAATGTTTTCATAATAAAATACAAATGATTAAAATAATTGTGAAATAATTGCAATAAATTTGAATATATTTAATATTTTATGTCTAGTTAATAATTGTTTAAATTGTTCATAACTTTTCTTTACCTCAAAGGAATCCTCACATGACCCTTTTATTATTATTCTGTTATGGATAATTTCAGAAGATCACATGTATTCAATATTGGCCTGTCCTGTTTGTACACCATGATGGATCTCATGTTACTATTTTTACTAACCAAAACATTTTTGCTTGCCCATAGTGGACTGGTATCCTCTCATTACGAATTCATTACACACACAAACAGTGTAAGCCTGTTGGAACAAGAGCAAATATATATTGACTCGCCCCTGAACAAGCCTCAGCATTTCATACAATGAGACAGCTAATGTTTTCCTGTATGTGGGTCAGATGAGTAACCTAATAACCAAACTGACTGCACATGATGGCCATTCCCTTTATGCATATATGGAGACTAACCTCCTTAAAGCAATTCTCAGGGGAATGTTATCTGTGTGGCTGCAAATCCAAATTGTGTTTTCACTGTTTTATGAGTCTGTTCATATTTTGTAAGTATGCGGAATATAGATGTAATGGCACATGCTCAGTGCTTTTAAATATTTGTTAGATGTGACGATAAAAGTGTGCATTAATTGCTTTTATTATTTCTGTATTAAAATGTGTTTTTTTGTCATTTGCAGGCAGCCAGACAAACTGCGAGTGGTTTGGACTAGACGAAACAGACGCATCTGCAGCAAGGTGAGAGGAAGATGAGGGTTATTATTATTGCAACATTTATTACTTTAAAGTACTACACTACCTGACAAAAGTCTTGTCGCCTATCCAAGTTTAAGGAACAACAAATATTAACGTGACTTTTAGTTGATCATTTGGTATCAGAAGTGGCTTATATGAAAGGCAAAGGCCTCTAGATTATGCTTAATTTACCAAAATAAAATATGATCATGCCTTGATTTCTATTTATTTAATTAGGACACTAAGGTCTGACTTTGCTTCGACAAAAGTCTTGTCATTTAACAGAAATAATGTACAGTATAGAATATAAAGTCACGGTGCAGTAAAAAATAATTAATATTGTGTATGACTCATGAGCTTGGAGGACTGCATCCATACATCTCTGCAATGACTCAAATAACTTATTAATAAAGTCATCTAGAATGGCAAAGAAAGCGTTCATGCAGGACTCCCAGAGTTCATCAAGATTCTTTGGATTCATCTTCAATGTCTCCATCTTACCCCAGAAATGCTCAATAATGTTCATATCTGGTGACTGGGCTGGCCAATCCTAGAGCGCATTGACCTTCTTTCCTTTCAGAATTTTGATGTGGAGGCTGAAGTATGAGAAGGAGCGCTATCCTGATGAAGAATTTGCCCTCTTCTGTGGTTTGTACTGTAATAGGCAGCACAAATGTCTTGATACCTCAGGCTGTAGATGTTTCCATCCACTCTGGAGATCTCTCGCATACCCCCATACTGAATGTAACCCCAAACCATGATTTTTCCATTACCAAACTTGACTGATTTCTCTGAGAATCTTGCGGGTTCCAATAGGTCTTCAGCAGTATTTGTGATGATTCATTAGAAAAATCTACCTTCTGCCACTTCCAAATGATCAACTAGAGATCAATTTATTATTTGTTGCTCTTACAGTTGGGATCATTGACAAGACTTTTGTCAGGTAGTGTAAAAGTATATATGGCTGTGGTTATTATTATTATTTTTTTATCTCTTTATTCATCTAAAATACATGTTCATTTTCACACATATGAAACTAAAACAAGTATTTTGTTACAATTTAAGGGGGACACAATACAGATAGGGCTTTAAAACCCATTTCAAATGCTAATGTTCAAAAGCTGATCACTGGTCTATTTAGTCTGAAAGTCTGAGGGAAGAAACTTTCCTGCATCCGGTCACGCACCAGCCGGCTGAAGGAAAGTTTCTTCCCTCAGACTATCAGGCTGATGAACACTTAACACACCACACACAGACTCTTCCATACCCTCACTGTACACCATCAATATGTAGCATGCGCTGCACTTTAACCAATCCATACTTGAAACAATACTGCCAACAACTATGTGGACACCTGTTGATTGTACATATCGCTGTCAATTTCATATTGTCGTTGTATTCGACAGTATCAATACTGTCATTTTATTTGCACTGTCGTTGTATTTGCACTGTCATTTTATTTGCACTGTCTGTATTTTCGTTGTATCTGTATTTTGTATTGCCTGGAGCCAGCACCTAAGCTTTTCACTCATCATAGCACACGTGCTGATGATGATGTGACAGTAAAAGTGATTTAATTTGATTTAAATGTTCAAAAAAGTATGATCTTTTTTGCATAATTAACAATTATTTTATTCATTGTTCATTTTTGTTGACTATTAACTGCACTACTAAAGCTGTAAAGTTTATGAATAGACTGAATAGTATGTTGCTTTCAACACCAAGACATAAAATCGTAAAATAAATCTCTGCATACTGGGATCATTATTAACCACAGAGAAAGCATTGATAGGTGTTTGCGCAGCAGAAATGAACACTCCCTTTAAGCACACATAAAACAGTTGGTAACAGTGTGATGTTAGATTTGTAACACATGCTGAAATTTTGTTTGTCACAAATACATGATTACCTTAAAATTGATGATTTATGGATATATGGATAAACTTGAATAACCATTGTCTAGACAATGTTTATGTTAGGATTCATTGTGTAAACATGATGTGTTTGAGTATCACCAGCTGTGTTATTAAATGTCAATGTGTTTATCAGCTTCATGGCTGGCAACCGGGCATCAAGAACCCATACAGGGGGACTGTGGTCTGGCAGGTTCCTGAGAGCGTGGACATCACCGTCACTCTCTTTAAGGTGCTTTATAAGCATTGTAATATATATAAAAAAACACATGTAGAGTAACCATTAAACAGTTTTTGGCAGGTAATAATTTATTTATTTTTGGAAGTTATAAACACCACTGTTTAAAAAAAAAAAACTTCAGATGTTTTTAGTTTTGATAATAAATGTTTCACCAGAACAGCATATTTGCATTGTATTTTTATTGCATACTTTGTTTTGTATTATATTTTATAATATGATATATTATTTCTTTTACCTGTATATATAGGAATTGGATATCATTTGTGATATGTTAAATATAAAAATATATATTTAATTGTTGCAGATATATAGTTTAAATATGTGACCCTGGACCACAAAACCAGTCATAAGTAACTTTTTTAACATCAAAGCTTAATAAATGAGCTTCCTATTGATGTATACTTAGCCCGAGATACAACTATTGGGAAATGTGGTATCTGAGGATTCAGAAAAAGGAAAATATTGAGAAAATTACCTTTAAATGCGTCTAAATAAAGTGCGTGACAAAGCACATTACAAAACAAATATTTTTAGAGTTTTTAGATATTTACAGTAGAAAATTTATAAAATGCATTCCTTGAACATGGTCTTTACTTAAAATGACAATTATTTTTTGGCATAAAAGTCTATTCGATAAATTTGACTCATCAAAAATTGCCAAAAATATAGCTGTGCTACATAAGTTTTATTTTAATTATACATTTTTTTTTCTATAGGATCCGAATGCAGATGAATTTGAGGACAAAGACTGGACATTTATCATTGAGAATGTGAGTTTGATTACTCTGTAATCACAAACGTTAGCTGTTGCAATTAGGGCTGCTCATTATATAGTTTCAGCATCGATATTGCAATGTGATCATTTGCAATGGTCACATCACAGGATATGCAATGTTATGCCTGTATTATAATTTATCATTTGCATGTTTGTTTTGAGGTCTGTAATATGTAATGATTTAAAAAGTATTCAGGCATAAAAAATTTTAACTATTTGTAACTTTAATAACAGTAAATTTTATTTAATTATTTAATTACTGCACCTGAATCCTGTTAGACTCGGCAAACGATAAATGTAAACTGTATTGATCTGAGTGTGTAGATTTGCTTAATAGATTTTATGCAGATGCATTCCCTCTACAGAATCATCTCAATCAATCTAAGCTTATAAATACTTTCCAAATAGAAAAGTTCAAGTCATCTGGAAAGTTGTATTCAAATCACAATAATTATCACAGTATAATAAAATATTGCAATGTTACATTTTTACAATATCGTGCAGCCCTATTTGCAATGCAAACTAAAATGCTTAAAAGTGTGACCTACTTCTTTATTTTTTGGCTTTGTAATAAGCTCATGCTATCCCAGAAACGTAGTATTTTGGAGAGTTTTGTCCTGTAAGAGATATCACTTTTGCTGTAGCGTGTCTTTAATTTTGTTCTGATTGCTTTATTTTTTGATTAAATTTTTGCTTTATTTAAAAGTAGTGCTCTTTTAAAACATCTAACCCCATCTCATCCCAACATCCACAGGAAACAAAGGGTCACAGAAAAGTTTTAGCGTCAGTGGATGTGAATATGAAGAAGTTTGCAAGCGCGACCCCGGCTCAGTTTGACCTGTCGCTTACACTGAAGCCTCTTTCTGTGAAAGTGCTGGACGTCACACTCAAGCTCACCCTGTCCTGCGTCTTCCTGAAGGAGGGCAAAGCTACGTGAGTTCAACAGACCATCGGCAGTGCGAGGATAAAGAACGAGCCTCCTCCAATCGGCCTTAACTTTCACTGTTTTTTTTCTTCTTCGTGGAATGGTGTTGTGCACTCCACTGAAGACATCCATTAGCCTACATATTTAATTTTGTTCGTTAAGCGCAAAGATTTGTTCTAAAACTATTTCTAAATTCAGTTCTATATACCAGCAAACAAATAAATGAACAACAGTGATGAAGTGTGGTCAAAAAACACTGTATTTCTGTATTACTCTACATCCTGTGTGTTTTAAGCAATGTGTAAGCGAAGCGCATAACTGACGCACCCTGCGCTGGACTTTAGACCTGCTTTCAGCTGGTCTATTTCTCAGTCTGTTTTAGTCCCTCAAAATAGCAACGCGCCAACAATGCGCCTTAACACACCTCTTTTCCAGACTCGAACACCCATGAGTCCACAAAGTGCGACAAATGAATTTACTATTTAAACAATGTGGTAGAAAATGGGAAAAATTAAGGTTGCGCTGGTTAAAAATAGCAACACATCAGGGCAAACACGTCTTGCGCCTTATTGTGCCGGATGTAGAGCCCTTTGTCATTGCGAGTCTCAAAATGTTGCATACAGCAAGGTTTATATTGTCCAAAAATGGTGACTAAGTGCAAATTATGTGTATCAGTTGTGGAGTGGTTAAGACATGTAAAATATTCCAGGGGAATAGTCTCTTGAATAATTTAATGCCATCCTTTCATGGAAGGGGGTTTATCCATGACATCAAAATGTTTTTCCTTTTAAAAAAAATATATTGCAATTGTCCTTTGCTGTTTTAATACTTACAGTTTTTAATAGTAATTCTGAGACGCTTTGTTTGTTTTATTACTATTTAAAAAAATCACTCATATAAAGTTTTTGGTCTTACGGCCCACTCATAATCATGTTGAATAATTATGATTTCAACATTGTCTATAATATGATTGTTTGTTTTTTTGGCAAAATCGAGCAGCCCTAGATTATATTGCATAAACAGTGTTGATGCATCATAAAACTAAAACAAAAGAATACACATCATACTACACTAAAACCTGAACCACACTGTTCCAGTTACTGAACCACACTGTTCCAGTTACTATGACCATTTATGTGAAGCTGCTTTGACACAATCTACATTGTAAAAGCGCTATACAAATAAAGCTGAATTGAATTAAATTGAACCATAAATATTACATATTGACAGAATAGGTATTAGCCTATCATCTTTCTGTGTAAGTTGTGCAATCACTTGCCTGCTGACATCTTTTGGAGAAATAAGTGCAAGTAACTTAAAAAAATGTGTTTGCTTATTCTGTTCAAGTACATACTGTACTGGTTTTATAGGTTGTAGAACAAGATTACCTTTACTTATCTTCAATACATATCAACAATATTGATTGTTGTTTTCTGTGTTCAGTGATGAAGACATGCAAAGTCTTGCGAGTCTGATGAGTTTAAAGCAGTCGGACATTGGAAACCTGGATGACTTTAATGACAGTGATGAAGAGGAGGACAGAAGACTGAGTGCAGCGGTGAAAAATGCCACAGCAGTCATAGGTAATGTCGACATGCTTGCACAGACATTTGGAAACAAGTTTAGAAACAGGCATTTCCTGTTCTGAAAAGGCTATTTGCAGTTTTTATGTGTTGTTTCCTGGTTTTAGGTTCATTTGCAGTGAGGCAGATAACCTGGTGGTTGTTTGCTATTTTTGGTGGTTTGGTAGTTTCATGTTGAATAAGTGTCTGTGCCAATATAATATTGTATTTTAGATTTAAATGTTTGCAAAAATACAGTAGCATCTCAGTTTTTTGTCTCTTTGATATCTCATTTTGGGATAGTTCACCCAAAAATAAAAATGCACTCTCTATTTACTCACCCTAAAGTGGTTTCAAACCTTTATGAGTTTCTTTTGAATGAAAAAAGATAGTTTAAAGAAAGCTGAAAACCTGTAACCATTGATTGACTTACAGAGTACACTCTAAAAAAATTTCTTAAAAAAAACAGGAAAATGGTTGGTGTAATAGCCTAGTGGTTAGTGCGTCGACTTATGGTGCAGTAGCACGTCAGGGCGTCCCGTGTTCGATTCCCGGCTCGTGGACATTTCACTACCCTACCCCCATCTCTCTCTGTCCTATCTAATAAAGGCAAAAAGGCCAAGAATAAATCTTTAAAAAAAAAATAAAAAACAGGAAAATGTACTGGCAGCTCATTACACAGACTTGTGTCCACATATAAAAAACTAAAAAACATAAGTTTTTTGATGGTTAAACTACTGTAAAAAAAAACAAATACTATAAAAAAATTTAACATTTTATATCACTTGGAAATATTCAGTGTTTTAATATTATACCTACAGTAAAAAAATGGAAGTATTCTGTGTTCTAATGGTATATCTACAGTAAAAAAAAAACAAAAAAACAGATTGTGTGTTTTAATGGTACTGTAAAAAAAGGGGCCTTTTTGTGTTTTAATAGTATATCTACAGTGAAAAAAAATGAACAGATTGTTTGTTTTAATGGTATACCTACTGTTAAAAATTAAAGTATTTTACTCATTTAATGCTAATTAAGCTGTATGAAAATGGCAATTGGTAAGTATACACATATATCCATTTGGGAAAATACACTTTATTTATCCAAAACAAAACCTTTAGCAGTAAATAGTTTTGTTAACTGTGCACTTACAATGATTAGTAACAAAACAACTTTGCAATTTAAACAGGTTCTTTAATGAATACAAACCATTTGCAATTCTAAATAGCTAGAAAAAAACTAATACTATGGAAGTCAATGGTTACAGGTTTCCAGCTTTCTTCACACTGTCTTCATTTGTGTTAAAGCGCTGAAGCAAGTAAATGATGAGAGAAGGTTCATTTTTGGAAGTACTATCCCTTTAATTATGTTTTTGTTGTTGTGACTGTTCTGGTTTAGGACTGTCTTGGAAAAAGTAAAGGACACAAAATGGGCCAGTATGTGGCAGCAATTATTAATTCAGACAATTTGTGCAAAACTATTTATTTTGAAATAAAGCAACCCAGCATGCATTTTGTGTTAAAAAAACTAATAGACATCTAAACATAGACATCTTGGATAAAACAGCACTGTAAAAATGCTGTGTTCCATGCAATTCCTTCATGTTGTCTGAACAATAACTAATTAAGTCAACCTAATTGTTTTTACAAATTGAAGTGGATTGAACAATCCAGTTGTCCCTGAATAAATCTCAAGAATTGTGTTGATTCAGCTCATTTTAAATAAGTTGTTTGAATAAGCAGAAACAATTTAGGCTCAATTTGTTCTTTAAGAAATAATTGTGAAAACAACATTTACCAGAATAATCAGTATTATGATTTTTGCCATATTTTATAAGGTCATTGACAGTTCATTGCAGGTGTAAGTTTGTAACATGAGTAATAATGCCAGTTTCCATATTTAAAATAAAAAAGACAGTAATTTTGTAGAGTAGACAATAACTATTGTAATCCCCTAGTTCACATTGCAGACCAATTTTTTTTTTCTCCGATGGTCTTTTCTTTTTCATTCATTGTTCTGTCCTGTCTGTGTTCAGCTCCTCTTCCTCCTGCTAGGAGAATACATGACAAGGCCTGGAGACCTGTTGTAGACTCAGACACAGGTAGCAGAATAACTGCTATGGCTTCTTTTCCCACCCCTCTTTATTATGATTTCATTCCTTTACAAAAGAGTTGACATTTTATGTTTAATTTCAAGATTAATAAGAATTATTTATTTTGCGGTGAGCCTTATGTGCTAATAATTCTTGTTTAATTAATTGCTATTAAAATACTGGGACCGCTTATATAGTTTACATTCAATAATTGTTTTTGTTTATTTTGCAATGTATGTTTTGTTTTATTTTCTATTGTTTTATATTATATTTATACAATGTATACAAGAAAATACCCAGTAAATGGTCATTCAGTGTATGAGTAGTTTAACAAAATCTTTCAGGCATATTTATTGCAATAATCATTTAATGACATATTAAAATACAGTCCCAGTGCAAACATAAAATTTTACGTATTGCTAACAATTAATTAATATGCAAAATACTCATCTATTAATCAATACTAATTCATTGTAATTATAATTTTAATACTCTGGCATGACAGACCTCTAGGTTTTACTCATTTGTAAGATGTTTGTAATAATTACAATATAAATATAAATATTAATATAATATAGTAATTAAATATAATAAAATCATGTATGATTATTTCTTTCTTTTATATATCTACTGTTATATTTATGTTGCGCTGTTCATAATATTTATAAATTTACTATTGTTTATATTTTGTATTTTAAGTATTTTAATACGAGCATATTTTTTCACAAATGATTCGTAAACTTTTTGTATTTGAGTATTTTTGTACCATTTCAATAGGGTATATGCACAGACTGTTGGTTTTCAGTCAATCAGCTCAAGTGCTTCCGTTGATCTGACATGCTGGCTGTGCGATATGGGTAAAAGAAACCTATCACGATTTTCTTAAGCAATATTGCGATTTCGATTTTAATCATGATTTTGTCACAGACAGACTGAATCTGTGTTTACAGTGTGAGTCTGAAACATATTTCAAAAGAAAAACAATTAGATCTTTACCAAAGACCTGTAACATATCTCTAAAAGAGACATAAAATAAAATAAAAATCAACTAGCAAAGCTGTAACAAATTGTCTCTAGAACAGACCTATGACAAAATAAATGTGTGTGTGTTTGTGTGTGTGTGTATGAGCATGTGCGCCATCAAACTCAAGTAAGGCTCCAATGTTCTGTTTGACTAAATATCAGAAGTAGTTGTGGAAGAAGCTGTGTGTTCACAGATTTGTTTTGTCATGCAAAGATCATAGACCTTTTTGTGAAGCTGCCGTGAAATAGGCCGTTCACACATCGCATCTTTTGCACTCACAAGTTCATTATTTCCAATGGAGGCGCGTGTATTGCATGCACTCATTGAGAGCGGCATGCGCAGGTGCACCCAGCTGAAAAAATCTTATTAAAACTTATTAAAATGTCTCACTGTGAGTCACGTAACAAGAACTGACCAATCAGCTTTATATGGAATATACACATTTTGATTACCTCAGACAAACACAAATCACCCCAACACCAAGTGCTTTTTAATTCTCTCCATACATAAAACTTGTATTGGAACTGCAGCAATGTTTTGTCAGTTTGTCATCCTCTGAGAAAATGGTTGATGATCACCTAGCAATGACAATGTTGAAAATTTTTTAACAACTAGACGCACTTTATGACTGACTTACAAATTACCTAGTTCTGCCATACATCAACCTTCCTGTATCCAAAGTAACTTAATCCCACACCACAGATGTTGACTTTTTTGGCACCGAGTCCTCCTGTGTGGAACTCATCATCCCTGTATATGCAGGGATAAATGTAAAAAAAAAATTTAGCTCATAAATAAAGCTTTTAAATAAGTATTTTCTCTAGACAGTTTGGGCCTTTCCTCGAAGCGAAAAAGGTTGAGAACCCCTGAACTAAATCAATGCTATTCTGATTCACATCTATTTACCTGATTATATTTTAAATACATTACATTGGAACATCAATGCTGTAAAAGTAACCTCATGAAAATAATCATATAAAAGTTAATCATTGGCTGAAAAACACTGGCTATGCATTTACCCCATTATTCTGTAATACAAATCAAAGTAAATGTCATGAACAACACACAAAGACTTAATTTTCAGACTTAATTCATTCTTGCTTCAGATACTACAAATAAGTTAAGAAATGTTATCAGAATAATGCATTTCCGACCCAGTGCTGCTAAGCAGTATAAGGATAGACTCTGATTCTAGGCCTGTTTTGCATCTGTCAGAAAGTGGGTGAAATTGCATAACACATTCCCATGACCTCAGCATACCAGTGGTTGTGTGTGTATGTGTGTATGTGTGTGTGTGTGTGAGAGAGAGAGAGTTTATCTGACATCTGCATCTCTGTGCTTTCGCCTATTCATTTTCTTCTCTTCAGAATGATTCCCTGCTCATTTCAGTTCCTCATCTTTAATTTTAGGTCTGCTACTTCTTCTTTAGTAGCTATACTCATCGACTAACTTCCTCTGTTTTTTTCTGTTCCTTTTCACAATCATCATCATCATCACTTTCAGCTCATTCTGAACCGGATCGGATGAGCTGTTCCTTCATCACTCCTAATGCTCCTCTCCAGTACCGTCCTCTGTCTTTATACCCTTCTGTCCTGCCTCTCGCCACGTCCTGTTTCCAACCCCTCCATGCGGCCACCAGTGTCCCGCAGACACGGCCGTCTCAGTATGCCTTCACTATACCTGCATTTGCACGTGCTCATCCACCTGCACTACCCAAAATCTTCCAGCCACCGACGGGCTCAGGTACAAATACTCATTTACCTGAAGCTGGTCTCCATCCACTCCACTGTATACATGCTCATAGCTCAGTGATCATCCACAAGCTCACACTTCTGTGGGATTACTTAAAGGTGCATGAAATCATTAATTATGACAGGCTTTATACATATGAATGAGATGTAAATAATGGTATGGGAACCCATTTTTCATCAGACTAAATATAAAGCTTTATATATTTTTTGTTCAACAGTTTGGGATCAGTATGATTTTTAATTTGCATTTTGCATGAATTTGCATGCATTTAAAAGTCTTTTTTTTTTCACCATTTAACTGATATAGTAAAATACACTTACTGGCCACTTTATTAGGTACACCTGTCCAACTGCTCGTTAATGCAGATTTCTTAATAGCCAATCACATGGCAGGAACTCAATGCATTGAGGCATGTAGACATGGTCACGACGATCTGCTGCAGTTCAAACTGAGCATCAGAATGGGAAAGAAAGGTGATTTAAGTGACTTTGAACATGGCATGGTTGATGCCAGACGGCTGGTCTGAATATTTCAGAAACTGCTGATCTTTTGGGATTGTCATGCACAATCATCTCTAGGGTTTGGAGAGAATGATCTGAAAAAGAGAAAGTATATAGTGAGCGGTAACCTAAATATCCACTTGTTACAACAGAAGAGCTTTTCTGAACACACAGCATGTCAACCCTTAAGGCTGATGGGCTACAACAGTAGCAGACCACACCGGTTGCCACTTCTGTCAGCTAAGAACAGGAAACTGAGGCTACAATTTGCACAGACTTATCAAAATTGGACAATAGAAGATTGGAAAAACGTTGCCTGGTCTGATGAGTCTTGATTTCTGCTGCGACATTTGAATGGTAGTGTCAGAATTTGGCGTCAGCAACTTGAAACCATGGATCCATCCTGCCTTGTATTAATGGTTCAGGCTATTGGTGGTGGTGTAATGTTGTGGGGGGTATTTTCTTGGCGCTCTTTGGGCACATTAATACAAATTGAGCATCGTGTCAACACCACAGCCTACCTGAGTATTGTTGCTGACCATGTCCATCCCTTTATGACCACAGTGTACCCATCTTCTCATGGCTACTTTCAGCAGGATAACGCGCCATGTCAGAAAGCGTGAATCATCTTAGACTGGAACATGACAATGAGTTCACTGTACTCTAATGGCCTCCAGAGTCACTAGATCTCAATCCAATAGAGCATCTTTGGGAGATTCGCATCATGGATGTGCAGCCGACAAATCTGCAACAACTGTGTGATGCTATTATGCCAATATGGACCACAATCTCAAAGAAATATTTCCAGTAACTTGTTGAATCGATGATACAAAGGATTAAGGCAGTTTTGAAGACAAAAGGGGATCCAGCTCGGTACTAGTAAGGTGTACCTAATAAAGTGGCTGCGTGTATAGTAACAGTAATTATGTACAGTTATTTAAAATGCGTGTATTAATAATTTGTTTCAACTAACTTTAGTTTTTAATGAAGAAATTATTATAATGTGCAGATTTTGTTTATTATTATAAGTATTAGAATTCAAAATTTTATGTCGATTTTGTGTTAAATATATGCATGAAATTACTGCTTGAATCCATTATGACATACCAGGACAGCTCATTTTTAAAGGATGGGTATTATGGAACATTTGTAGAAATGTTATTGTTCTGAAACACGCTTGACTCCTTGATTCATTAAAAGAACTATTAATATAGCCTAACAGTTGGATTCCTGAAGAAGAAAACTTAATAAGAATCATAAGAATAAAAATGAGAATATTGTAATTATAACAACTGTTGTTCAACGTTTAAAGACAGATTTGTGTACACATTTGCTCAACCCGTCTCTTTACAATAATTTGATAGCAGGATACTACATCACCCATGATGCTGTACAGAAAATTTCACCAATCTCATCAAAAGATATCAATAGCTCCGCCCACTCACATGAATTACCCATGATGTTATTTTTGTCATTAAAACCATTAAGTATTCTTCCACTTTATGGCTATTATTATTATTATTATTATTATTATTATTATTATTATTATTATTATGTTTTTTTCCTACAAGGGATAGTTCACCACAAAAAGAAAGTTCTGTCACCATTTATCCACCTTTTATCCTTTACTCCCTGAAGTCATTTCAGAGGTCACTGAAAACACTTACTTTCTTTAGCTTTTAACCATGTGTTGTGAATTTATGAATTTTGACTCCTCGCATGTTTGCATGTGTTTTGTGTTTTATGTACAGCACTTTACTTATTGTGGTTGGTTAAAAATGCTATGGAAATAAATTGAGTTGGAAACCTGTAACTATTGACTTTCATAGTATTTGTTGTCTTATGATGGAAGTCAATGGTTACAAGTTTTCAGCTTTCAGCTTTCTGATGAGTACATTTTCATTATTGGCTGAACTATCCCTTTAAATGAACACTGACAAAAAAAAAAATCTTATGTAAAAAAAATACATAAATAAACAGGAAAATTACTTCGGGAACATTGCCGCTTGACTTTTGGGCTTTTGGAAAAGGGCCCATTTGAAGCAGCAAATTAATTTAATGGCTTTTGTTCAAGCAGGCGACTTCCTGATCCCCACAGTAACCATTGGAGAACCTTGTGCATTTGAACATCAAGCTAGCTCTAATTAAGCTCTTGCCTTTTACAGTACTTTCCCTGTCACAACTTTATGTATTGAATCTTTATTTACTTCACTTAATGAGTGCTGTTTTTGTTGTTGCTTCTTTTAAAACACAAACATCAACAAGTTTACAAAAAGCTTTCATTGTTTCTGTCTTTTCTCCTCTCTGTCTCTCATCATGCTCTATATTTTTTCCTTTAAGTTGCTGTGTCTGTCACTCAAAGGCCGCCAGGAGGTCTTGCTAACTCTGAATTAACAGCGAGCAGTCGATCTGCTGAAGGTGGTGTAGTTCCTCACCCACAGCCCCACTCTTTTCTTCCTGGGATTAGTACACCCCTTTCTCTGTCCTCTTCTCAATCCTCCTCATCCCCTCAGCAGACTACACTACCTGATGTACCCAAGAGAGGTAAAGGGCTGCTTGCGAGTCAGATTAGATGGTTGCTGTTCACCTTTTTATTTTTGTGATGCACGTTTGAGTGAAATGGCTTCTCGACCTTAAAACAAATGCATGCAAGAGGCTGGATTTTTGTTTATATGTTGTTGATTGGATGGTTGTGGTTTGCTATTGGTGGATCACATGTGATTGAGAGGTTGATCCCGCCCTTGTGCCAGTGAACATGTCAAAAGAGAAAAGTCTTTATAAAGTGGATTTAAGATTATGAGAGCATATGAATTTACACAAATATGTACTAGGGCTGCATAATTAATCGAAAAAAGATCGCAATGTCGATTCGACCCCCTAGACGATCTTAATCCAGCATTTCTACGATTCTGCCAATCATATTTTCAAGATCAGGAGAGAAGCATAAAGGCGGCCGCACAAGTCTTCACATTGTTCTACAGTATATAGGTTTCTCAGCAACGTAAACACCTCCAAATGGTGTTGAGAGTGTCACATACTGTATTTTTAAGATAATTCACCCAAAAATTATTCTTTTTTTTTTTAATGTAATGATGTATTCGCGGCCACGAAATCACACATGAACTGCCCGTGAGCTGTTACCAAAGAGAGGGTGTGCGCACCCCTCTGAATGAAGACTACATTAGTGAACATAACCTGCATAGGCTGTGAATAACGTTCAGTTTTTGGCACAGAGTGACAAACGTTTGGGAGCCACGCGGGAAGTACATTGAACATTGTTTAAATAATCATATTGCGTTTTGAATCATTGTATTCTGATTACTGTGCATTATTGACCAGAAGGGCGATGCAGTGGGGCAGTATAATGCTGTCGCCTCACAGCAGTGTGTATGGATGTTTTCCAGTAATGGGTTGCAGCTGGAAGGGCATCCGCTGTGTAAAATATATGCTGGATAAGTTACCGGTTTATTCCGCTGTGACGACCCCAGATTAGTAAAGGGAGTAAGCCGAAAAGAAAATGAATGAATGAATGAATATTGACCAGAAACAATTTAAAACATATTTAAGTCCACCATTGCAAGTCTATACAAAATTTTGCACTTACATATAATAATATATTATTTTTGTTGTTTTACCATATGTTTGAGAAATAATAGCCTACTTATATTAACCTTTATTTTACATCTATAGAATCGTGAGAAAATTGTCATCTTTATTTTAAGCAAAAAAATTGTGATTCTCATTTTAGCCAGAATTTTGCAGCCCTGATTAATTAAATATTACAATATACTATAATATTAATTGGTTTCATTCTAGCTCTTTGAGCTGTACATAACAGCCTATTGTACTGTTTGATATTGCAAAGTGAAATTTGGCGTTATGTTTATTTTTTTATCATATTATTTTAAGTTATTAATAAATACAGTGGCGTGTAGTTGAAATGCTTTTAGTGTTTACTGCATTTTGGATAGCTCAGTTTGTAGCTTGCAACTGTGCAATGTGTTTTTGGACACTATTTTCACATTTCTTTTACTCTTTACCCATAAAAAGGCCTCAATACTTCAAGAAAAGTCAAAGAAAGAAGCGGTTTGAACTTAAAATGATAGTTTACTAAAATCACCATTTTTTTTATCCTCACCCTTTACTTTCTTTAAACCTTTTAGAGTTTCCTCTGATCAGTGTAAAAGAAGATCATTTTAACAACGCTGGTAACCTGTAATCATTGACTTACTTGTTTTTTCTTTAATAGAAGTGGATGGTTACAGGTGTCCAGCTTTCTTTAAAATATTTTTTATATCTTAAATATCTTCTTCTTCTTGTTCATTTTTGAGAAAGAAACTTAAAAAAACGTTTAATGAAAGTGAAGGGTGAGTAAATGGTGACAGAATTTCCAGTTTAGGGGAACTTTCCCTTTAATTAGAATAGAATCATGCCAAAAATAAATGTGCAGATCTCATGCAAACATCTGCATGACTATTATGCTTTGCTAACTGCTGTTTTTTCACCGCTGGATTTTTAGTTGTATGTTTATTTAGTTTGATAGAAAATATGCTGCACAAATTTATACAGTGGGGATGTTTTCTAATATATATTGACTGATTCTATCACATTATAATCTCCATTTCACCTCTAAACAAAAAACAAAAATTCGCTTTACTTTGAGTATATTTGGTGTCTTAATGTTGCACCTTATCCTTGCTTCCATTTTGTCTTGTTTTCTTCAATTGTCTTCTTTCTGTTTCATCATTTCATATGCCCTGTCTTAGCCACCTGTCCTGCTGCTCGTAGCAAGACCTGGAGACCACACAGCTTTCCCTCTTCAAGCTCCATCCCTTCTGCTTCTGACCCCTCCTCTTTTGATTTTGGCCCCTCCCCTCATGGTTCAATGACTCTAGCTGGACCACAGCCATCAAAAATATATCGTGCCTCATTGGCTGAGCCAGGCTCCGCCCTCACGAAACCTACAAGCATGCCTTCTGCCACAGAGACAGGTACTTAGGCAGATGTCCATATTTGACATAATTTATATTTAATTTTTTATTGATGCAGTTTGCTGTTAAAGTTTCTGTGAAATCAAAAGGAGAGTATTATAGTTTAGGGTTAGTCCTCATCACAGATCTCATGGTTTGGATCACATTATGGTTTTTTAGTCACAGATCGGACCATTTTCCTGAATCAGCCAAAAAGTGGAGGAGACAAATGTAATTTGCTTTCCATTTATACAAAAAAAGTACTGCAAGACACTTTTGGTTTTTCAGATCTGAGAACCTGTAATTAAAAAAAAAAATTAAATGAGGAAAAAAATGAGCTGAATAAATTTAAATTGATAATGGTAATGCCGATAACACTAAATGTAGAAATCTAACATAATTTGTACAACCCATATTTATTTTTAGTCTCATTTTCAATAAATTATTCAGTTATTCACTCATAAAACTTCATGTTTCATTGCTAGATGGATCATCTTTAAAGAATTATTCAGTGGCGTATTTTTGATGACTGGTTGTTGCCACCTATTGGTTAAATAATGTAATTTCTGCCTACAACTTTCATTTTTGAGCATATTATGGTGGTTTTAATGTGTGTTAAGATCCTGAGTTGTTAATGATTAATAATAGTGCAGCTTACACTGAATGCATTGATGCAGGCTAAACAAGTAGTGACAGAAAACACCCTTAATGAAACCCACCATATTCAGATAAACCTACTACCGTTCCTACTACCTACTAACTTCTTCCGTCATCATCATATTTTTACAAGAAAGCCTAAATACTTTCATACATGTTATTAAAATGACGTGAGAGGCATACCTCTCTGCGATCGTTACAAATTTAGGATTAATCTACCAGTAAAAAAAAAAATGTATGTGCAGGCCACGTGTGTTATGAACCATGGGTTGTGATCCGTACGAATCATGGATCATCCATGATCCGTTATACCCCTATACTATCAGGCTAATGTTTTTAACATACTATGTATATAGTAGATTTCAGACGCAGCCCATTTCTTTCACATTCGAGGGCCTTTTAAAATGACCAGAAACACTAGTGCTTATAAGTTTCAGTTTAGAAAGACTTATGATTTTGAAATAAAACTTGTTCACCGCAGTTTTGTATTTATTTTAAATACAGATAAAAAAAGTATTTTTTAAAAATATTTTGTTATGATGTTTTTAATATATTTGACAATGTATATATTTCAATCAGTATAATTTCTATTATCATCAGTCCCTCAAGATAAATAAATAAATGTTCTGATTTGCTTTTTAAGAAATATTTCTTATTATCAGCATCACCTATGTACTCTATTACTGCAGGTTAACTGTGTTTACTGTATATAGAAGACTTTAACTGTTAAAGTTATTAGTAAATTAAAGTTATTTGTAAGTGATAAAGTTATGGTAACTTATAACCTTAACTTTTCTGATTTTGATTGTAATGCAATAATGTGCACCTTTTGTAAAGCTGCTGTTCACAAAAAAATTATACAAATTATACAAATAAACCTGAGTTGAATTATTATCACCAGCGCTTTAAGTCTTTATGAAGTTCTTAAAGTCTTACATTTTTACATTTCATGTTATTTTGCTAAATTGTAAGTTCAAAATAACATTATTTAAGTTTATAATCACTTTTGGTTTATTTATAACGAATAAATACAAATAATTTCAATTAAAAATTTCAATTAAAAAATGAAATGTAACTACTACTGGCCAAGACTTTTGAATAGAAGTGAGGACTGTTTCTGAAATTGTAAACCATCTGTCAAAGAAAGGTAAACAGAAGATGTGGGTCGCTTAAATTATAAACACAGTCTGCCTTTAACCATCAGAAACAAACAGACACAAATTAAAGCCATATCAAAAGCATTCATGGGGCATTTAATTTCCGTTTCACCCCCTCAAAAAATGTTTTCTTTATTTTTCAGTCATTATTCCAACATTGCAAATCTATGCTAACCATTTTAATTTTCTTTTTCCCCTCTCTCTCTTTTTCTCTTTTTTCCCTGTGTTCTGCATACATACACACTCACTGGTTCATTCATCAACTTTCATCATTGACCAACGAAATCATGCTCCACTCCAGCATCTTGGCAGAAAGAGTGGAGATCTCCAAAGCTGCGGCCTGCTCTGTGTCCTGCTCCATCCACATCCTCACAACATACTAACCAGCAGCTTCGCCCTGCACAAACACATCCTCTAATGCATGCCCCCATTCTCACACTCCCTTCACCCCCGACCGTGGTGTTTTCCACTGCTACTCCAAATCCTGGTCTAACATCTCCCAGTGTCGCTCCCTCCTCTGAGATACTCAGCCCTGTCTCTGTCCCTCAAACGCTGTCATCTGCCATCCTCACTCCTCCTCCAGCATCACTTGTTGGCCCCATTGCTCCTAGTTCTAGTTCTCCATCTGCCCCTTTTCCCTGTGTTTCTGCTCTCCTGTCTACTCCTCATCCCGCTGTTTCTGATGCTCCTCTGTGTCTCACTTCTGATGTTGGTCCTGTGGTCATCACTCCTGTTTTCTCCGATCCAGGTAGAGAGAGAGAAAATATACTCCTGATGACTATTTTAAATCTGTCTGCATGTGTTAAATTAATGTAACGATCTGTTTTCATCTTATGAGTTTCAGATGAAAATATTGTCTGCAGTGTGAACAGATTTTGGATGCCCTTTTTGTGGAGTGTGAATATTGTGAAAACTCTAAGACTCGCTGTTTAAATCAATCATGCCTTGTTTTTTTTAAAGGAATAGGTTTATTCAAAAATGAAAGTGTCATTTAGGCGGCACTTTGGCTCAGTGGGTAGCACTGTTGGCTCACAGCAAGAAAGTTGCTGGTTCGAGTTCCGACTGGGCCAGTTGGCATTTCTCTGTGGAGTTTGCATGTTCCTCTTATGTTCATGTGGGTTTTATTCCGGGTGCTTTGGTTTCCCCCACAGCAGTGTTGAGGAAAGTTACTTTTGAAAGTAATGCATTACAGTATTGAGTTACTCCCCCAAAAAGTAACTTGTAACTGCCCATGATTTAATGTACTCGCTTTGCTTGCCCTAATTGGAGTCACCACAGGAGGGCGCTCTAGACTAATAGGATTTAAGTGAGACAAAGCAGAGTAAGAGCAATTCACGTTTGTTCACGAGCTAACAGGTACAGCTCGGAAGAATGCCTTGAGCAGTTACATAAATTAGAAATGCGTTACGTTACCTTTGAGTTACTTTTTACTTGGCTGAGGCTTGATCTCTTGCAGGATTTTTTTTAAAATAGAGTAGCACTGCATTTAAAAAAAAGTCTGTATAACCTACACCTTCATTTACTTAAAAAAACACATAAAATCTTCTGAGAACTTCCTGACGCTGCATATATATACAGATTAATGAAATTTAAAAGCAGTGTGTTTGCTACTTTTGTATTTTTGTCTAAAAGTAACTTTTTTCAAAACTATTGCGTTACTTGTTACTTAGGGTGCTTTCACACCTGTGAATCGATTCAGTTGTTCCGAAACAGAGATTACAATTGTTACATTGTTGCTCTTTACTCTTGGAGTGGTTCGCTTTCACACGGCAAAGTTTCTAATCGGACCAAAAGAGCTAAAACAAGTCACTTTTGAGTTAACTCTCCTCACATTGGTCAGAGTGTCAGGGTTTATTTTGCAGCGTACCGCTCAGCTGTCAGGAGAGGTGGTGGTTTGGTGGTGATTGACAGGGTGCGTGTGCGACGTGTCTGAGGAGAGATGCGGTGGGGAGGGGTCAGAAGGGTGCGCCTATTTGAGGACCGGGAGGGAGACGCGAGATTACCGGGTGATCATCACTCGTTTGCGGGCATCCGGAGACTCGCGAAACTTCCCGCCCTACACATAATTCTCTCTTCATATAGCCGGATGCCTATTACATATCCATAAAACACTGTGATATAACCGCGCTCGAATCGGATCGCTTTCTCACTGCAATCGAACCGCTCCAGGGATCGTGTCAATCGAGCCGAGACCACCTCATTCAAGCGATCTTGGAGCGATTACTTTGGCGCGGAACAGAGCGCGATTGCCCTGTTCACATATGCCAAACTAACCGCGCTAACTGGGCAAACGAGATACGTTCCGAAACAAATGTGTAGGTGTGAAAGCACCCTTAGAAAAGCAATATTATTATGTAACTCGCGCTACTTGTAATGCATTACCCCCAACGCTGCCTTGCAGTCAAAAGACATATGCTATAAGTGAATTAGATGAACTAAATTGGCCGTAGTGTATGAATGCATGTGTGAATGCGAGAGTGTATGAGTGTTTCCTAATACTGGGTTGTGACTGGAAGGGCATCCACTGTGTAAAACATGCTGGACTAGTTGGCGGTTCTTTCCACTGTGACTACCTTAGATTAATAAAGGGACTGAGCCAAAAAAAAGAGTAACAAATCAGTTATTATTTTTCTAAAATATATTTTTTTAATTAAATTTGACATTATATTTTGATTTTATTTTTAATTTTTTTTAACTATTATTGGATGTTTGTTGTAATCTCAATTGAATAACAAAGAAAGGTTGGGACATAGAATAGCTCCTCTTCTTAAAAAACACCCAATACCGTATTGTTTTATCACAGCTCTGGTAGTAAGAGTGGTTGAGCTCAAGCAAGTCAAATGAAAAGCAAATGAGAAGCATTTTGGATGAGGCGAGACATGTCAGATACTAGCGAGCAGAACATTTCTGATCTGTATCTTAAATATTAATATTTAAAATAATAGTAAATATGGAAAAATATGGTGTTCTGAAACTGGACGATCTAGATTACAGATAGACAGTGTAAACGTTCACAAGACACCAATATTTTGTAAAATAGGTGTTTGTATCAATCTACAGTACATATATGTATAGTTTGTATTTAAATAGACACCTGCTCGCACACTGCAGTTGAACAGTAAAATCATAAGTGCAATGTTTCATGGTCATCCATATATCGGTGCAGAAATGCAAAGTCATCACATTTTATTTAATATAAAAATTTGTTTGCCTTTGAGAATCACACACTGCTGAAATAGTCAGAGGTTACTGTAGGTCAGAAGATTTTAAATATCCCTTAAAAAACTGAAAAATTCAATAGGTTTGATTAATAAATGTGATGTAATTGAATTAAATATATACATTTGGTTCACTGATGCAAAATGACCAATTTGACCCTCCACCCCGCACCCTGCTCATAAGCTGTTTCATTTTTTAAGACCCAAAGTACCCAATCCCAAAGCAATTTACTTCCTCAACACTAATGTCCTTTCTCCATTCATCCTTTTCTAATCATTCTCTCCTTTTTCTGTCCTCTGTCCTTTCTCATCTGGTCAACCTCAGAGTCTATCCCAGAGCTCCAGACTTCTGAATGCAGACATCAGGTTGTGCCCACAGTGGTTATACCGAATGTGCGCAGGCCGATAGCTCCTTGTCCTGTAGATGCTCCTTCTTCTCCTTCCTCTTCCTCTTCTTTAATTCTTCCTTCACCCTCTTCCATTCATACCCAAACATCTACCATAACCTCCATTTCAATGCCTTCCTCTGATTCACTCACAGGTATACAAGCAGTATGTTGGGCTGGCTGAGACTTTTTTCTGTTTGTGTGTGTGTGTGTGTGTGTTTGTGTGTTTGTGTGTGTGTGTGTGTGTGTGTGTGTGTGTGTGTGTGTGGAACAGGTTTTAAACATGTCTTGAGGTTGTGAGATCTGTTTTTGATTTCACTCCAATGTTGCATAACAGTACAGTGTCAGAAAGCCAAAGCATTCCATTCTCCCCAGTGAACTGCATTCATATTTCATGACTATAGAACTAATAAAACAGTCAGCATTTCAGTCAGTAAATCTTGATATGAAATGACATGATGTTATGCCCCCTCTAGGTCAACTTCTGAGTAACAGCTACCTGCTAATGTTATATTATATAGTACCATTTTATTATTTTCTATCCTGTTCCATTCTCTTCTGTTCTGTTCTGTTTTATTCTATTCTAATTTAGTCTGTTCATTTCAATTTTATTCTATTCTATTCTATTTTAGTCTAGTCTATTCGGGTCTGCTCTGCTATGTTCTATTTTATTCTATTCTAATCTATTCTGTTCTGTTCTATTCTAGAGTCTATTTTATTCTTTACTACTCTAGTCTTTTTGTTCTATTCTATTCCTTTCTATTTTATTCTATTCTAGTCTAGTCTTGTCTAGTCTATTTTATTCTAGAGTCTATTCTATTCTTTACTATTCTAGTCTTTTCTTTTCTGTTCTATTCTATTCTATTTTATTCTATTCTATTCTATTCTATTCTAGTCTATTCTATTCTATTCTATTCTATTCTATTCTATTCTATTCTATTCTAGTCTAGTCTAGTCTAGTTTATTCTAGAGTCTATTCTATTCTAGAGTTTATTCTATTCTATTCTATTCTATTCTATTCTATTCTATTCTATATGTTCTACTCTATTCTATTCTACTCCTATTCTATTCTATTCTATTCTATTCTATTCTATTCTATTCTATTCTATTCTATTTTAGAGTTTATTCTATTCTAGTCTGTTCTGTTCTATTCTATTCTATTGTAGTCTATTTTATTCTAGAGTCTATTCTAGAGTCGGTTTTATTTTATTCTATTCTTTTGTAGTCTATTCTATTCTATTCTATTCTAGGGTTTATTCTATTCTAGTCTGTTCTATTCTATTGTAGTCTATTGTAGTCTATTTTATTCTAGAGTCTATTCTAGAGTCGGTTTTATTTTATTCTATTCTTTTGTATTCTATTCTATTCTATTCTATTCTATTCTATTCTATTCTAGGGTTTATTCTATTCTAGTCTGTTCTATTCTATTGTAGTCTATTCTAGTTTTTTTTATTCTAGAGTCTATTCTAGAGTCTGTTTTATTTTATTCTATTCTATTGTAGTCTATTCTATTCTATTCTATTCTATTCTATTCTATTCTATTCTATTCTATTCTAGGGTTTATTCTATTCTAGTCTGTTCTATTCTATTGTAGTCTATTCTAGTCTATTTTATTCTAGAGTCTATTCTAGAGTCTGTTTTATTTTATTCTATTCTATTGTAGTCTATTCTATTGTATTCTATTCTATTCTATTCTATTCTATTCTATTCTATTCTATTCTAGTTTATTCTTGTCTATTCTGTTCTATTCTGTTCCATTCTATTCTATTCTTTTTTATTTCAATCTATAATATTCTAGAGTCTGTTGTATTATTTTTTCTAGTATATTCTATTCTTTTATTGGCTATCCTATTCTGTTCTGTTCTATTCCATTCCCTTCTGTTCTTATCTATTCTGTTCTATTTTAGTCTAGTCTATTCAACTATATTCTATTCTTTTCTATTCTATTGTAGGCAATTGTAGTCTATTCTAGAATCTATTCTATTCTAGTCTGTTTTGTTCTATTCTATTCCATTTTAGTCTTTTGTAGTCTATTCTATTCTAGTCTATTCTATTGCAGTCTAATCTGTTCTATTCTATTCTATTTTTTATTGGTGACTATTCTATTTTATTCTATTCTATTTGGAGTAATATTATCACAAATGAAGAAAATTGCAGTATTAAAAATTGCAGCATTATAATATAACTATTTAAAATGGTGACAAAGTGATATAAGAATAATGCTTTAATGCTCTTAATTTTTAAGTTTTATTTTCTGCAGTCATCACTTCAGTCACATAATTCTTCAAAAATTCTATTTGTCTCACTTGCCCAAAAATGTGTTATTCTTGTTGTTGAAAACCATTGTGTTGCTTGCTATTTTTTGTGGAAGCTTTATTGTTTTTATACATGCTATACTGAATTTCAGTTATCAAGATGTGTGATATACACTATAATAAGATACATTACCTGACAAAAGTCTTGTCGTCGATCCCAGGTATAAGAGCAACAAATAATAACTTGACTTCTAGTTGATCATTTGGAAAAGTGGCAGAAGGTAGATATTTCCAATAAATCATCTGCTTAACTGCATCACAATAATCACAAATACTGCAGAAGACCTATTGGAACCTGCATGGACCCATTATTCTTTTAGAAATCAGTCAAGTTTGGTGAAGAAAAAATCATGGTTTGGGGTTACATTCAGTATAGGGGTGTGCGACAGGTCTGCAAAGTGGATGGCAACATCTACAGCCTGTGGTAGCAAGATTTGTGCTGCCCATTACATTACAAACCCCAAAAGAGGGCAAATTCTTCAGCAGGACAGCGCTCCTTCTCATACTTTAGCCTCCACATCAAAGTTCCTGTAAGCAAAGAAGGTCAATGTGCACTAGAATTGGCCAGCCCAGTCACCAGACATGAACATTATTGTGCATGTCGGGGGTAAGATGAAGGAGGCATTGAAGATGAATCCAAAGAATCTTGATGAACTCTGGGAGTCCTGCAAGAATACTTTCTTTTCCATTCCAGGTGACTTTATTAATAAGTTTTTTGAGTCAATCCTGAGATGTATTGATGCAGTCCTCCAAGCTCATGAGAGTCATACACAATATTGGTTCTGTTTCCACTGCACCATGACATTATATTCTATACTGTACATTATTTCTGTTAAGTGACAATACTTTTGTCTAAGCAAAGTCAGACCTAATTAAATAATTAAAAATCAAAGCATGATCATATTTTATTTTGGTAAAATAAGCGTAATCTAGAGGCATTTGCCTTTCATATAAGCCACTTCTGACACCAAATGATCAACTAGAAGTCAAGTTATTATTTGTTGTTCCTAAAACATGGATAGGCGACAAGACATTTGTCAGGTAGTGTACATTTTGTTTTTAGACTGATGCATTAAATACATTAAATTATGCATGCAGTTTGCTTGAGTTTGATAAAATCTTAAACTTAAAACCAGACTTGTTTTTTAAGAAACTGATGTGAAGCTTGACATTCCTATCAATTCCATGTTGTGTGCTGTTTTCTCTTTAGCAGGGGAAAACATTTTTAATAATGGTTGAAAGCATGTTGAATATTGCTATATTTTGTGCTATATATTATATTATATTATATTATATTATATTATATTATATTATATTATATTATATTTCTGTTTCAGAGAAACACAGACAGTTAAGTGTATTAACTGAGGAGGAATGTCCTAATACAGTGAGTTCTGGTGAGTATACAGTACATTACAGTGGCTTTATTGGTTATAATCTTGAGAATCTTTCTGGACGTGGTAGTTATTGTTTGTCAATACCTTTACAGCTGATGAGGTTGCAGATACTAAGGCCATAAATGTTCCTCAAAACCATGAACCTCACCCTCGCAGAGTCCTCAGTATGGCCAATCAGCGACCAAACAGCATATTGGACAAACAGCGGCCTGCTTTTGGACTTGAGGTTGTACGGCCTGCAAAAGGGTGAGCAAATAAGGGAAAAAAACTTGCTCAATGGTTCATTGTTGCATGTGTGTAGATGCTCTGGAGTGAATAAATGTTGGTTGCATTGATGGAAGTGAACAAGTTTCTGGTGTAACAGAGTGTTTCATTTGCTACAAATGGGTTTTTGTAAAGACTAACACTCTGGGCTCGATTGTTTTAATTTTTTTTCAATCATTAATCATTAGTGAAATTAACCTCTTGAATGAATGAATGCGTGTTGGTTTGTTGTGTAAATATTTGTCATTTACAGTATATACTGACGAAGATTGCTTACGTCTGTGAGGACTTAACCATTGCAATTAAATCCAAATTCAACATTGTTATAATACACAGTAGCCAACATTTGAAGTCTATCGAAAAAGTTTTTCAAAATTGTCCTATGACAAAAATGGGTGTTGTTCAATAGTTTCAGGACATCTTTGATGAAAGGTCATGATCCACTTTAAATGTTGACTACTATTATCACTATATTATTACTAGACTACTGACAATAAGTTGACTTAAGCTAAAAAAGAGTATTCACTTTGAGCCTTGGCTATATATAAGTGGGGCTAAAATCACTCAATTTGCTTTTTGTACTATATTGCATGTTAAAACGTCAATAAATGAAGTAAAAATAGAGAGAATCAAAGAGTGGAGGTACTTTTGCAAGATAGCTATTTGTGGAAATTTCCTCTGCATTTAATACTGTGAGACTCTCAGCTTGTAGGTGCATTTGATGTGAGTCATGGTTTGGTTTTATGGATTTTAGACTTTTTGACATGCAGGAGTCATGTCGAATGGAGTGCTTTCAGACATGCTTTTTACATCAAAAGAATTTCCACAGGGTTGCACACTGTCCTCAATTCTTTTTATATTGTACACAAATGAATGTCGTGCCACTTAGGACAATTGTGATACAGACGAATATGCTGATGACAGTTTTTTTTACTATTGTTAACAAATACATATTGTAATGACAGCGATAATCATAGTGAGCTTTTTAAGTGGTGCAAAGAAGCTGAACTACAACTGAACGCCAAAAAAGCGAAAGAGAGAAAAAATTCTCCAGATGTGAAACCAGTGTATTTTAATGGAAAACAAGTTGAAACGGTTCAGGAATATAAGTATCTTGGCACAATCTTTGATACCACATTAAAGTTTCAGCAGAACTCAGAGGCTGTTACTAAGAAAGTGCATCGGAGAATGTATGTTCTTAGGACACTGAACTCTTTCTGTGTAGAAAACAAAATACTAAGAACTTTTTAGACTACCTATATTAAGAGTATATTAAGCTTTTCCTTTTTTGCTGATTCTCTTCACTTTTCATTAGAGACAAAAATCTCCTTCAAAACTCCCAGCAGACACACAAGATGTTAATATTAGGTTAGATTTAGGTTGTGATGTTAGGTGACTAAAATTCAATGTGTAGCTAGCGTCTAAGGACAACGTTATTTTGATGTCCAATAACGATGTTAAATTATGTTGATTTTAGGTTGTGTTGGAAAGTGACCAAAATCCAACGTCTGATACAGTAGATGTCATAGTGGTAATGTCCATGCAACATCAAGGTGTAACATGATTAGACATTGATATTTGATTGATTTTAGGTTGATTTTAGATTGGATGCTGGATATTGATGTCGGCCTGACATTGGTTATGAGGTCTGATTTGTGTCTCCAAACAAAATCCAATGTCCTCACGACGTTGGGGTATTTTAGGTACAATGTCAATATGATGCCATGTTGACATGCTGTGCCTGCAGGGCTTAGTCAAGACTTTATCCAAGATAATTGGTTTGCCTCTGTGGAGTCTAGCAGAGTCACATGGACAGCAAATGATAAGGAAACTCAAAGTGTGGTAGGAGATGATTCCCATCCCCTGAAGCCTTTTTTGTTCTGTTGCCTTTACCTTTGTTCCTGAGGCAGTATGACTTTACAACCTTTCATTTTAGCAAGTTTTAATTTTATATATATATATATATATATATATATATATATATATATATATATATATATATATATATATATATATATATATATATATATATATTTTTTTTTTTGTACTATTTATGAAGTTATTATGAAGTATGCTGAATTGTGTTTTTTAACATTGTTTGCAAGTGATTTGTTTGTTGTATCATGATGCTACTGCCCTAATTAAATTGCCCCTGGTGGGATTAATACAGTTGTTAAACTTAACTTACTTAAAATTATGTATTGTATGAGCATATTTATAAGCAGAGTATATTTTAGTCTTTCTTTTTCTCATATATATTAGTAAATATATGAAGAGTTCAGATGCAATATCCGCTAAACGCCTCTTTCGCCAAAAATGAGTTTATGACATTGAGTGAATATTTTAGGCACGTAGTACTCCTTTAACAAATAGATTTGCTTCAAATCATCTAAATCCCAGCGTCAGTGCGTTCAGAAATAACAATTTGTTGGCAAAAGCCTCTAAACCCCACTTGCCTTTGACAGCAAAAGCTGCTGTATCCCGAGAACCAATCAGAAGGCGCAAATCGAATCATATGTTTTCAATGTACTGTAGTTATTGATTAATGCACTTTCTTGACACATTTCATATTAATTCATTTTTCTTCTGCTTTGTCCCTGGTTTATCACAGCAGAATGAACCGCCACTTACTTTACAGATTTTTTATATTTTTAATTTCAGGCTGTTTGTGAAATGTGTTTTATGTTTGGTAAAATAATTTTTAATGGCATCTTCATTTTTCAACTAATTACATTGTTTGGATCCAATAGGTGGATTTAGAGGGTTTTGCAATAAAAGCAGACTTGGATTTAGCTGGTTTGGACGCAAAAGAAAATTTACCTTGTTAAAAAAAGCAAAGAATTGTCTAAAGTGAAATAAAAAAAAAAAAAGGTATTTTTTTTACCAGCTATTAACCTTATCATACATATAAAATGAAACTTCTGAACCTTATCAGAGGAGTCTGATAGAAAATGCTCCTTATATATCACATATTAAAGTTTTTTAACATGCTAATTTATTTTTATTTATTTATTTATTTATTTATTTTTTGACAAAACGCCTTTGCTTTACAGCATGGTGTTTCATTAACAGATTGGATAACTATATCAGTCTGATTATTATTTTTTTGGGCGTGTCTTCCTATAACACCTCATCAGTTTTGATGTGCTTTCTTCCTAGACCAGAGAGTATGGCCTCTCTGCTGGCCAGTGATCATACCTCATCCACTGCCACTGATATCACATATTTCGAACTGCCAAAATCAGAGCTCTCCCATAAAGATAAAGTACCCACTCAAGAAGCCCCTGAAGCCCCTGTCCTAGAAGCTGCTGCAGCCCCTGCATTCACCGCTCCATTACCTGAAGTCCAGATCAATCAGTCAGAGAGTTCACAGAGCCCTGCTGAGCTGGCCGTTTTACACTCGGCTGCACATGAGCAGACAGAAGACGAGACAATTTCTCATAAAAACAAGCCAGAGCCGTGTCCAAGTAGCTTTCAGCCGGCAGAAATAGAAGAGCAAGAGGCCAAAGCAGAATCTGTGCCTCAGCTGCTCTTAAGTTCAGAAATGTCCCCGTCAGATCACACTGATGAGGGGTAAGTATGGAATGATGCATGTTCTGAGACCATCAAAATTGATAGTATATAGTAGGGGTGTGTGAACCTACACTGGTCTCATGGTTTAGATTGATTGGGATTATTTTGTCATCAATTTGGTTCAGTTCAATATCACAAAGCATTGCACTGCATCCTCAATTTTCAGTATTACTTCACAAATACAATTTTGTCATTAAATACAAGCAGTCAGACATGCAGTATGAACTCAAAATGCTTCTTGAGTGAATCAAACATCAAATAAGTGATAAGGACTTTTTGTCATGAGGTGGGTGTGGTCGAACAAGCAGCATAAAGGGAGTCAATGTTAAGGCTGATTACCTCACGAAATGGATGAGGCTACTTAAAGCGTCACCTTTGAGATATTTTTTAAAACAACAGGGGCAGTCAAAAGAAACCAACCGTAAAATCAGACGAAGAAACATATAAGTAGGAAGTTACCAGAACTACGATATATCATTAATATCATTCAAGATTTTCAAACTAATTATTTTCATAATTTTTATAAATAACTTTAATGATTATAAAGATTTGTGTAACGATTCAAGATTTTTCAACTTTGATTCATCACTTCTTTTGTTCATATCTCAGATTGTTCTACCTATTATAGTTTATTAAAATGTTAATGACAACAGATCATGGGTAGCTCTAAAAATATGTTTTTTTTTATTATGGCAAAATTAAAAGCAAAAAAAAAAAAAAGGAACACTTACCAAACAAATACTGACGTGAAATTTAGCCCACTCCACAATTCACACATTTCTGCATGGCTAGTTTGTGTCCTCTACTGTTATATACTTAAAAGGCATTAATTTAATTCAGTTCAATTCACCTTTATTTGTATAGCGCTTTTACAATGTAAATTGTGTCAAAGCAGCTTTACATATAAGATTATAGTAAATTGAAACCGTGTCAGTCCAGTTTTCAGTGTTGAAGTTTCAGTTTAGTTCAGTTCAGTGTGATTTAATAATCACTACTGAGAGTCCAAACACTAAATAGCAAATCCATCCATGAGCAGCTCTAAAAATCCCGAACAATGCAAGCCAGTGGCGACAGTGGTGACAGCGGTGAGGAAAAAACTTCACTTATTGGTGAAAGTGAAGAATTAAAAAACCTCGAGCGAAACCAGGCTCAGTTGGGCACGACCATTTCTCCAATGGCCAAACGCCTTGTGCAGAGCTGCAGTCTAGGTAATAAATGGTCTAGGTAAATTCCTGCCTATTATCACCAGTAAAGCCCAGAAAAACAGGGCATCAGTATACTGTAAACCGATAGGTTCAAATATTCTTTTCCAGTTATCAAATAAATAATTTGTTACTTAATTTTAGTTTTGTAACTAGTAAATTGTTTTAAATTCAAATTTGTAACATATACATCAGTGTAAAACCTATGAATGGTGTAAAAACATATTCTGTAATTGTTTATTAAAACCACATTTTGCAATGGCCTCTTTTTTTGGCTTAAACTTATCACACAAGTTTTTCTAAATTTTCTAACAGAAACTTTCTTCTTCTCTCACTGCTGTTGCAATTTCGAGCCAAGATTTATTGGTCATCTGTTTATCCCTATGATCACGCAATAGACAGATGATAATAAAGATAAAGATGTCTGTACATAAAGATGCCTGTACAGGCATACCTGTTTCATCTCTTTAATGTCAAATCTGGCACCGCACACACTGTTCACTCGAGTCTCAAAAAATTTAGTGCGCTCCTCTATTCGAAATCATGTCGCGCGCACCCAAACCAAACCTCCGCAAACACTGCAATGACATCGCACTCAAGCGAACTAGCGAACGCGTCAAGTATAAACCAGCCTTTAGGAGACTGTCTCTCCATCTCAATCACTGCAACGACACAGGTGTTAGTTATGTTTTTGATTGATCTACTTTTCAGCTTCCGGTCTCCTAACAGGCTCTTCCTCTGTGCGGCTGTTCGACCACACCCCCCTCATGACATGACATGTTCAGCATTGACTTTTGCTGTTCAGTGAATGGGGGAGATGGATCTTTTGCACAGTGTGCCCTTAGCATTGACACAGGGTATCTTGAGTTCTACTGTACCTTCAGTGTCAGTAAAATGTGCCCATATGTAGGCTTTTACATTTTTAATTACTTGCAAATGCATCTCACCTCCCTTGCCATAGTATGCTTCAAATCCAACAACAAGCAGATCTGTCAGTTCATTGTAACCAGTTATGGTCTGTTACAAAACCGATACTGTATCGTCCTCTTTACATCTCAATGCACTGAAGAAACAATTATATTTGACACCCCTAGTATATAGTTACTGTTACATTTGAAGCTTTTTAAGCTTGTTTAAAGCATATAATGTATGCATTGCCATCCATTTGCTTATTCATACATTCATTTTACATCCCTCTGATCTCTGTTCTAATGTCCCTGTCCCTCAGCACCAAAAGCATGGCCGCTTTGCTGCCCTCTTGCCCAAAAACATCCCATTCTCCTTGGTCACCATCCACTTTGGCTGATGATACAGCTGAGAATCAAATGACAGACGTGTTTATAGATGGTCTGCCTTTAATGAACAAGAAAGTCAGTGCTTTACCCATTGATAAGAAAGTGCTTGAAGGTAAAGAGGCTTCAACTGTTTCCAGCATGCCAAATCTTCTCCCAACATGTCCAAAAGCTGCTTTTGTACCTGGGATGGCATCTATAAACTTTCAAGACGCTAGGTGTCCTGAGGATGAGTCTGTGAAGGTATTAAAAGAGTATATTCAGAAAGAGAAACCAGATGATTTTATTGAAGAAATGGATACCTCACTGTATGATCAAAGCACAGTGGAAAATATGATATCACTACAGTTAGCTTGTCCAAAAGCTGCCAACATTCCTGGATTTCCATCTATGCCTTTCTGTGTGGTCAGTCTTCCACCATTATGTCCAGATGTTTCTGAAATTCCAGGTTTTTCTTCAAGATATCCAAGCCTTTGCACAGACAAACTCTGGCCTAAAAAGAATGTAGTGATTTGTTTTAGGAGAAATAAGAGACAGATTTTACCAACATCATCAATGAAGATAAATGATGAAATGACAAGAACTATGTTTGCGATTAGACCGTCTTGTTCAGCTTCACCTAAGATTTCAGGATTTCCATCCGCTCCAAAACCAGTTGCACCAAACATGGTCAGGATTTCACATTGCTGTCCAAAGGTTTCCAGTATTGCTGGATTTCCATCTGCAAAAGTCTTTGCTGTTCAAAATCTCTTTCATATGTGGCCATCCAATAATGAAGCATCTCTGATAACAGCACAAAAGAACCAATCCAGTTTGCCACGAATTGTAAATGTATCAAAAGAAGATTGTTTAACCAGTATGGTGAGCTTAGTGCCATCTTGCCCAAGGAAAGCAAGGACTCCTGGTTTTCCAAGTGCACCAAAACAAGACATCACATTCTCTATAACAAAACTCCTACCTTTATGTCCATCAGCTTCTTGTGTCGCTGGAATATCATCTATACAAACTCTTACAAGCGAATTAGATTCATTTCAGAAATGGCCAAATGACAAACCATTCTGGATCAAGACATTGGCCTCCCAGCCATGTCGTTTTATCAATGCACATCCAGCTCAGTATGAAGTTACAGAAGACAAGTATATTTTCAACAATATGCTGTCATTAATATCATCATGCCCCAGAAAAGCAAGAAGTCCTGGACTTCCTTCTGCACCATGGCTCATGCCTGAAACACAAATAACATCTGGTACTTTATCAGCATGTCCACAAACCTCTAAAACACCAGGCTTTCCCTCTTTAGTCCCAAGCAAGCTTGACAAGGCTGTGGTTAATATTTGGCCTTTTAAGGAGAAAGCATTTATAGAGCGAAGGTGTTTGCCAGAGTACACATTTGACAAGTTAAACATTGCTTATCAGAACAAAGCAAATCTTAAAGGAATGCATGCTATTTTGTCGAGTTGTCCAGTAAAAGCAAAGATTCCTGGATTTCCATCTGCACCGAAGCCCAAATTAATGCTTTATCTTTTACCTTCATGCCCAAGAATCTCAAATATACCTGGGATGGTATCAAGCATAATACCTGAAGCAGAACTACAGTGGCCTGTAAATAAAAAGCCATTATGCTTTAAACAACTGAGCAGAAAGTGCCAGTCTATACAGGCTGTACCACCTCAATACACGGAAATAGAATATAACGATATGCTAGCATTGCGTCCAACTTGTGCAACCAGGGCTAAAGTGCCTGGATTTCCATCTTCCCCAAGACTAACAATTGAGAAGGCAACACCAGATATGGCATCGCTCAAGCCATCTTGTCCTCATTTGACAAAATTGTTAGGTATGCCATCTATTGACTTAAGAAATGAAGCAATGGGTTCAGGTGCATGGCCTCATGATGCAAATCAGCTGCATATAAGGACCTCAAAGGATGACATGATATGTTTATCTTTAAGAAACTTGAATCAGCCATATGATGCCTACCTGAATTTCCACACAGAAGACATGTCTATGATGATGCCATCCTGTGCAAAGCAATCCAATGTCCCTGGCTTTCCATCCACATATTCAGAATCTCTACAAATGCTTTATCAGACCCAAGCACAAACAGACAATGTTGGCGATAAACAAGAGACACCAACTGTGCTTGATCAAGCAGATACTGAGATGGACCTCTGCAGTGCAAATGAGTCTGACAGTAGTTTTGCATTTGAAAAGACCAAGGAGAATGTGAGCTTTTTGGGAAGAAGTGAGGAAGGACAAAAGGGAATTCTGGAAAGGGGGTAAGTTCAGAATTACCCACGTGTTTGTTATACCAACAAAGAAAATATACAGTGCGCATCCTGCAGTGCATGAAATACTTTGACACTTGTTTCTAGGAAGATGCATTGCAGAATGTGGCACTCCTTACCAGACATGCCACTATTACTGACTGTTGAGGAGAGGTGAGTTTTGCAAAGAAACAAAGATAAAGAGTATTAACTCAATGCTTTGCCTTGCCCAAATCAGATGTTTTCCGCCTGCAAATAACATTTATATATTTTTCACTTTACAGTAAGTGCATAGTTCTTCCCAAAGTGAAAAAGCTGTAATAATTTACTCAACCTTTTGTCTTTACATGTAAACAAATGTGGTCCAATTTTAAAGAGCCCCTATTATGCATTAAAAAAGGTAATATTTTTGTTTTGGGCTTCTCCAGCAACAGTCTGATATGCATGCAAGATTAAAAAACATTTTTTTTGTCTTATAATAAGCATTTCTTTTTACCTAATTATTCAAACGACTCCCATATGGTTTGTTCAGTGCTTTAATTGTCCCCAAAAACCACTCCAAAGTGCAATGCTAATCTGCACTGATTGGTCCTATGCCCCATTCTGTTGTGATTGGTCGACTGTGTTCAGCTTGAGACAGAGTGAATTGCCCACAACGGCTTATCAACACGTTTCAAGTAGTCAGAGTGCAGAGTATACAGTATATGTGAGCCCAATGCAGGAGTGCATTGAAGCAATGCAGTTAAACACCAGCATAATACTCAATTCTTAACCATAACACACATTCAGTATTAATCCACACAAAAGCTGAACTATTTTGAAACTTGACCGCCACACGTGTGTAGGAAGCTGATGGTGGATATAGCAACGACAAAGGACAGAGATTCACGAGCTCACAAACGCGTTTAAATCTGTATAAAAAGCAGTCCGCATTGCGTTTTCAATGTGGTTTTAGACATGATATGAGAATATAAAGAGTTAACCAGATACAGTACAAGCCATGTGAGGCAGTTACAAGTAACTAATCACAATTAAATACACATTTTGCAAGCTAGAGAAAACAGGGAGGCAACCATTTTAATCACACTTACATACACTTGTGAAATGGAGGAAGAAACTGATCCATGAACTGTGTACTGTAAAGTTTTTGTCAAGCTCTGACAAAGTCCCATACATCAATAGTCTTTTCTTGGTTCTTTAACAAATGGCCAACAAATTCCCCATTGTAAGTGTGTAGATTGCTGTAGCACTTGTCAGAAAACTGACATGAACACAACACAAGGCTGGAGCTATAATGCTGAGATATTTTTGCAAAAATAAACTTAAACCACTGATTCTTCACATCCTCATCTTTGAGTGGGGAAAATCATACTAACTTTCCCTCAAACTTCAGAGCACAGTCTTCACGACATGATTCACCTGGGATCTGCTACTGTTTGTCGTCTTTCCCTTTTTTTTTTGCTATTGTTTTTGTGGGAGGGGGTTTTAATTTTCCACAACAAATAGCCGGGGCTTGAGTTCCATATCGACGTCATGCTGTCACTGCTAAACATTCATTACCACGACGATTCACTTAAACCTCTCTGAGTCGACTCTTTTATAAATGAATCAATAGTTTTAAATAAGGAGCACTTTCAGATTTAAGCCTTAGCTGGATATTTCACTTCACCTAGAGCTGTTACACACTGCATGAAAGGTCATTTTCAAAAACCAATAATAAGGGCTCTTTAAACCAAGAAAAGCCTCAAGTTTGATTGACATAAAGGCGAGTAAATGACGGAATTTTCATTTTGTGGTTCAACTATACATTTATTGTCATTGATGCACAAAAGTGAAAAAAACTAGGCACAGTGTCTTAAGTGTCTGTCCTGCTGTAGATGTAAATCGCAACATCCAGTTCAGAAATTGTTCAGGAGGACATGTGTATTAAGTGGCTGCCAGTAAATACACTGATGCATGCAGTCATATCATCTTGTACTGTCATACAACCACAAATCTGACATCTGGTCATATGCTTACTTTTCTCAGACATCAAATCATAAGAGCTCTTCCCTTTAAGAATCATGGAGACGCTCTGGTTGAAAAAATGGATGTAGATGAAGGTGTATTATCGGCATCACTAGACAGTCCAGAACCATTTGCTGGTGACATAAAGAAAGAAAACGAGAATACCGAAGATGACAGTAATCAAGTCTCTTCAACGTCAGAAAATCTGCCTAAAGTAGCACATCAAGGGTGTACCCCAAACATGGTAGACCTTTTTCCATCATGTCCACTGTTCTCAAGAGTTTTGGGATGTCCGTCTACGGCACTGTCTAGCATATGCAAAACAGACATCATCAACTGGCCCTCTGAAATGAGTCTAATTTGGGATGAACATCATGAATCATCAAAAAATATGTTGTTTATGCCATACCTGGAAAAATCCCCCTGTGAGGGAAATATGGTGTCTCTGACATCCACATGTCCAAATGAAGCAAGAATTCCAGGCTTTCCATCTGCTAAGAGACCCACAGAGGCCTCATCTCCATCCGATCCAGAAACATCCATTATTGTTGACACATCTTCACTGACCCTAAATCCAGAGGAAAAGGAGGAGCAGCTGAGCATGGAAACATCATTACTGGAAGACCTTTCAAAACCAAAGCCAGTTTTGGACATCGACAGCCTTATTGAGCATTCAGAGATTCAATGCTCAAAACTTGTTCCTGATTTCCAATCTGCACCAAAAAGTAAAGAAATAACTATTCAGTCATGTGAGGAACTAACACTTCAGTGGTCAACAATAGTGGAGACCAAACTGAGGGGTGATTCCATCCCTGCGGATGAGACCTTCATATCTGAATTACCTTCACAAATCCCAGATTCAGTCCCTACATCCCAAACAGAACCAAATATGTTGGAGCTCCTTCCATCCTGTCCGGTGCTTTCTAGAATCCCTGGATGTCCATCTTTAAGGGTAATCGAAGACAGGGAGTACATCTGTAATCAGTCAATAATATTTAGCCATTTATTAAAGGATAGGCAAACAGGCATTTTTAAATCTAGTAACGATAAACCAGATACAAAGATTATAGCACTGGCACCAACATGCCCTCAATCATCAAGCATTCCAGGATTTCCATCAAGACCACACCTTAAATCACAGATGAAGCCAAACATGATAAACATTGGTCCATCTTGCCCAAAGATTTCAAATATAGCTGGTTTTCCAAGCATCCAGACACCAAGGATGCCCAACTGGCCTATGAGTGCAGTTATTTTGTGGTCATACACATTAAAGGAACCGCCTGTTGTTTTGGACAAGATATGCATAGAAAACAGTCATCGAATGTTTGCTTTGACACCTACTTGTCCATCAGTGGTCTGTGTTCCAGGTTTTCCATCTGTTCCTGAACCAATAATGCTAAGATTGCTTCCCGCCTGCCCAGAGAAGTCTAATGTTATTGGATTTTCTTCTAAAAGAGTCCATTTAGATTGGTCCATTGACAAAAATACATTATGTAATGCGTCTTTTAAAAAGCAACCTGTTGTTCTTGTTGACAGAGTAGAATGGTTTAACGAATCAACTAAAATGTTTGCATTAGTTCCAACCTGTCCATTAAAGGCAGAACTACCAGGATTCCCATATGCACCTAAGTGCAAAGCTACACTTCCTCCCAATATGGTTGATCTACATTATTGCCTTCCAAAGACATCAAGAATCATGGGGTTCTCATCAAGTGAGAGAATAAACACAGGAGCATGGTTTGAAGAAGAAACACCCATGTTGGTGCAACCTCTGAAAACAAGATCAGAACAGCTCAGTCAGTATATTTTAGCAACTCAATATGAAGAAATAGACGCAAATATTTTGGAGAGGATGTTTGCGCTTGTGCCCACCTGCCCGAGAGAAGCTTCCATACTTGGTTTCCCCTCTCTACCTCAACCTAAAGTGCAGGGTTTCTATCTCCGTAAAGAACCAGACATAGTTAACGTTTTGCATTGTTGCCCAAAGTCTTCTCCAACCTTAGGTGTTCCTACAGTAAAAACGGTGCCCATAGAAGAGTCTCAAGAGAGGATATGGTTTGCTCAGAAACCCATATGGGTTAATCCTCTTAAAGAAAGACCAATGATGTCTATGAGTTGTACAGAAGATAATGAAAATTATTTTAAAAGCATGTTCTTGCTTGCTCCAACCTGCCCTAAGCAGGCCAGAAGTGATGGGTTTCCATGCTCAGAAGGCCTCAGAAAGGAAGTTACCTCATCATCTTCCCCAGAGCCTCCAATCTCTTCAAAAGATGAAAACGATTTTAATAATCTGACCTCTGAGGAGCCATGTTTCCCAGTTGGAGTAGGACTTCCTGATTTCCCACATGCTGCTTATGCGTTTTCTTTAAGCCCAACCCAAGAACATGTAATATCTGAAACCACATTCAGACAATACATAGAATCAGAAAGGAAACAAACCCCAGATGTAATAGGAAGTGGTAAGAAGCTTATTTTTAGAGTGTTTATTGAACATTGAATCATTTGTATTCTCAGAAAAACACAGAGTTTGTGTTCTTTTCTTTTTGATTTCCTTTTTTTAAAGATAATTCTAAAGAAACGGGATTTGTTCTTGAGATGCCCTTGGCTGAAGGGTGAGTTAAATAGCATGTTTTGAATGTGTAAACACTTTTAGAACTGCTATTGTGTTCCGATGTTGCGTTTTCAATTGACATTGTTGAGGTTTTATGCAATCACCTTTTTCATGTCAAGACAATACTCAAAAACTGTTCAACAAAACATTACTTGACATGATTTATATGACCATTAATATAAGACTTTTTACTAACATCATTATATCATCTCATTGTAACATTTTAGTGCATGTATGTGAGAGATATGCATGGTAAGAGACATGCTTGTGAATGGAATCGCACTACCTTTTAACTAGTGAACTATTGTTTATCAGTATTGAAAACTATCAGGAGAGGTGTTTTCTGGAAGAGCAACTTGCTGACGAAGAGACTTCTAGTAAAACCCATGAAACAGCAGAACCAGGAGAGACTGCTATAACATTAGGGTGGGAGGTTTTGGAGGCAGATGATACTTCCACAGAAAAAGAAGGCTCTTCTGGTCTTGTCAAGACTTTAGTTGATGTCTTTCACAGAGGGTAAGATTAAATAACCCGTTAAAACCACTGAGCATGCTGGCTTGGATTTTACTTCAGAAACACTTGAAATTTATGTTTATGTTTATTCATTTTCAAATAAAAGTTCCCATGAAATCAAAACAAATTTTAGGTGTTAGTATCAATATGTCAGTATTAAGGATGTACAGTTGAAGCCCCCATTTGAATTTTTTTTTCCTTTTTTAAATATTTCCCAAATGATGTTTAGCAGAGCAAGGTAATTTTCACAGTATGTCTGATAATATATTTTTTCTTTCTGGAGAAAGTCTTATTTATTTTATTTTATTTTATTTTATTTTTTATAAAACAATTTTTTTTTCTCATCAAATCTTCTGACCATTAAAATGCTTTACAGTATCTAGGTCCTGCCCTCTACAAGACACTTTTCATTTACTTTTCATTTGATCTGCTTGAGCTCAACCGCTTTTAAGCCGCAGTCACACTAGAGTTTGAGCGTGCGAAATTCTGTCATACATTGCTGCGAAAAGGGGCGGGATTAAACAAGATGATTAGACATTTAAAAGATGAGCGATTGCTCCATATTTTAAATTCCTTTACAGAGAGGTCATGTTTTGATCCTCGATTGGTCTCACGCAATCATATGATGCGATTTCGCATGTCAGAGTTCACCCAGTTTGAACTTTCCAACAGAGCGAACTGCGAAACTTTCCACACGACCTTACGTTTACGGTCTGACGCATTCGTGTGCATATGAATGGAACTCTATGGAAAAAGTGCAGTGTGACTGCAGCTTCACTGGCAGAGCTGTGATAAAAAAAATGAAACTCTATTGGCTGTTTTTTTTTAAAAAGGGGGAGAAACTTGAACCATCTTCAAGTTTTGGTTTAATTTACATCACACGTTGAACAAAACTGCACATTTCAAAGCACTTCATGGGACATTTATGTATGATTTTAGTTTTCACTAATATTAGTTTGCCATTTTTTTTGAACATTAAGAGTTAAGAGTTGCTTTCTTTTAGTTATGAGACAGTTGCTGCAATATTGCAGCCCTCAAGCTCTGGATCAGTCACGGACACACTAGATGCTCTCGACAATCTTTCATCTACTGTGGATCCAGAAGAAAGCAGTTTTCCAATGGCGAGTGGATGTGACCATTCACTGGAAGAGCTCATACAGGCTGCAGAACCCGAGGTGTTTGAATCTGCCGAACCCTACATGTGGCGTTTGGTTAGTGGGCGTTCAGAAACATCACTTTCTTCAAAAGAAACTGAAAGCTGGTTTGTTGATGATGAAGCATTTTGTCTAATGAGGAAGTGGCCCCCCTTGACTGAGGCTGACCTTCATGAGATAAACAAAGTGGAGGAGGACAATACACGTGTTGAGTCACTGATACAAGAAGGTATATCTTCAGTTCTAGAGGAAGCTGGTAATGATGAGATTGTCACAGAAAGTAAAATGTTTGAGACATCGAAGGAGAAGGTGTCAGCCACAATATCTCCAGAGGAGGGGTGAGTTAATTAGGAGTGTTGCATTCAGACCCAAACTGCAACCCCCGCAAATGACAGAACGGCTGTTTTTTTTTTTGTTCTTTTCTTTTAGTATTTGCACTCACATGGCTGTTATGTTTGTGATTTTTGTTGTTATGAATATTTGTGTCCATGTGTCTAATTATGCTTTTGCCTTAAAGATGCAGTGTGTAAATTCCAACATAGGCTTAATCCGAAAACATAGCCCTTTATGCATTTCTGGAGATCCCGAATTATGTAGCCAGAGCTACTTATGGCTGCATTTCATCTTAAAAACAGGCGCTATGGGGCAGTATGACATTTTTTCTTTTCTCGCTAACTAGCTGACAGCTTACTTGCATGTGGACGGCTTTTCCGCTGTTACCAGTTCATCCGGTAGCTTGACATGTATGCCGGCGGACTTGAGATGCAGAGAGGAGTTGACTGCAATAAGGGGGTTTCGAGTCCAGTGAAGAACAGTTCCAAAGACTGGGTATGACAAAAACAGAAGCAAAAAACATAAATAAATGAACAAGTAAAGAACAGGGTGAGAATGTGGTAAAATCTGAAAGTGTGGTAAAAATCAGGGGGCTTTTCTTTTTCTGGATTGCTTTTCTAAACACTGCATTTGGGTTTAGGGAAGGGGGTGGGCGGGTCAATAGGTACTTTTAAAAATACTATTGGTTGGATTTAGGGAAGGGGGAGGGTGTCAGTCAGTGAGTTGGTCAAGAGATATTTGAATCTCAAAAAGGGTACACAGTGGCCTCTGTCAGATTCACGAAAGCAAAAACTGCAAAAAAAAAAAAAAAAACACACAAGAAAACGTAGCTCCTGGGATCTAATTTGCACTTTCCAGAAATGTATATGGGGTGCTTAATCAGAATGAACTTGGGTTTGGTAAATTCAGTGCCACAAAGAATGGTTGTGTAAAAACACAGCTACACATACATTGGTCTTTCATTCCTGCTTGTTATTTCATTGTTTGTCCAAATAGGTAGTTCTGCCCCCCAAATCATGCCATTGGTTGAGCTAAAAGTAAAAACACCTATACATAATACTGATAAAAGAAAGTATTTCTTATAATTTAAATAAATAAACCTTGACACAAATAAGTTACACACTGCACCTTTCAAAACATGTATTTGTTCAGATTGTGAGCTGAGAGCTCTGCTGGTATTACTGTGACCAATTAAACGGCTGCATGTTGCAAATGTATGCATACTCTGAAAGCTGTCTTTTATGCTGTACTGTTGCTTGACAAATATATATACAAATTGATGGAGACTTATAATGCTCTTATGGGATTGTTTTTGTCTTCATTACATTAAGTAAATGTAGTGATACTATATTTTTGTCCTTAAGGCCCCAACATCATATTGTGCAAGAAGTCTCTCTGTTCATCCAACAATCTAAGGATGGATTACTGGATGAAGACTGTTTATCCTTATCATCTTCAACATACCTTAAAAACACACAGGCTGTCTCAGAACAGACTGCTGTTTTAACTTTAGAACCTGTGCCACCAGCAAGGACCAAGAAGCAAGACATTCTGCAAGAGGCATCGATTGCTGATCCAACTGAGCCTAATGATCTGATCAATAATTTCTGTGTCATATCACAAACTGATAATTATTCTCAGAGTTCACCACATAATGTACAGCCAGGTACAGCCCTCACTGCCATTTTTGCAGGTAAGAGTTCAACTCCAGAAACAGATAACCCAGTTGATGTACCTGTTCCATTGGCACGGACCAGAAAAAGCCAAAGTGCTTCTGTTCCTGAAGGTGCCTCTGTTGAAGAAGCAGCCAAAATTGAGATTTGTGCACCAACACCTAAAGAAAAGCTGAACTCCCAAGAAATAATAGTATCAGGGCATATTAACCATACTGAAAATGTTACCTTGTTGGCTACAAAGGACACAGTTACACAATTATGTGCCCCTCTGAGAAGGAAGAGTAAATCTCAAACCAGCAATGTTGATGAAGCCAGAGGAGAGTCTGAAGTAAAGAGCACTATGTCTTCTGTCGTTGCCAACATGTCTCAGCCTGAAGACAAAAAAAAGATTGGAGCTGGAGATGAATTGAAGCTAAAAGACCAAGTGCAGCTGGATTTGAATGTTCCTTGCAATGTGGAAATTCGTATCAAATGTACTGGTCTTCCAGTCGCAATGCCATGTGTGAAAGAGCATGTCAGTGGTTCTTTTACAGATGATACTTCTTCCCCTTCTGGTGGAGAATCAGATAACATTAGTCTTCAAACAGAAGACTATGAGAACCATCTACCTGTGCCAATGCAACGGTCAAAAAAACGTGTCAGTGTTTCTTTCAAAGAAGATCTTGCAATCCCTTCATCCAATCTTCTGCCTCAAGGAGGTTTAGATGCTATTGTTCACCAAACAGAAGACCATAAAGATTCAAGTCTACCAGTTCCAGTACCACATGCAAAGAAAAGTCTTAGTGATTCTTTTCCAGATGATCTTCCAACCCCTCTATCTACTCCTCCACCTCAAACAGAATTAGGCAACACTGTTCCTCAAATAAAATATCCTCAAGATCCAAGTCTGCCAGTCCCAGTTCCACGTGTAAAGAAACATCTCAGTGACTCTTTCTCAGAAGACTTTCCAGCCCCTTCATCTACCTATTCATTTCAAGCAGATCCAAATGAACCACAAACAGAAGACAATCAGGATTCAAGTCTGTCAGTTCCAGTAGCATGTGCAAAAAAACGTTTTAGTGGCTCTTTCGCAGATGATGTTCTAACCCCTTCGTCCACCCTTTTTTCTAAAGCTGATCCAGATAACATTGCTTTTCAAACAAAACATATTCAGGATTCAAATCTGCCAGTTCCAGTACCACGTGCAAAGAAACGTCTCAGTGATTCTTTTCCAGATGATTTTCCAACCCTTCCATACACTCTTCCATCTCAAGCAAATCCAGATAGTATTAAACCTCAAACAGAAGACAATCAGGATACAAGTCTGCCAATCCCAGAGCCATGTGTAAAGAAACATCTCAGTGGTACTTTCTCAGATGATATTACAAACCCTTCATCCGCCCCTCTGTCTGAATCAGATCCAAATAGCGCTGCAACCCAACCAGAAGACAATCAGAATTCAAATCTGCCAGTTCCAATACCACGTTCAAAGAAATGTCTCAGTGATTTTTTTCCAGGTGATCTTCCAAGCCTTTCATACACTCCTCCATCTCAACCAAATACAGATAACATTTATATTCAAACAGAAGACAATCAGTATACAAGTCTGCCAATCCCAGAGCCACGTGTAAAGAAACGTCTTAGTGGTACTTTCTCAGATGATATTACAAACCCTTCATACAGCCCTCTGTCTGAAGCAGATTCAGATAGCACTGTAACCCAACCAGAAGACAACCAGGATTCAAATCTGCCAGTTCCAGTACCACGTGCAAAGAAACGTCTCAGTGATTCTTTTCCAGATGAGTTTTCATCCCCACCATACACTCCTCCATCTAAAGCAGATCCAGATTGCACTGCAACCCAACCAGAAGACAATCAGAATTCAAATCTGCCAGTTCCAATACCACGTTCAAAGAAATGTCTCAGTGATTTTTTTCCAGGTGATCTTCCAAGCCTTTCATACACTCCTCCATCTCAACCAAATACAGATAACATTTATATTCAAACAGAAAACAATCAGGATACAAGTCTGCCAATCCCAGAGCCACGTGTGAAGAAACGTCTTAGTGGTACTTTCTCAGATGATGTTCCAACCCCTTCATACACTCTTCTATCTCAAGCAGATCCAGATAGCACTGCAACTCAACCAGAAGACAATCAAGACTCAAGTCTGCCAGTCGTAGTGCCACTTGTAAAGAATCGTCTCAGTGGCTGTTTCTCAGAAAATCTTCCAGCCCCTTTAACCACTCCTCTGTCCGAAGCAGATCCCGATAAAATTGCTCCACAAGCAGAATACTGTCAAGATTTAAGTCTGCAATTGACAATGCCAGTTGTAACAGGACTTCAAAGTGATTCAATTCCAGATGATACAAGTATACCCATCCCTTCTCATTTCAAGAATGACAGGGACTCTAATGAAAACCTTCCAAGCTTGACTCAAGTTTCTCCCTCGATAGTCTCAGAAGAAGCCAAGCTTCCTCTCTTGGAAAGTAAAGAATGTGCTGTTGAAGTTTCCACACAGTTGAGCACAGAAGCAGGGATAAAGAAATCAACCACCTCTGTTGCCAGTGAAGTAGAGTTAACCAGCATGTCAAACAGAAAGGGCCTGGAGGAGTCTTATTTAGATACCGTTGGGCTGGTAGACCCTGATGCGGCAGAGATCAATGAAAAACCAAAGACTGGTGATATATTTGGTGAACATAGTGAGGATGATGAGGGGAGGTATAGTGTTAAAGAAAAGGAAAGTGAAAAAGATCAAAGCATTGAAGAAAAGATGACTGCTGTATATTTTGGAGATGATGCTGTTGATTTGAGCACTGTAGATGACACAGGGGTTGTCTTAGATGTTTCTAGGTAAGTTACATGTGATTGCCTGCTGTCATATTTGCAGACATTAGCATGCAAATTAATTACTTTACAAGTGCTGTGCATGGTCATTGGAGGTGGTTGTCTTTCAGAAAAAAAATGGTGCATCTTTAATGTATGGGATTTTGGTTAATTTAGTCAGAAATGTTTAATCTTAATGTTAATATTAAGTTTTGTATTTTTATGAAAAACATCCTGTGTAAAAAATAAATGATTGTGTGATAAAAGTGAAGACATTGGTCCTTGTTTGTGTATTTTTTTGTCACTCATTGCAAAATTAAATCTGAATATCCTTGAATGCTTGCAAAAATACATCAAATTTATTTTATCAATATACCATATTTAATTAATAGCTTTTGCAGTACTGTTAAATGTATTTCTTTTGTTGTGATTTATTTTATTTAGACAATCTGCAGCAGAAGATTCCCCAAGCGCTCCTGTGCCAATGCCTCGCGTCAAGAAACGTTTAAGTGCCTCTTTTCCAGAAGACTCCATTACCAGTTCCTCATCAGACAACCAATGTAAGGTTTCAGAAAAGTCTCTTAATGAGCCAACAGTGCCTGCTCGTAATAAACGAAGAGCTGCAGGAGATGCCATAGACCTTCAGGAAGCTTCCACAGCCCACACATCGTCAAACAGTGAAACAGAGGTGGGTGCATTTTTTATTATGTTAATTATATTATCGTAATAATAACCAGATGGTTAATTAGCTTTTTGTTTTATGCCAGATTGCGACCTTGGTGAATTCAAGTCAGTCTCTGTTGGAATGGTGCCAAAAAGTCACGCAAGGTTACAAGGGTGTGCGTATCACAAACTTCAGCACCTCGTGGAGAAACGGACTCGCTTTCTGTGCCATCCTGCATCATTTTCATCCAGAAAAACTGTGGGTGTTTTTTGAAAAAGTAATTAAAGTGATAGTTCACCCAAAAATTTAAAATTTGTGATCATTTACTCACCTTCCACTACTTGATACCAACCTGTTTGAGTTGATTTCAGCTGTTGAACAAAAAAAAGTATTTTCCCAACATTGCTCAAAATATTGTCTTTTGTGTTTAACAGAAAATAGAAACTCATAAAGGTTTGGAACCACTTGAGGGAGTAATTTTTTTATACATTTTTTTTTGGGGTGAGCTATCCCTTTAATGGAGAAATGAAGCACTCAGTCAGGTTTGCATTATTTTGTAAATAAAAATATATATAAAAAAATCGATTAATGTAACCATTTAGCAGAAAACAGCATGTTTTACTGTAGATTTTAGACCAAGGGTGCCGCCATCTTGGAATATCGCTATTTCTAACAACACGGGGTTGGTTCCGTTCACTCAGCTGTACAGATACAGTGGAAGTAATGGACTGAACACGAAGACTGAAAAGCCTAATTTAACCCAATGTGTGAAGTTGTGGGTGTGGAGCTGGTGCTGAAACATGGTTTGTTTAATATATTTTCATTAAAGTGGAATCCAATGTACAAAATAATGTAAACTTTACTGAGTGCTTCATTTCCCCTTTAAGCTTATTTCATAAATATCACACGGTTATGTGTATATGAACATCTCAGTCTTACTAGCTGTGTTATTTATTTGTTTGTTTTTCTGTATTTAGGAATTATGAAATGCTAGATCCATATGACATTAAGCGCAACAACAAGAAGGTGAGCTAACCGGTTTTATGCAAGATTAATCTTTTCTTTTTAAAATGAATTTATTTTCTTTTTAGAGTACAACTAAAATTACAATACTTTTTTCTTTCCACTGTGCAATTGATCTGATTTTTATTATTAATGCTTATTTTTTATTTGAATCTTTAAAGAGTTAGTTGACTCAAAAAACATTCTGATATTAAATACTCACTCTCATGTCATTTTTATTTCCTGAGACCTTTGTTTATCTTCAGAACACATTAAAGTATTTTAGATAAACAACATTTTCAGAGGTCCAGAAAAACCATTTTAAAAAATTGTCAAAAATTTCCATGTAACTTCAGAGTTTCAAATGTAATCATTTAAAGCTCCAAGAACACTTTAATGTGCAAAACAAACATAACCATTACTTTTTCCCCGTTTATACTGCCACTTAAATGTTAAAACGCATGCAATCGGATATTCAGAGATCGGTTTCAGGCCTCCTTCATATGTGGTAATAAATCAGATATAAATCGGATGCGTGACAATGCGACTATCATGTAAACATGAAGATCAAATTTATTGAGGCATTCTGCTTTGTACGTCAGTAAACTTGCAACAATGTGGTACTTCGCGGTTTAATGACGTAGAAGCCCTAACCCAAAAGTGTTCTTGAAACATCGTATGATTACAGTTGAATCACTGAAGTCACATTAAGTGAAGTTTATTTATAAGGTAATTTTGAGAGGATCACATGCTTATGATTGCTAGCGGCTGGATCCGCATTATCCAATTCTCAATGCACCAGTCAAACAACTCCTAAGCTACTACAAATACCTTGGGTTACGTACAGCCGCTATCATCATTTTGAAGAATCCCCCATCCACCTCTACTCCTCTTTCTTCCTAGATGGGTGAAACGGTGGCCCAGTGTTTAGCACTGTTACCTCACAGCAAGAATGTCTCTGGTTCTAGACTTTACCAAACCAGCAGATGTTTCTGTGCGGAGCTTGCATTCCTCCCCCTGCTCACGTGGGTTTCCCCCGGATTTCCCGTTTTTTTCCCACCGTCTAAAAACATGCAACATACGTTAATTGACTATTCCAAATCGGCACTCTAGACATGCTCCTAGTAAATAATAATCTCTCAAGAGAAATCACTATCTGTTATTAGCTACTACAGCAGGGGAGTTCTTGAGATCTACCTGAGCTCAAACTCCCCTCTCTCCTTGCAATGGGATGGAACCCCGGGCATGAGGATCTTATGAGCTCAGGGCTCTCTCCCGGGACAGCATGATAAACAAGCTTATAACTAATCATCAGCAAAGTGTGAACTCTTGAAATGTTTTGACAATATTTTTGGTTTCTTTTACATTGAACATCTTAGACTATTGGTGTCTATGAAGGACAAGATAGCTCTCAGATTTAATCTAAAATATCTTAATTTGTGTTCTGAAGACAATAAAAGCTGAATAAAATTATTTAGGTGAACTAACCCTTTAACATCATGGTTATCTATTTCCTTCCATTACAATTCTAGGCATTTGATGGCTTTGCTGAACTGGGCATCTCCCGCCTGATCGAGTCCTCTGACATGGTGCTGCTGGCAGTGCCCGACAGGCTCATCGTGATGACGTATCTCAACCAGATCCGCACCTATTTCACAGGCCAGGAGCTCAGTGTCATACAGATCGAGAAGAACAGCAGCGAGTCCAGTTACGCCGTCGGTGAAAAGAGGGAAGAAGCCGATCACGAAGCCGCTGTTCGCTACTGTGCCGAAAGACTCCAGAGCAGCGGCATCACTCTAGAAACAAATGGAAATGCTCCAGAACGGGAAGCTAAAGCAGGTGCCGGAGCTATAGTGGCTCCTCCAAGAACCAAGCGAACACAGGGCTTAAACCAAACTGGTGGATCAGGAGCCGCTCAGCCTCCAGTGGCTCCACCCAGAACTCACACCTCAAAGGCTTTTTCTCATATCAAGGATGCAGATCTTGTAAAGAGACGGAGATCGAAGCTGCGGGGAGAGTCTCTGGATGAGCCCGAACAACACAAACAGCAGAGCAGTGTTGAGGTAAAACTAATTTTTGACTACCCATTTTTGTAACGCAATATTCAAAGGATTATGCTACAACATTATGTTATAAGCATAATCATCATCAAGTTTGTGAGGGTGATAATTAAAAAAAAAGATAATTGGGTAATCTATTTGGACAATTGTATAACATTAAGCTGCTGTATGTTTTTACCCAGGCTGCATCAGTCCAAGCAGAAACTGAAGCAACCAAAGGAAGCTCAGAATCACGTAAGATTTAACATTTTAATGTCTTTTTTTGCTTCAACACATTTAATTGTTGGATATAGGTAAACATTTTCTCAGCAGAGAGTAAAAAGCAATCATTTGTTTGTTGTAAACTATTGTAAAATTAATTAATTTACATGACTTGGGGGGTATTCCATAAAGCTGGGTTAACTTATCATCTGCTAAACTCCGAACTCCCAGTTGACTGAGCCAAAACCTGCTTAACATGAGTATGTCGGTTCCAAAACAGCTGAGAAGAGTTAGTTAAATCAATCTCCTGAAGATAACCGCGGGTTAATGTGCGTGCATGGCGCATACCTGAAGACATTTTCAGTAGATCGCCGAGAGAATGCCACAATGAGAAAAAAGGGCAACGCACTTTACAGAGGTGAAGCTGGAGGTTTTAATGCTGGCGTACAAGGCATTAAGGTCAATTATAAAGAAAAAGCAATACACATCTGAAGGAAAGAAATATAACATAATAAATAGATAAGAAAAGAAAAAATAAATAAGAGAAAATTTGTTAGTTTATTAAATTACACATGCCACCCTTACTTTTATTGTAATGAAAAATTAAATGTAACTTTAACATATTTTTGAGTATGTTGTGTAACCATTCATCCATTTCATTTTCCAGCCATTAATTTCTTAAGGCCACAATAATAATGTGTATTGACTACTATACAGTTGAAGCCAGAATTATTAGCCCCAATTTAAATGTTATTTTCTTTTTAGAATTATTCCCAAATTTAACAGAGCAAGGAAATTTTCACAGTATGTCTGATAATATTTATCTTCTGGAGAAAGTTTTGTTTGTTTAATTTTAGCTAGAATAAAAGTAGTTTTTAATTTTTAAACACAATTTTAAGGACAAATTATTAGCCACTCTAAGCTATATATTTTTTCGATAGTCTACAGAACAAACCATCAGTATACAAGAACTTGCCTAATTACCCTAACCTGCCTAGTTAACCTAATTAACCTAGTTAAGCCTTTAAATGTCACTTTAAGCTGTATAGAAGTGCCTTGAAAAATATCTAGTCAAGTATTATTTACTGTCATCATGGAAAAGATAAAATAAATCAGTTATTAGAAATGAGTTATTAAAACTCTTATGTTTAGAAATGTGTTGAAAAAAATCTCTCTGTTAAGCAGAAATTGAAGAAAAAATAAACAGGGGGGCTAATAATTCTGACTTCAACTGTATTAGGCTTCTAGAAATTGTAATCCTTCTGGAGATAGAAGAACTCTGTCCAAAGTCAAAATTAAACACTGAAACATTCTCTTAAAAGGTAGGACTGGAGCCTTGTATTAAACAACTATACTGAGGCCTGTCTAACTGCTTTGGGCCATTAGATAACTCTGAGGAGCTGCTCTGTCCCTTAATAAAGGTTAATCAGTGGTTGAATTACTGGACCTTAAACCACACAGTCTGTCACAGTTGTAATTGTTTGTTGTCAGGTAGCTTTAGGTTCTTTTTATGCTTTTTGTTTTGCGTGCAGATGAAGTTCCATCTGCCTCAACTAACAAGCAGTGTAAGAATTTGTCTACACTTTTCTATATTTGAATTTCGCCATCGAACAGAACAATCTTTTATTTATTTATTTTAATTCTAATGTCGAGAGAAGTCAGCTGAGGTGGCTTGGGCATCTGTTTCGGATGCCTCCTGGACACCTACCTAGGGAGGTGTTCCAGGCATGTCCCACCGGAAGGAGCCCTCAGGACATGCTGGAGGGACTATGGCTCTCTGCTGGCCTGAGAACACCTTGGGATCCCCCCCAGGAGGAGCTGGAGGATGTGTCTGGGGAGAGGGAAGTCCGGGATTCTCTCCTAAGATTGCTGCCCCTGCGCCCCCGTCCCGGAAAAGTGGTGTAGAATATGAATGAATGAATGAGTTCTAAAGTAGCTGTGTAACGTCCATATTCAAAGGTTATCCACTTACTAACTCTTAAACTTACCCGGGTATGTCACATAACCTGCTTTCTGGAATACCCCTCTGATTCAGAAGTATTGTTTTTTTAATTTTTGTACAGAAAACGTGGAGATTGTTGACGAGGCCGCTGCAGGAGAGAACCAGGTCATTCATTGATTTTCTATTTGTGGCTTGCTGAAAAAGAATCTGTCAAATATTGCCTATATAGGCTCTTCATAGATTGTCTTGCATGTAATAGTATTTTATAAGAAGCTGCTTCTGAACCAGGAGTAGAGAATTGGATAGGGTTGTTAATGCAAGTGTGTTTGCAGGATGTCAGTCAGTATGTGCTCAGTGAGATGCAGGCGCTGGAGGCTGAACAGAGGCAGATTGATCGCAGAGCAGACACTGTGGAGAAGAAACTCAGGAGAATTATGCAGTCTGGTAAGTCAAAAGCTCACTTCTTGCCTTTTATATAAACCGCTACATAAAAAAATTAGGAAAAAGGTTTTTTTTTTATATCAGGACAATTAAACAAATATACAGTTGAAACCAGAAGTTTACATACTCTAAAAAAAGGATCATAACCATTTTCTTAAAAAAAAATGTCTGATGGTAAATCATACTAAACGTTTACTATTTTAGGTCTGTTAGGATTACCTAACTGATTTACATTTACTAAATGCAGGAATAATGAGAGAATGTTTTTGAGAATTTTTTATTAATTTCTAGACAGTCAAAAGTTTACACACATTTCCTTGGTATTTATTTTAGCTTTGCTTTTAAACTTTATAACTTTGAATAAATGTTTTGGGTATCCTTCCACAAGCTTCTCACAATAGTTTGCAGGAATTTTGGTCCATTCCTCCTGACAGAGCTGGTGTAACTCAGTCAGATTTGTTGGATATCTTGCTCGCACAAGCTTTTTTTCAACTCTGCCCACAAATTTTCTATAGGATTGAGATCAGGGCTTTGTGATGGCCAGTCCAAAACATTTACTCTGTTGTCCTTAAAGCACATTTGAACTAATTTGGCAGTATGCTTAAGGTCATGGTCTGTTTGGAAAACCCATTTGTGGCCAAGTTTAACTTCCTGGCTGATGTCTTGAGATGTTGCTTCAGTTTTTCTACAAAATGTCATTTCTTCATGATGCCATCTATGCTGTGAAGTGGACCAGTCCCTCCTGTTACAAAACAGCCCCACAACATGAAGCTGCCGCCCCCATACTTCACAGTTGGGATGGTGTTTCTAGGCTTGAAAGCTTTCCCCTTTGTCCTCCAAATGTAACACTGGTCATTATGGCCAAACAGTTCAATCTTAGTTCCATCAGACCACAAGACATGTCTCCAAAAATATCCTTTTTCCCAGTGTAAATTAGCAAATAATTATCTGGCTTTTCTTTTGATGATTCTAGCTTATTGATTTTCCCATGTTGTCACACAAGGAAGCAGTGTGTATGAGGTTTTCCTTGAATACTATTCTACAGCTGTGCCTCCAATTAACTCAAATGTTGCCAATTAGTCAATCAGAATCTTGTAAAACCTTGACACCATCATCTGAGCTTTTTCAGAGTCATACTAATCTTATTGTATGTAAACTTGACTTTCAAGAACAGTTATAACAATTTCTCCAAAAATATCTCTCATTATTCAGCTATTAAGCATAACAGAAACACATTTGATAATCCAACTTACCTAAAAGAGAAAAGTTTAGTCACCTTAACATCCGACCTTTTTAAATGGTTGTGTGCCTTTATATACAGTGTATGTAAACTTCTGGTTTCAACTGTGTATACAGTTAAAGTAAAAAACATTAGCCGTTTTCAAATATTTACCAAATGATTTTTCACTTTTCATTTCAGGTGGGCTAATAATTCTGACTTTAACTGTATATAGTCCTTGTCAGGTCTTAAAATTTGCAAGATCACATGACATTTCACACTGTAACCTTATTTCTTTATCAAGATAGTAAAGCCATGGGTAATGGAAATAGGACACCCTCTGATCCAGATGCCTGTAGGTCCACATTTCACATTAATTACTTAAAGTAATCATTTTCTACAATTTAAAATTTTACATAGACTGTTTAATACACCTGATGTTAGACATAAAATGAATCCAGGTCTGTCTGAGTTGTGTGTGAAGTGTAAATTAGACATTGGAACTTTCTATCATTGTATGTGGAGTTGTCCTTATACACAGCAGTTTTGGGACTTGATTAGACTACAGCTCGACGCCATCTTTAAATGTACATTTCGACTGGGAGCAAAGACCTGCTTACTGGGTCTCAATGATGATATACCTTATAATTTTCGGAACAGAGACCTGCTACATATTTTGATTTATTTTGCTCGGAAATGTATCCTTGTAAAGTGGATTAATGAAGAACCTCCCAGTTTAAATCAATGGCTGCTTGCAGTCTGCAGCATAATCCCACTTGAGGCTTTCTCCACAGCTATAAAGAACGAACCTTTTCTATTTTATCGGACCTGGGATCCTTTCTTTGATTATTTAGGAACCTCTAAGCCTTTAAGACTAAAATCTTGTCTGATAGACTCAGCCTGGACAAAAGAAATGTAATATGCCTTTTTGCAATATAATATTGTATTTTTTATGTCTTTATTATTTTTATTATTATAAGTGTTATTATTATTTATTTGTTTATGTAATTACAATTTAATTTGTATTTACTACTATTTTTATTTTATTTTTATTTTTCATGTGGGGGTCAGAACTCAAATTACATGTATGACAGATACTATCGTTCTACTCAATGTAATTTTCTGCCATGTTTTTGCACTAAAAATGTTCAATAAAAATATATTTGAAAAAAGAAAAAACAGTCATCATTTTCTGTATGACATCATCAGTCTCTCAGATCATCATGGAGGAATTTTTACATTTTTTGGACTGCTCTCACTACAGCATTTCTGTCAGGATGAGCCTCTGGATTTTTGGACTATTGCACCTTTTATTACTTTTTAGCTTTACTTCAGTTGTAAATTTGCTGATGTGCTTGGGATTTTTGTCTTATGGCACAGTTTTAGCTGTGGATTGGGCATTCAGTCAGCAGGCACCAGAAGGCTGCATACAAACAAACTGCTAAAACTTCTGCAAAAATAGCAGTGCCTGACTTATTTTGTTAATGCTATTTGTTGTTGTTCATTTGAGGATTTATTGCCCCCATTTAAAGACCTGCCAAGATCACATAATATTGCATGCCCTCTAATATGAAAATGTTGGAATTTCATAACTTTTTCACATATATACTGTTTATAGGGGCACACAATACAAAATCTAGCTTGTGCTCCACATTATGTACTATTAAATGCTTTTAACAGTACATTGAAGCATAGTAAAGTGTAGTTTTATTCTAGTTTTAGTAACATAAGCAAATGTCTGTGCAGTTGAGCCCTGATGAAGTTGTGCTTTTATGGCTAACTCACAGGTATTGATCGTGTGGAAGAGGAGGCTCTCATTCAGGAGTGGTTTACGTTAGTCAACAAGAAGAACGCTTTAATCAGGAGACAAGACCATCTACAGTTACTGTATGTCTTTTCACATTTATTCTCAGCCACTTTGTGTGTTCCCCTATAAGATGGCTTTATTTGACCCATGGATGATTTTATGTTCGTTATGTGTTACAGACAAGAAGAACAGGACCTGGAAAGGAGGTTCGAGCTGCTGAAGAAAGAGCTGCAAGATCTTATGGCAGTGGAAGGTAGTGATTGCTGCTGCTTTTAAAGCACCGCACCATGAAGCTTTGACGCTCTTATGAATCCGTTTTTCTCTCCAATCAGTGGTTTGGAGTATGTTTCAAAATGACTTCATTTCAGGGCTTTGATTCATCGTAATGTTTAGAAAATTCAATAGTTCTCCACTAGAGGGGTGTAATACCCTAAATCTAAATGATTAGTGTGTGTGTTCACTCAGATCCCCTCCTAGGGGTGAATCACTGAACAGGTTTCATCGGTGTTACCTGATATTGGATAAGTTGTGGTAGTTTGCATTCATTTTAGTGAGGCATTTATAAAACTAAAAGGAGTAATGTTAGTTAATAGTTTCTTGTTGGCATGTTTAGCAGAAGCAAACAATATGTAAGCCTTGAAGATGTATAAAAGAATAAATATTTTGCAGACAAATAATATTTAAGGATATTAGATGATCAGCTAAGTGCATTTATAGGTTACTTTCAATTTAAAACCACAATATGTTGTTAAAATATCAATTGTAATGCATGTTTATTGCATTTACACGGGTTTGACCAGCAGGTGTCCCTAACATGTGCTGTTTTAAACACTTTAAAATAGTGAATCACTTTGAAAACCAATTGGTTAAATTGTTTCGAATCTTTGAAAAGTTTAGTTTCTCCTATCACTTGATTAAGGTATAACTGTACCTACATGCATGTGAAATATGTGTAAAACTAAATGAAACTTGAATTGTAATGAAACAAAATAACAGAGAATATGAAACTCTGTCATGTTATTCTGTCCATTTTTGTTTGTATTGTCTGCAGAATGGAAGAAAACACAGGCTCATAAAACCAGAGAGCAGCTGTTGTTGCAGGAACTGGTGTCTTTAGTCAACCAGAGGGATGAGCTTGTGCATGACATGGACGCCAAAGAGAGAGGGTGAGATACATTAGTTCACTTGACAAGACACTCGTTTTTAGAGCGGATTGATTATATATAACTCATCCATGTGAAGCTCAGATAAATGCTGCTCTTTTTAAATATATTCATCAAAAAGATTGTTTACAACTGATAATAATTCGAATAATTCGAACCAAATCGACACATTGCAGTTATTTATGAAGCATCACAAGACTGTGAAGACTAGAGTAATAACGCCTTGACATCAGAACAATAAAGCAAAAGAAAGCACAGAAATAGATGTTGTTCAGTGACAAAACCACATGCAGAAACATGACATTTTTATGTTTTCTATTAATTCCCATCCAACACATTACTCGTATATGCTAAATAGGAAAAGATTGTTTTAAAGCAGTAGTTTATAATCTTTGGTATTCATTGTTCTAGGACACTCACCGGCCACTTTATTAGGTACACCTGTCCAACTGCCTGTTAACGCAAAATTCTAATCAGTCAATCACATGGCAGCAACTCAATACATTTAGGCATGTAGACCTGGTCAAAACGATCTGCTGCAGTTCAAAGCGAGCATCAGAATGGGGAAGAAAGGTGATTTAAGTGACTTTGAACGTGGCATGGTTGTTGGTGCAAAACGGGCTGGTCTGAGTATTTTATAAACTGCTGATCTACTGGGATCTTCATGCACAACCATCTTTAGGGTTTACAGAGAATGGTCCAAAAAATATCCAGTTAGTGGCAGATCTGTGGGCGCAAATGCCTTGTTGATGCCAAAGATCAGAGGAGAATGGCCAGACTGGTTCCAACTGATAAAAAGGCAAGTCTTTACGCATAACATGTCCAGCCTTGAGGCGGATGGGCTACAGCAGCAGAAGACCACACCGGGTGCCACTCCTGTCAGCTAAGAACAGGAAACTGATTTCCTTGTATCAATGGTTCAGGCTGGTGATGATGGTGGTGTAATGTTGTGTGGGATATCTTCTTGGCACACTTTGGGCCCGTTAGTACCAATTGAGCATCATGTCAATGCCACAGCCTAGCTGAATATTGTTGCTGACCATGTCCATCTCTTTATGACCGTGTACCCATCTTCTGTTGGCTACTTCTAGCACGATAATACACCATGTCAAAAAGCACATATCATCTCAGACTGGTTTCTTGAGCATGACAATGAGTTCACTGTACTCAAATGGCCACCACAGTCACCAGAACTCAATCCAATAGAGCACTTTTGAGATGTGGTGAAACAGAAGATTCACATCCTGGATGTGCAACCGACAAATCTGCTGCAACTGCGTGATGCTATCATGTTAATATGGACCAAAATCTCTGAGGAATATTTCCAGTACCTTGTTGAATCTATGCCACGAATGATCAAGGCAGTTCTGAAAGCAAAAGTGGGTCCAACCCGTTACTGGTATAGTGTACCTAATAAAGTGGCCGGTGAGTATATACTCAGTGTCCACGGATCCTTAAAAAGTCTTCAATTCCACTGTATAAAAATGAGACCTTAATAAGCTTTAAAATGTCTTAAATCTGAGTTTCAGAGTGAGGTCATTAAAATGCAATCGCACTGACCCCCTAAAGAAGATTTTGATATTGATTTATATATTGATCATTGACAAAAAAGTTTTGTTTTCTATTCATTCCCATCGTTCACAATAATCTTAAACGCTAAAGATAAAAACTAATTATTACTAAAAAATTATTAACAACAAATTTTACGAAGGTAAAACGACGACGCGGTGGTGCAGTAGATAGTGCTGTCACCTTACAGCAAGAAGGTCGCTGGTTCGAAGCTCGGCTAGGTTAGTTTTCATGTTCTCCCCCATTCACGTGTGTTTCCTCCGGGTGCTCCGGTTTCCCCCACAAAGCCAAAGACATGCAGTACAGGTGAATTGAGTAAGCTAAAATTGTCCGTAGTGTATGTGTGTGAATGAGAGTGTATGGGTGTTTCCCAGCAATGGGTTGCAGCTGGAAGGGCATTCGCTGCGTAAAACATATGTTGGATAAGTTGGTGGTTCATTCAGCTGTGGTGACCCCTGATGAATAAAGGGACTAAGCCAACAAGAAAATGAATGAATGAATGATAATGTTACGAATAATAGAATAATAATAATGCAAATCACACTGTAATAATGTAACAATAACATTGAAGGAATAGATTATGTTTTAAAGCTCATTCATTTTTAAAACAATTAGGTTGTCCCCAAAAAAGAAAAAAAAGAATTGTGCTGTTTTAGCATATATTAAAGTACTTAAATAGTAATTATATAACTACCTAATATATTAAGTAGTTTGAACAAATAGCAAACGAGTTTAAGGTCACCTGACAATAAAAATATAAAATTTTTAATATTATGAAATATTACCACAACATATTAAAGCATCACTACAACGTACACTGCTCTTAATATAACTGTTTTCTTTGGCTCTTTCTCCATGCCCTCTTCCTCCAGGGCCCTCGAAGAGGACGAGAGGTTGGAGAGAGGTCTAGAAATGAGGCGCAGGAAGTATGGAAGTCGGAAAGAGAAGTGTGTGTTACAGTGAGGGATGGACCGGACCCTCCTTTTACACACTGTTGACAGACGGTTAAGGTGTGTTTGTGTGGACCATAGCGCAAAAAAGAAAAGACAAGGAAATAATGACTAGATGAATCCTCACGGTGAAGAGTTTGAGCAGCATGAACGCTTGGAAGATGAAGATGTGTTTCCTTTTAGAGGCATTTTAGTCTCAGAGTTTATTGTTGTGAAGTAGATGATGGTCTACAGTCTTCTTACAGCAGTTCTTGTGTTTAAACAATATACATGTGGCCTTTGCAGTGTTATTTACTTGATTATTTAACATGTTTGTATACGTCAGTTGCTTTTTAAGCTGATTTTAGGCACTATATGGTAAATAATATATGTTCAGAGTTAGTTTTGAAAAGATACTGCTCTGTTACAGGATTGTTTTGTTTTGCTTATGTGTAGCTAAGCTAAAGCCAGCAGTTTAGAAATCTGATATATGGCAATATATGCAAATTACATACAGACAAGCACGAAATTAATCATACACCTGGCAAATTCTGACTTAAAGTTACTTTTATTCAACCAGCAATTTTTATGTATTTATTTTTTGTTCCGGAAGTTACCCAAAAGACAATAAGATGATGTACAAGAGGCCTCACTGGCTATGATTCCATCCAAAAAAATGTGAATTAAATTTATGCGCAAAACTAAAATATCAAATATGAAACGGAATTTGCTGCATGAATCTTTTCTTTATTTAATAAGTTACTTGCGTCTCAGAGAACAATGTCGACACACAATGAACGTGTGGTGGCGTTTAAAGGCGTGAGACACGGAGCATTGTGTCTATTCTGGAGGTAATTAATAATATAATAATATAAAAACACTAATACTGAAATGGTTAAGGCGTTTTAGAATTAACAAAACAACATTTCAGATGTTTACAGTGTGCTCAGCCTCTGTTCACACACATTAGGTGCGTTCGACATGAAGCACGGCTGCAGCTGGTGATCAACAAGATTAGCCGAGCGCAGGCTGGGGTGGAGTTGAAAACGAAGTCGTAAATTATTTATTTATTGCAATAACAACAAAATATTTACAGTACAAATAAAACAGAATATAGACTTTACAAACTATATGACATTTTTAAACAATAAGGGAATTATAAAATAAATGTAAGTAGCCTATATAACAAACACATGAGAAATAAGGGGAAAACATGAGGGCACAAAAAAGGAAACAAATATCCACGAATAGGCCTATTAAACACAAAACAATATGCAAAAATTCTAGAAACATCAGTCTTTAGGCTGCTATATGTTGAATGGTAAGGCAATACTGTTCCAGTTCTTGTTTGAATATGCTAAAAAGGATTTACATTTATTTATCTTCATAGATATAAAATTGTCCAATATTTATTAGTGTAAATAAAATAAGGTGTTTTGATGAAATCTCAAACAATGATTAAGATTAATTTGGATAAAGAAAGCATTTTTAAAAAAACACTTAATCCAAAAAGATTGAACAAAAAGACCAAAATAAATGAGCTACACTTAGTAGAAATTTCCCAGAAAGAGCAGCAAAAAATAAAATTTCTGCATAAACGGCTTGACAGGAAATAAAATATTTTATAATCATAGACTATCAAAAAAAAAAAAAAAGCTTAAAGGGGCTAATAATTTTGTCCTTAAAATGTCTTTTAAAAATTTTTAAAACTGCTTTTATTTTAGTCAAAATAAAACAAATAAGACTTTATTCAGAGGAAAAAAATATTATCAGACATACTGTGAAAATTTCCTTGCTCCGTTGAACATAATTTGGTAAATATTTAAAAAAAAAAAAGAAAAAAAAATCAGAGAGGGGCTAGTAATTCTGACTTCAGCTGTATATGTGTATGATACACTTTTTATCTTGCGAAAGACTTATTTCTTTTTGTTTGGCTGGAATAAAAGCAGTTTATTATTTTTAAAACAACTTTAAGGTCAATATTATTAACCCCCTTTTTTGATTGGCTACAGAACAAACCACTGTTGTCAATAACAAGCCAATAACTTGCCTTATTTTCCCAACTTGTCTAATTACCATAATAACCTAGTTTTAAATAGTTTTTAAATGTCACTTTAAGCCGAATACTAGTATCTTGCAAAATAATTAGAAAAATAGTATGCACAGTCATATTGGCAAAGACTTGATAAATTGGTTACTAAATATTAGTTATTAAAACTATTACATTTAAAAATGAGTTCTCCGCTCCATCCAGCATCACTTGGGAATTTTTTTTTAAAGAATTTCAATTTTACAGAAGGGCTAATCATTTTGACTGTATGCACGGATGTACATATTTGTAATTCAGATGGTTGGGGAAAAAAATATGTCAATGGACATTTTTGCAATATTGCAAAATATATGTTGCATACTATATATATGACATACAGTGGGAAATAAGTAATGAACACGTCGTTTTTTTTTCCTGGAAATAATACTTCTAACCAGATTTTGGTAAAAACCCAAATAAAACAAACATAAAAATAAAACAAAAAAAAAAAAATCTGAAAAATGAGTTATGTGTATAACAATGAAATGACACAAGGAGAAAGTACTGAACTACTGAAATGTAAATAATATTTATATAAAAGGCTTTTTTGTTGATGTCAGCTTAAAGATGCCTCTCATATGGAGAATGAAGTCACATGCATTGCTCAAGTGTGAGTTTTTCCACAGACTTCAGAGTCAAAAAATCTTGATGTTCTGTGGGTCTCATCAAATCTGATCTTTAACTTAGTATTCTCTATTGGATTTGAGTCAGGTGATTGACTGGGCCGTTCTACAGCTTGATTTTCTTTCTCTGAAAGCATTTGAGAGGTTCCTTGGCTGTGTTTTGGACCATTGTCTTGCTGAAATGTCCACCCTGGTTTCATGTGTTCAATACTTTCCCCCTGTGTTTTTCTATTTTATTACGCATAATTTCATTTGTAGTCTAATTATTTTTGTTTTCTTTGCATATATGAATTTCTTTGGTTGTTGCCAACATCCGGGGAAAATTTCAAGTCAACGGCACCATTAATAATATGTTTTCTGAAAAAATTGGTGATGTGAGCATACTAATTTTCCTTGCTGTATATGTACTGTAACATCCAAATATGAACTTGTAAGTGATGTATGTAATTTGCATATATTTCCACATATCTGGATTTCTATATGGTTTAAAGCACTCCTTTATTTAGTTCTAGATATAATTTCCCAGTGACCCCCTCACAAAATATTGGACTCATTTTAGAGCAAAGACAGTGTGTGCATGAAGTTTGAATGCTGAGATTTGGTTTTAAAATGTATGCTTGAATGTTTATATATTAATACAACTATGGCAAAAATAAAGAGATGATAATAATAGTAATGTTCATTAAACTACTGATAAAATTTCTTCCCAATTTTAAACAAAAACCTTGTCATTTAGTGCATAAAATGACAATTTGCCAGGAAAATAAAGTCCATATATTTATTTGTAATCAACACAGTTCAATGTTTTAACTTCACAAGGGTTAAGAAAGCAATATTTGAAAGCAAAACAGGATTCTCAATAACAGAAATGGTTATTTTCTGCAATACGGTGCTCTGAATGACAATATTTTTATTGTAAATTTGGACAAACTTTTATTAGACCTTCATAGAATAAAAAATAAGAACACAAATAAATCCGAAGAAACTAAAAAAATGTAAGTCGAGTCTCTTAATTCATTTCCATAACTGTGCTTATATAAACAGTACAGAATGCAAAGCAGTTTAAAAAGCAGTTTTAGTGAATTCGCTGTGATTCATTGTTTAGCTCTTTGCCTTAATATTGTTTTAGCTCTGTTTACAATGTTTGAAATTTGATTTGTATTTGAGAATATTTGTATTGAGTTGCACAACAGTGAATTGTTTTTAAAGATAGTCTGATATCAGCTAAAAAGCTGACTTGTCTTTAGGAAATAAAGTCATTTTAAGGTTCTATATCACATCCATGCTTGATGGTTGAACAGAAACGGTGGGCTGTGTACTGTGTATGTGTTTGACAGTGTTTTTCAGTTTTGTGGTGGTCCTCACAGCATGTACAGAGGGTCTTGTCATCTCTGGATTCCTGCACTAGCAATTTATATTAAAGAGCTATTACAGAGTCGCCACCCTAAGAAAAAGAAGCCACTGAAAGACAAACTAATAGAAGTATTGACTAAAATGAACATCTGATTTTTTAGTTTTTTGTTAAATATTCATTTTTAAACTCTAACTTTTAGTTATTCATAGGTATTGTCTAATAATAAAAACGAAAGATGAGTGAATTTTATCGGTCACTTCCTCTGTTAAAATGACACATCAGCACACATCCGATTCTGTATAATGCTATATTTGTATATCCTGTTTTACAAAACACATCCAAAGAAAAAAAGTGTTGCTTAAGCAGGGACTTTGGTGACTTTGTAAAGAAGGAAGATAAAGATTTTGTGTCAGCCTTTTTTGTTGCAGTCACACTGAAGTTTAGTAAAAGTACTTTTCCCATTATAGTGAAACGTCAGATTATCATATCAAATAATGTGTCATTTCTGATTTTCATATAAATAAGAATTCCTTATGAATATCTTAACAGTGGATTTAATGTACATTAATGTACATATTTAGACCGCAGCAAAAGTCATTTTGTTAATAATAATTGTATTAAACTAGAAATTTAAACCACACTGAACTGAACTAAACTGAACTTCAACTCTGAAAACTGGACTGACACAGTTACAATTTAACTTCTATGTTAAGCTGCATTGACACAATCTACATTGTAAAAGCGCTATAGAAATAAGATGGATTAAGCTTTAAAATAAAATAATTACTCTTTAAAATTTGGTTTAGATAACGATGACAACATTTAATAGCTAAATACGTCTTACAATTAAGTAGTGTTCATTTTGTGTGTGATGAAGCACGATCAGATAAATGACTGGTTTACAAGTTTGTTTACAAGTACAAGTTTCACGAGTTCACAGCCTTCGAGGATTTGTATTCAGACATTCTCTCAAGCTTTAAGATTTCCAGCCAAAATACAACCACATAATAACGATAAACATGCCTAATTAGCGGATAATAAATTCGATGTATGCTGAAGTGAGGGTCGTGAGAAAGAATTGAGCGTATGAGAATCGTTTGAATCATAAATACAGAACCGATTCCAAAATGATTCGTTCACGTAGAACTATTTCTGAACTGAAACTATCTATTGATAACCACTTGCTGAAGTTTGAAAGCTAGGCTATTCGGAAGTAGCAGTAAAAAAACTGGTATGTGAAGAAGACGACTAAAATGGACCTGTTTTCCTTTGCGTTTTATTTTCTATTTTGCATTTCATGGACTTTCTCCTCAAACATCATCTCCACACCTATCAGAAGTAAGACTGAAGCTTCATGTTTGTGTGATTTTAACTGTGGTATTGCTGACATATAATAAACAAATATTAATATGCGTGTTATTTTAGAAGAAATATTTGATTCAAGCAAAGAGAGTCGATCGAAGTGGACAGGCTCACCAGCAAGAGATGTAAGTGGCACTTTATTTCATTGTGTTTTATTATTATTATTTAAATATAATATCTGGGTCATATTAAAATGGCACAATGGAATTTGTATTAATACCTAAAGACAAAATGTCCTGATATAATGTTATATTTTAAAACGAACAATGCATTTTATTACCTTTATTGTTCATAAAAAAATTTACTTTGTATTATTATATTATATTATTGAGTGTGTTATGCTCAGCGATGCTGACATTTTTTTTTTAAAGACCACAAACGAACAGCAATAAACATACTCTCACTGATCACTTTATTAGGTAAAACCTTAATAGTACCCACTTTTGCCTTCAGAACTGCTTTAATCATTTGTGGCATAGATTTAACAAGGTACTGGAATTATTCCTGAGATTTTGCTCCATATTGACATGATAGCATCATACAGTTGCTGCAGATCATAATACTCAGGTAGGCTGTGGCGTTGACACAATGCTCAAATAGGACTAATGGGCCCAAAGTGTGCCAAGAAAATGTTCCCGACACCACTACCACCAACCTGAACCGTTGATACAAGGCAGGATGGATCCATGCTTTCATGTTGTGGAGCCAAATTCTGATCCTACCATCCGAATGCTGCAGCAGAAATCGAGACTCATCACATCAGGCAACATTTTTTCCAATCTACTATTGTCCAATTTTGGTGAGCCTGTGCGAGTTTTAGCCTCGATTTTTCTGTTCTTAGCTGACTGGAGAGGTACCTGGTGTGGTCTTCTGCTGCTGTAGCCCATCCACCTGAAGGTTGGACGTATTGTGTGTTCAGAGATGCTCTTCTGCATAATTTTATTTGAGTTATTTAGGTTACTGTTGCCTTTCTATCAGCTCGAACCAGTCTGGCCATTCTCCTCTGATCTCTGGCATCAAGAAGTCATTTGCGCCCACAGAACTGCCGCTCACTGGACATTTTCTCTTTGTTGGACCATTCTCTGTAAACCATAGAGATGGCTGTGCGTGAAAAACCCAGTCGATCAACAGTTTCTGAAATACTCAGACCAGGCTGTCTGGCACCAACTACCATGCCATGTCACTTAAATTACCTCGGTTTGAACTGCAGCAGATCGCCTTGTCCATGTGTACATGCCTAAATGAATTGAGTTTCCGCCCTGTGATTGGCTGATTAGAAATTTGCATTAACGAGCAGATGAACAGGTGAACCTAATAAAGTGGCTGGGGAGCGTAACATTTAAAATGAATTTAAGCATTAATAATCTTCAGTGTTACATTTCTCAGAAATCATAACAGGGTGAACAGGCTCTATATCTTTGATGAACAGAAAGTTTAAAAGCTGTAACAGATTTATTTTGTAGCATTGCAGCCTAAATGTTTTACTGTGACTTTTGATCAATGTAAAGCATTCTTGCTGAATAAACAAAAAATAATTTTAAAAGAAAAATACAAATGAATCCAAAACTCTGAACTATATGGCTAGTTTTATACACATAGTCGAGAACAAACAATTGTTAATATCAGTTAATTTATTAATGAGTGATTAATGTTATTTTTGTGTGTGCTTTTCTCAATTTAAGTGGGAGGAAACAGAAATGCAGCTTGGAAAGCCCCATGCACACCCAGTCTACCATGCTTGTAACCCTGAATTCAAAAAGAAATCTAAAAAATTATTGACAAAATGGATCCCAAAACAAGATGCCCGTGAGCTTCTGCTGGACCTGAGTTTTGCCCAAGTGGACCAGCAGCCTCTTTACATCTTTGTTATTAAATCTAACCAGTCTCAGAAGCCATATGGACCACAAAAACCAGTTCTTGCAATCACAGTCCAGCATCCATTCCTTGCAAACGGCTATCCTCGGGATGAGGACCTGAGTCATGCCAAGGCTCTAAATTTGGGAAACATCTCTGAGAACAGCTTTTACCTGGAGTTTTCATACAGCGGAAACTGCATGTTCATTGCTTCAGTCCAGGTGTTCTTCCTCAAATGTCCAGCTTTTACATGGAAGCAGATGAAGTTTGAGGAAACTGCAGCAAGAGGGTCGAGGAGAGGAGTGTGTGTGGATGGAGCAGTGGAGATTTCGACCCCTCTGACTGAGTGTCAGTCTAATGGGACATGGGCTTCACCGCAGGGCTCATGTGTCTGCAGTGCAGAATACCAGAGCAGTGGAGACACATGCAAAGGTGAGGAAGTGTTTTATGTGTTTAACAGTGCCCTAATATTGTCACCTTTGGTAAATACCTAACAACTTACCATTCCAGTCCAATTTTTTTATACCCATCACTCCCTAACTTCCCTCTGTCTCATACTTCGGATGTACATTATTGATTACATTGCGCAAGTATCAACTATTGGTGGAACAGCTGAATGGAATGCTCTAAACCAGGGGTGTCCAATCTCAGTCCTGGAGGGTCAGTGTCCTGCAATGTTTAGTTTTAACCCCAATCAGACACACATAGGCTAGCTAATCAAGCTCTTGTAGGCTATCTAGAAACATCCCTGCAAGTATGTTGAGGCAAGTTGAAGCTAAATCTGCAGGACACCAGCCCTTCAGGACCGAGTTTGGGCACTCCTGCTCTAAGCCCTTGGGTATGACCATGTAAGCTTCCCTCGTTCGCTTAATGAAGTGGAATGCACTTCAAAATGGCGTAGTGGTTTTCCCTGAGGTAACAAGGGAAGTTTGCGAGTGAGTTTTTAAAAGTAGACTAGAATGGAGCCATGGTCTGACCATGAAGTTGATAACCCAATGTATCTGAGGGATTTATCAACCAGCAAAGCACAAACAAACTCTGTTTCATTACCTCCTTCAAGTGGGCTACATTAGTGGACTAATGTAGGGAATAGTGATTGAGGGTAGGGGTGATTTTAGATACATAGATACAATCATAGACGTGTTGACTAAAACAAGGTTCAATTTGGGCTGTCAATGAAGATCTAATAGACATCTAACAATAGTCCAAAATAGGCTCGTCCTCAAATAGACAGACTAGATGAGGGGTGTCAAACATACGGCAAACAGGTTTAATCCAGCCCATGAGATGATTCTGTAAAGTATAAGAACGAGCTACAATTTTTCAATAAAAGAAACTGCTGTTCCAATTAGGGCTGCTCGGTAATGGAAAAAAATCATAATCACGATTATTCAAAACAATTATCAGTTGAAGTCAAAATTATTTGCCCTTCTGTAAATTTTTTTTTATAAATATTCCCAAATGATATTTAATTAATTAATTAATTAATTAAATTAAAGAATTTTTCACAGTATTTGCTATAATATTTTTTCTTCTGGAGATAGTCTCATTTGTTTTATTTTGGCTAGAATAAAAGCAAGTTTAAATATTTTGAAACCTATTTTAAGGTCAACAATCTAAAAATATCTTGTAAAATATTATGCACTGTCATCATAGCAATGATAAAATAAATTAATTATTAGAAACGCATTTATTTTTACTTTCATTTAGTTGTCAAAACTATTATGTTTAGAAATTAGTTGAAAAAAAAATCCTCTTTCCATTAAACAGAAAGTGGGGGTAAAAGGGTCGCTAATAATTCAGGAGGGCTAATAATTCTGACTTCAACTGTAGTTATTTTCCTCCCTTTAAATATGGAAAGGTAAATAAGTACAATTGAATAAAAACAAACTGTGCTAAAAGCATCTTTACTGTAAGGAAAAAAAAAGCTGTAATTATAGCTACAAATGTCCTTCAGTCAAGAGCAGTGAGTGATTTTCTCCTTTTGTTGTTTGATTAATGAAAAGCAGCCGGAATATGTCACTTTAAGAGCAGTGCGGCTCTGATAAATTTTTTCTCTTTCACTTTGAAAACCTTCCACAAAATCTCATGGTCATGTTGGATTGTAGTTTTGGGGACTTTCTGCTAACAGTGCATTGGGACAAAATGGACACACATCCACTTCCAGTGTAATTCATTGTATTTCCAGTTGCGCTGATGGTGACATAATTGTAACACAAATACAGCTGAAGGCAAGAGTATTAGCCCTCATGTGACTTTTTCTTTCTTTCTTTAAATATGTCCCAAGTGATGTTTAATGGAGCAAGGACATTTTCAAAGTATTTCCTATGCGTTATTCTTATTTTTACTTCTGGAGAAAGTCTTATTTCTTTTAGTTTTTCTTAAATAAAAGCAGTTTTTACATTTTATTATTTATTGGCTAATTAAGCTAACTTGCCTAGTCAACTTTAAATTGAATACTAGTACTACAAGACAAAAATAGTATGTACAATCATCAAAGCGAGGACAAAATACATTTGTTATTACAAATTAGTTAATAAAACTATTATGATTAAAAATGTGTTTTTTTTTGTCTTCGTTAAACAGCACTCTGGAAAATGTAAAAAAAAAAAAAAAGATTACAGGTGGGCTTATAAGTTAGACTACAACTATGTAATTAACAAGGATATTTGTTTTTTGATAGAACTGTGGTGTGTTTGAGTTTTTTTATTTGAGTTTTTACTAATAATTCGAGCAAAACACTGAACATTCAATATTTATTATGGGTCGCCACAACGGAATGAACGACCATCTAGGTTGGGTTCTAAAACCAGATACTATTATGGCTCCGGTACCTTTGTAACCTGTATGAACCGGACTGAATCAGCATAAGAATTTTGGTACCTAATTTCTGTGCCACTGGTGCTGCGACAATGATGTAAGAAGCATCAAGGGGTGAATCAAAGGCACACATAGGTTGTGTCACACCATCTCTAAACATTTAATTTTAAACAAATTTGAGGGATATGAACACCTTCGTGATGTTAGACAGTTGTTCTTGTTGCTTTAGGGAACGCATGCACGTAGGCAACAAGCACAGTAGCAAATCTGGTGAGCAACTCCCTTCAGATTCAGCAACACGCATGATCACATTCATCAAACTTGCTTAAACTGAGTGTTCTAAAGTATGTCTATATTTTATAAACAAGGATTCTGACACAGCAACGTGAAGCAGATGCTTTACAAAAGTTTTGTGTAAGCGGGTAAACACATCAAACCTTATGAAACATTTGAGAGCACCGGGAAACAACTTAAAGACAGAGAAATGCACTTGCGACATCATCTGGCACATTCACTGACTGCGTTTACATGAACATCAATACTCCGATTTTAATACCATTATGACAATACCCTGATTAAGGGTGCTTTTACACTAGCACTTTTGGTCTGCACCCGGGTTTGTTTGACGTCATAGTACGGTACGTTTAGCTAGTATGAACGTGTCTTCAAAACTCGGGTGCGCACCCGTGAACCGTTCCCGAGTCCACCTTAAAGAGGTGGTCTGGGGTTAGGTTCATGCGAACTCCAGTACGGTTCACTTCTGATGTGAATGCAATCATACCAAATAATGGAAGTGAACCGCCAACTGTACAACAAATTATCGTTTTCATAACGTTCATTCATGTGTGTGTGTGTGTGTCACGTTTCGTGCCTTGATGACAAGCGGGACTGAGCCACAGCAAACACAGTGATAATGTGTGCTTGTCTCCTCCAAAAACAGCTTCTGCAGACACTGTTTGAATGTTCTGAATGTTTAGCAAAGCAGTTTAGAACAAGCAAAGGGCAGGAGTGGGCGTGGTCAGCAGGGGAGAAGGAGGGGCGTGAACAATTGTTGTCTGTTAGCTCACAAAATGAGACACAAACCGTGAGGAGACGCATGATTTTATAGTTTACAAAGTTAAAATACAAAGAAATAAACAGTAATTTAATGCCCTGCTACATTTGTTATTCGTAATTTCATTACAGATAACCACAATTTATATCATTATAAAGATAATAATGATAAGCTTCAGACGTGCTCTGGCAGAGCTGTTCACTGTTCCCATCAGCGATCTCCCAATATTATCCAGCTGCAAACTCAACCGCCATCAGACCGGCATATTTACGGTGTTTAATGGTATTTTACATTTGTCTGTATATTTATGAATAGTATATATTTAATAGTTGATATTCAGTCAGTCCACTTTAAAACAGAAGCTGGTCTTTTGCAATCTCCCTGTTGACCTGTGGATCTCTCATATGTTTGTAAATGAATAAAGGTTTAAATGAGTATTTCATACAAACATTTTAGAGAACATGTCAGACAGGTGGGCCATCAAAAATTGATCGGAAAAAGAAGTGGGCCCCGAAGTGAAAAAGGTTGAGAACCCCTGCCTTAATGTATTTATATTATTTGTCCATATATGAATTGCACAACTCAATATTTGACATGGTTTTATTTTCAGCAAATGCTCCTGGCAGTCTGTTGGCCACCCCTCCCTCAATAAATGATCCCAGACCTGCACTTCCTCCTGTCCATACTGGTGTTGTAGTAGGTGGAGTCCTGCTTCTTCTCATCGTCACAGGTGTCGTACTCCTCTTTGTACGGCATCACAAGCTCAGGTAATCATACTCTATACTCTAGTGGATCCTGACGGTTATGTAATCACATGCCATCCAATAGTCTCGCATGGACATTGCATTCAATTTTTAGCATAGCAATTGTTAAAGGTTTTTTTTGTTGTTGCTAAGATGTAAGGAATACATCTGAAATATTAGCAGAGGATATAATGACTGTATTATGGCTGCTTTGTGTGTATACTGTATGTTCAGAGGTCATCAAGATATGGAGCTTGTGTCCGAATCTGCTGTGACTCAATATCGACGTCAAACTGAGCTACTTGACAGCAAGACTTCTTCTGTTTCTCATCCTGAAGGTTATCTTTATTCATTCATTTGTTCGTTCATTTGTTTGTTTATTCGTTCATTGGTTTGTTCAGTTGTTCCCTTGTTTGTTCTTTCGTTTGTTCATTCATTCAATATATATTAGTGTACACACATCTGATACAAATCTACTACTAGTTTGCATGCCACCAGTACTCTTTTCCATTAAGTTTTAATAATTTATTAGCTACTAGTGGAAATTCTTTATCGAACTAGTAATAAACATTCATTACACAGCAGTTCTTGTTTCTCATACTGATTTGTTACATGCTATAATCTATTATTAGAGTAGTATTTATCTACTTGATTACTTGTATGAATTTGTTATTAGATACAAGTACATATTTCAATAGTGACTAGTACACTGAAATAAGTTGACTGAACTAAATTAATTGAGTAAAGTCGATGCCTTAATTTAATTGAGTAATGGAGTCTTCCAAAACTTGCATATTTAAGTTTGTTTAACTTGCCGGTTTTGTAGACTATACTCTAATTGTTCAGTTCACCAAACTTAGAACTACTTTCAATGCACTCAATGTTTTTTTTTTACTCCGAATGACCAGTTTTTTTATACATCATTCAGCATACATCATTTTTTTAAGACCACCATCCAACAGCTATGACATTTTCATTTTGTTGTTTTAAGAGAAGTTTCAAAGATATTGGGGGTTTCTTAACTTTATTTTGGGTACATTATCCTTTAAATCAAAATATTTTCCATCTAAGAAATAATGAATGAATAATAATGAAGTTTCATTCCTCAATTATCTAAAAGTCATTAAATCAACGCAAAAGCAGATCAACATATTTCAATGCACTCAATGTTTTTTTACTCTGAATCAGTGACCAGTTGTTTTTTTTTCTATGCATATATACATATATATATATATATATATATATATATATATATATATATATATATACATACAACTAAAATCAAAACACGACCCCAAATCAGAAAAAGTTAGGACAGTACAGAAAACATAAACAAAAAAGAAAGTAGTGATTTCTAAATTTACTTTGACTTGTATTTCATTGCAGACAATACAACAAACATTAAATGTGTTCCTCATAATTTTTTTATTTTCATTTTTTTTTCTAAATAAACATTTTGGTTCTTGCAACACATTTCGAAAAATGTTGGAACAGTAAAGCATTTATCACTTTGTAATGTTGACATTCCCTTTGACAAGACTTAAAAGACGTTTAGGGACTGAAGACACTAAGTGATAACGTGTTTCAGATGTAATTTTGTCCCCTTCTTCCTGCAAACAAGTCTTAATGTGGTCAACAGTGCAGGGTCTTCGTTGCCGCATTTTACACTGTTAACATAGGGCTTCCTTTTGGCATAGTACAACTTTAGCTGCCATTTGTGGATGTCACTACGTATTGTGGTACTTGACATAAGCTGCGTCCCAAATGGCACACTATACACTATGCACTCATGCACTATGTACTTATGCAATTACACACTCAACAGGATAGTATATGTATGTAGTGGCGTCCCAAATGGCACACTAATGTTGTTTTACTAAGCGCAAATTCAAACCGTTTCCCTAATGACGTTTGACGGTCACCAAATCAGTGAAATAAACGACCGAATTATCAGATAATACCTGCCGTGAGTATAACCGCATTCACCATCGGGAGGCGCTATAATCACTATATGATCACATTATAATCACACTTTGCTTTCACCATCCAAAATAAATAAAGTTATTCAACATGTGTGCCCGATAGCTCCGCCCCTTCCGCTACGTAAGCAAACCTGAAGTAGTTGAGTGTGTGAAGTGTCCATCATTACACACTTCGTTTTAGCGGCTGAATGAGTGCATCATCCGGGTAATTAAAGTGCACTTATTATTTTTAGACTTTTTAGTGTGAACACACTACTTACACTATTTATACTACAAAATGGCGTAGAATAGTGCATAAGTATGCGATTTGGGACGTAGCTATAGTTTGCCAAAGTAGTCACGAGCCCATGTGGTGATATTGCTTAAAGATGAATGATGATTCTTGATGCAGTGTTGCCTGAAGGATCAGAGATTATGGTAGTTTAGCGTAGGCTTGTGCTCTTGTCTTTACGCACTGAAATGTCTCCAGATTCCTTGAATCTTTTAACTATGTTATTCTCTGTTGAAGGTGAAATATCCAAATGTCTTCCAAATTTTTCTTTGAGGAATATTATTTTTAAACATTTTAATAATATTCTCATTAATATATTGGCAAACCGGCGATTCTCATACTGTCTTTGCTCTTAAAGTACTAGACCTTTGTTGCATGCTGCTTTTTGTACCAAATCATACAGTAATTACAATCACCTGTTGACATCACCTGTTTCAAATCACATCACTGTTTAACCAATTTACCTGATTACTAGCCCTAAACTGCTCCTCTACTAACTTTTTTGGGAATGTGTTAAAGGTCTGAATGGCAGGAAAGGATGTATACTTACAAATGAAATGAACTTGACCAGATAAAAACATGAAATATTTTACATTTTCATTTACATGTAGTCATTTAGCAGATGCTTTTATCCAAAGCGACTTACAAATGAGGACAAGGAAGCAATTTACACAACTATAAGAGCAACAATCAATAAGTGCTGCAAGTTTCAGGTATGTAAAATGTAAGAAGCAAAACATTAGTAATTTTTTTTTCTTTTTTTGTAATACAGTTTGCGGTGGAGCCAGTGAGGCAATTGCAGATTAGGAAGGAAAGTGGAGACTAAATAGTTGAGATTTTAGTCGTTTCTCGAAGACAGCGAGTGACTCTGCCGTTCTGATGCAGTTGGAAGTTCATTCCACCAACTGGGCAGATTGAATGCGAGAGTTCGGGAAAGTGATTTCTTCCCTCTTTGGGATGGAACCACGAGGCGACGTTCATTTACAGAACGGAGGGCACATACATCTGCAGAAGTGAGAGCAGATAAGAAGGAGCAAAGCCAGAAGTCGCTTTGTAAGCAAACATCCGAGCTTTGAATTTGATGCGAGCAGCAACTGGCAGCCAGTGCAAACGGATGAGTAGCGGAGTGACATGTGCTTTTTTAGGCTCATTAAAGATTTTGTCTTTAAATTGCCTTCAAGTCAAAGTAAATTTGGAAATCACTACTTTGTTATTTGTGTTTTCCACAGACTCCCAACTTTTTCGAATTTGGGGTTGTAGTAAGAGATTTAAAGCCAGCATAAAGCTTTTGTGAATGTAGCTTAGTTTGTTATTTTGGGACTAGCAAACGCTTAGAAAGGCTTGAATGAATTGAACTGACTAATGACCAGTTCTGTGTGCACAACTAAAATCTTGATCTTTATTCAGTTTGTAGGATAATCGGCCAAAATCAGAGTGCTGAATGTAAACCCTGCTTTCCCACAGCACAGATAGAGGAAGCATCTCAGTATGACTGTGCTTATGAACCTATGCGCCCTCACACACTTCAGCTGAAATCTACAAGTATGTCTAAGAAATTGGTCAATGTTGCAATCGATTCCTGTACTGTCATCTGCTCATTCGAATTTCTCACAACTCAAACCAAGCATGTAACCAACAATCAAAATACAGTTGTCTGTGGCCAACACTGACAAATTGTCAAACTATTTATGTTTATTTACAAACCTAGAGATGTTTGGATATAAGCATTTATTTTTAATATTTTGAAATATATAAAATTTCATAAAATGGATATGCAGTTGTGCATAATAATAATATTAATAATAATAATAATAATAATAATAATAATAATAATAATAATAATAATAATAATAATAGAGACTTTAACAGAATAATTGTTCTAATATGGTGATCAGATGTAAAAAAAGGCTCTCTTTTTATGATTTTTTGCAGTGATTCCATACAACAATTTTGGGTTTCTTAAAGAATCTTTCAGTGAATAGTTATTTTGCCTAAAAGGTTACAGTGGAAATGATTTGTTTTCTTAATATTTGTTCTGTGTGAAGAACTTCTAAGTAACATTTTCTACTGTAAATAACCTTTTGTGAAATGTAAAGATTCTATGGATGGTAAAATTCCAACCAATGCTCATATATTTTTTGTTTGTTTGAGTTATGTAATATTTGACTTTTTTTATTTGGTTAATTTAATCAATGTCATTTTCATACATCTGTGTTTCTCTGTCAGTGTCAGACTCAGATCAGATGTTGGATGGGATAAAGGATCATCTGCTGTGTCTTAGAGATGTGCTGGTGGAACGGACAAAGTTACAATTAAGCCAAAAACTTGGGAAAGGTAAAACAGATTTTTTTTGTCCCCTAGGGGTTTTCTAAACAGTAATAAACAGATGTGAAATCACAAATGAAGACTGTTAAAAGATGACAAAAGAGAATGTTGACGAATGAAAAATGCATGACAAAATCAAAACTGAATATTAAAAAGGAAAATATATATGTCATGGTAACCAGTGATCCAGCCTGTGCAAACTGCTGAAGAACTACAAATCTGCCACTTTAATGAGCTACAGTACAACTGCCATTATGCACTTCACTCACACTCACCGGGTCCAGATCCCCCATGATTGCAAACACACACAGCTGAAGCTGTTCAGGACTAATTAGACAGACCATTTATACACCTTTCCAGCACACACACATGGCTGATTCTTGTTAGTGTCTATCTCCAGTAATATGTCTTAAGCATTTATCCAGTCTAGTTTATCAGTGTTTGACTGCCTTGTTCCCATGTAAACATATCTGAAAAAAGCAGCACATTGATAAGGTTGAGTATTGAGCACCAAATCAGCATTATACAATATTATTTATAAACAAAAAAGTCATAATTTTACTGTTTTTATAGTGTTTTAATCTTTACTTTCCTAAATACATGTATATTTCAGAAAAAGGTGAAGGTTAAAATACACTTTAAATTTCTTTTAATTGATGTAAAATGCAATGACTTGCAAAGTTAAATGGATAGGTCAGAAGGCAGGCAGCATACAATGTAAATAAACAAAACAAAGCAAGGAATAAACACGGAAGGCAAGGCAAGGGAAAACGCATCATAATGTTCACAATCAGTGTACAAGACTCAGCCACAATGTATGTGTTAGTGCTGTCTTTATATTCCATGAATCAGTTCGTGAGCAGCTTCAGCTGTGAGTTTCTAATCAGTGGAGACCTTGAGCAGGTTTGTATGTGTGTGTGTTGCATGATTGGATCTGTAGTTCATTATGAGGCAGGATTGTAGTTTTTCAGCGATCTATGGTAGTTAGATTGCTGGTGATCATGACGCATAGATGAAGGAAAGTATAGGTTTTTGGTCACACTTATCAACAAGGTTTTATTAGTTAACGTATTTACTAACATGAACTAATAACAAAAATTACTTGTACATCATTTATTGAGCATAGTTTAATATTTACTAGTGCATTATTAACATCCAACTTAATGCTGGTAACATTAGTTGATGCATCATGAGTTAACATGAACAACTGTATTGTCATTAAATAACATGAACAAATACTGTAATTAATGCATTGTTCATTGTTTGTTCAACCAAGTTCAACCAAGTCTTGTTTATGATAACACAACTGTTATGTACTTTAATTTATGCCAGATTACATTTTAAGTGAATAATTCAGATGAAAATAGTATTCTGGGTGTCATTTTAGGATCTGCAAATGAATTATGCATGCTTACGCTGGATTTTGTCCATTTGCAGGGGAATTTGGAGCTGTTTATGAGGGCATATTTTCCCCTAAAATAGGACAAGACATCAGAGTTGCGGTCAAAACATCTAAAGGTGTGTGTGTGTGTGTGTGTGTATAATATAAATCACAGCAAAATATGAATGTCTAGGAAAGATGACATATAATCTAATAATATAATTAATAATAATTAAGCACCAGCCTGTGATGATGCATTTTTCACAATTAATAAATATCAACTTTTTTTTTTTGTAGACGTGATCCACAGTGAAGAAGATCTGGAGTCTTTCCTGAAGGAGGCGGAAATGATGAAGCATTTCGATCATGTGAATGTAGTTAAATTGCTTGGTATGTTTCTGAATGGGATAACTATTTCATGTCTGAAATCTAGGCTAAAATCTATAATTGATATGTAGTTGGATCTGGCACGGCAGCTGGTCCGCTGTGGCCTGTAGGTCTGTTCAAGGGCATATGAGTGTGAAGCAAATGAACAGTGGGGGATGCGACTGACTTTTACCTCCTGCTTGTCTTTGACCTGCTGAATTATGGCAGGATTATACCGTTGTAGGAATTAAATGGATCATAGCAGCTGTGATGTGTACTAATGTAAATGGCATCTGTCCAGTGTTGTCATGCTTAGCATTCAGTCAAGGAACACCCATACAGACTCATTCACACACACTCATACACTACAGCTATGACTGTGGGGGAAATCAGTGTACCCGGAGGAAACCCACACCAACACGGGAGAACATGTAAAGTAAACATCTGCGCGGGACTAAATTTTGAATCCCGCTTCCACCCGCACCTGCCAGGTTTTAGCCCGAACCCGACCGCTCCCGCTTATGCTCAGCATTTGTTGTCTAGCTGCCCGACTCGCTCTGTTTTCTACCCGCTGCGCCTGTTCCTGGTAACAAAAACCGAAACCGAAACAAAACCGAAAATCACCCAGCTATACAGAATCCAGACAGCCTATAACAAGCTGTCTGTATAAACACACACACACACACACACAGCACCAAGCAAGCCAAGCAAGTGACACACACAGACAGCAACATCACACTCTCTCATTCACACACACACACACACACACACACACACACACACACACACACACACACACACACACACACACACACACACAGCAAAAAACAAGCTAAACGCAGCACTCATTCACACACATACATACGTGTGCTCGCTCGCTCGGGAGTCGTGAGCGATATTGTTAGACCACCCGCTCCCATCCAAAAATACACCTGTTACCCACTGCTCCCGCGCTTTATTCAGTAATTTATGAAATTCTGAAATTTCCAAAATGGAAAATTATTATTATTAAAAATAATTCAAAAATTAATATTAATAATAATTTTCAAAACCGTTAACAAAAATAATTATTAATAATTGAGCTCCAATATTGTATATAACAGCAAAATGTTCATAAACCATGAAACACTGAAGACTGGAGAAGTGCTGAAAATAAAAGTTATATTTTGAAAAATAATAGTATTTATAAGTATTAGTAAAAATTATTACAACAGGACGTCACGGTGGCGCAGTGGGTAGCACAATCACCTCACAGTTAGAAGGTCACTGGTTTGAGTGAAAGCTGGGTCAGTTGGCATTTCTGTGTGCAATTTGTGTGCATTCCTCTGGATGCTACGTTTTCCCCCACAAGTCCAAAGACATGCACTATAGGTGAATTGGGTAAGCTAAATTGTCTGTAGTGTATGTGTGTGAATGAGTGTGTATGGGTGTCCGCTGCGTAAAACATATGCTGGATAAGTTGGCAGTTCATTCCGCTGTGGTGACCCCTGATTAATAAAGGGACTAAAATGAATGAATGAATTATTACAACAGGAAACAGTTCATTTACATTTATATATATATATATATATATATATATATATATATATATATATATATATATATATATATATATATATATATATATATATATATATATACACACACACACACACACACACACATACACATATGTATATATACACACACACACACACACACACACACACACACACACACACACACACACACACACACACACACACACACACACATATATATATAGTATATAAATATATAGTATAGTATATATATAAATGTTACTATATAGTTTATGTGTTAAACTAAGCCGAAAAGAAAATGAATGAATGAATTATTACAACAGGAAACAGTTCATTTACATTTATATACACACACACACACACACACACACACATACACATATGTATATATACACATACACACACATATATATATATATACATAGTATATAAATATATAGTATAGTATATATATAAATGTTACTATATAGTTTATGTGTTATTTTCATCCACCAGGGGTTGCTCTAGAGTGGGATCCGGAATCTTCTATGGTTGTACCACTGGTTATTCTCCCATACATGAAGCACAGAGACTTACACAGTTTCCTCAGAGCGACAAGATACGATGATGTTCCCATGGTCTGTCCCACAATCTGAGAAAAACAAACAAACAAACAAACAAACAAACAAACACATTTTCAAGAAGTTCTTCTCCTTTTACAATCATGTCTTGTGGATAAAGCTAAAATAAGCATTGATCTCTTAACCTCTTGTCTCCAGTTTGTGCCTCATCAGAGTCTTCTGCGCTTTATGATGGACATTGCTGCGGGAATGGAGTATCTGAGCCTTCAGGGTTTCTTACACAGAGATCTGGCCGCCCGCAACTGCATGTGAGTCTCCACTAGAGGGCGACAGAAAGCACATCTGTTAATACTTCTATTGTCTCAAAAATGCCACACCTAATGGACTCAAATGTTTTCCCTGTGCTGGACTCACAGTCACACACTCCTGGGTTTGCTTTCACAGGTTGGGTGATGATCTGCGTGTGTGTGTGGCGGACTTTGGCCTCTCTAAGATGATGTATTCCAGCAACTACTACAGACATAAGAGTCAGGATGTTAAACTGCCTGTGAGGTGGATGGCCATAGAGAGTGTGTCAGACTTCATATTCACCACCAAGAGTGATGTGGTGAGGGCTGTTTATGCTTACAAACCAGCATTTAAGTGTTAACTCACTCAAAACAGAATGTTACTATTTACTCAAGGCAGTCCTCGCTGCAGCTCACAGCTTGATGACATACTTCACCAGGTCCAATATGTGGTGTAAGTGAGGCGTGAGCGTTTGTTGCCAGAAACACTCATTATTTAAATTAATTGTTAAATTAAACTTTTAACAGGCTAAAATGTCAAAAGGCACAAAATAAGATTGTTCAAATCCAGCTGTCTGACAAACGGTATTTTAAACAGATTTCATTTAGTTTTAGAAAGAAATTATTTAATTATTTCACCCAGAGAAAAGCGCTGAATTATTCAACAGACATACAACTGCACTTCACTTTTACGTAGTTCATGAATAAATCTATATCTATGTCATAATTTTTCATGCTACTGCTGATATGCAGTGGTGGACAGAGTACAGAAAAATCATGCTCAAGTAAAAGTACCATTACTTGCCTAAAAATGTAATGCAAGTAGAGTAAAAGTATCTGTTTTAAATGTTACTCAATATATGAGTAAAAAGTAGCCCTTTTTAAAGTTACTCAAGAGTAGTAATAATATTAATAATAATAATTCCTTTTTAATAATTTATATAGCCATTATAATTTATTAACCATTTATTTAGTGCTTTTCTAGACATTCAAAGCACTTTACACATTTTTGGAGGAATCTCCTCAACCACCACCAGTGTGCAGCATCCACCTGGATGACACGACGGCAGCCATATTGCGCCAGACTGCACACCAGCTGATTGGTAGAGAGGTGACAAAGTAATGAAGGATGGTTAGGTGGCCATAATGGACAGAGGCCAGTGAGCAGATTTGGCCAGGATGTCGGGGTTAAACCCCTACCCATTTTTGAAGGACATCCTGGGATTTTAAATGACCATAGAGAGTCAGGTCCTCGGTTTAGCGTCTCATCAACGAGCAGTATAGAGTTCCTGTCACTATACTGGGGCATTAGGACCCACATAAACCACAGTTTGGTGATCCCCCTGCTGGTCACACTATCACCACTTCCAGCAGCAACCTAGCTTTCTCATGTGGTCTCCCATCCAGGTACTGACCGGGCGCAGCCCTGCTTAGCTTCAGTGGGAGACTATGTGAGAGTTGCAGAGAGCTAGCTGCCGGATACTTCTTTTAATCTAGCCAAAATAAAAGAAATAAGACTTTCTCCAAAAGAAAAAATATTATCAGACATACTGTGAAAATTACATTGCTCTGTTAATAATAATTTGGAAAATATTAAAAAAAAAGAAAAAAATCAAAGGGGGGCGAATAATTCTTCAACTGTATATAACATTATAGTTTGTGTATAGAACATCTGACATCAATCACATTTCTGGTTCTGATTCTCAGTGCAAAATACAATGGCAAATAATAATAAAAATCTAATATGACATCAATATATATTTTTGTATTACTTTAATATAAATTCCTTTTTTTCCATTTACTCTAAAAATGTATTATTATTTGTCTGTGGGGAACAATTTGACAAGATGTTTCTGTGAGATTTACATACTAACAAACAACCTTTTTCACTAACTATGATGTTCCTGATGTTTCTCAGTGGTCATTTGGGGTAACCATGTGGGAGATCACATCTAGAGGGAAGGTACCTTATCCAGGTGTCTCCAATTACGAGCTTCTGGACTACCTGGAAAAAGGACACCGGCTTAGCCAAGGGGACAATGACAGCAAACTGTAAGCATTTTGCAAATAATTTCATTAATTCATTACAAGAAAGTACCATAAACATACAACTGATGCAATATCAATACACAGTTCAACTATCACTAATTGTTTTTTTATTCCAAATATGGTATGTTGCAAGACCAATCAGGAAGAATAGTTTTTAAAGGGATAGTTCTCCATAAAGTATAAATTTGTGTCATCATTTACTCACCCTTCAACTTGTTCAAAACCTATTTGTGTTTGTTTCTTCTGTTGAACACAAAAGAAGATGTTTCGAAAAATGCTGGTTGCTGGGACCCATTAACTTCCAGTCACTTTTTGCCTACTAAAGTTAATGGACGCCAGAAACCAGCATTCTTCAAAATATCTTTTGTGTCTAACAGTAGAAAGAACCTCTAATAGATTTTGAACAAGTGAAGGGAGACTAAATCATGACAGAATTTTGAGTGAACTATCCCTTTAAGACCTGTTCTGTGAATCCATCACATCCTAAATTATAGGATATAAATTCATAATTTGTGCTTGGTAGAAACATTAGTGGCAAGTAATATGTATGTATTTATTTATTTAAGGTTTATTTGACAGGGACAATGTACATTAATAATAAAAATATGTACAGAAATAAACAATAATAACAAATGTAAAAAAAAATCTGTTGTCCCTGGACTAATGGTAAAACAGTCATTCTACAAAACACCATTTATGAATGCATAATAAATACCAGAGCTGTGAACCTACACTGGTCTTACGATTTGGTTCGGTTATGATTATCATGCCATCGATTCACTTCAGTTCGATGCTTTACGGTGCATTGGCGATGCTTTCCATATACAGTTTTATCTTTTCTTCACAGCACAGCAATTCTTGTACTAAAATGTATAAATATATTTATATTTACTATTTGTAATACAATTTTGTCCTTTAATACAAACAGTCAGATATATAAACTGTGCCTTTAAACAACATGAGCATTTATAGAAAATAAACAAATATAAATATCCTGCTCGCTTTCTAATTCTTGTCTAGCAAATGCTTTCTTACACCCCTTTGATTGGTCACGCGCTCAACTGAAAAGGCTGCAATTGGCTCTACGCGCTGGCGCTCTTCACAGATGAGTAAAGCTTGGTTTAAACACTGATAAACGGTAGCGGTGATCACAGCTGATCCATGATAGACGCAGTGGAGAATGGGCCACAGTGAGAGAGTGAGAGTAAAAAAGAGAGAGAGAGAGCGAGATGGAGTACTTTCATTCTCTCAACCGCAGTGAAATAGGGGCTTCTGCTGTAAATGTCAGTGAAAGACTGTCCAGCAAAGTAGTTTTTAAGTAGTTGGATTATTGTAAATACTTATGCTTGCCTCCCTCGCCATAGTAAGCTACGGCAACATACCCCATATGAGATAAATAATGTCAGTACAGTACTGGTTATGATTATTACTGTATGGATACTGAATTGTCCGCATCTGCATCGCGGTGCACCAAAGAAACAATTAATTTTGACACCCCTAATAAATACTACTGTCAAATGCAACTGTCAGACAAAATAATCAATAACTATTTGCAAAGACAACATAAAAGAAGCAACAGTAGCATTAATCTTTCAATCAGTATACAATCAAACAACCTTGTGTATAAAAACAGACAAGAAGTTTGCTAACCCTTCATCAAGGTAAGTGTGCAGAGGTCTCACACACACACACACACACACACACACACACACACACACACACACACACACACACACACACACACACACACACACACACACACACACACACACACACACACACACACACACACATTTGTTTTTTGTAAATAGTGGGGACATTACACAGGTTTCCATTCATTTCATACTGTGCAAACCGTATATTGTATTGCCTCCACCCCACCCGTAAACCCAACCTTCACAGGAGACTGTGTGCAGCTTTACTCACTGATTAAACTCATTCTGTAGGATTTATAAGCATTTTGAGAAATGAAGACATCACCAATGTCCTCATATTTCACCTCCTTTTTGTAATACCTGTGTCATACCTATGTCATTATACAGATTTGTGTCTTGATATGTCACAAAAACACGTACACACACACACACACACACACACACACACACACACACACACACACACACACACACACACACTAAACTCCATATAAGAAGAGTCAGAAACTTTGGATGTTTTTCTGGACTGTGATTGATGATCAACAGTAAAAATTACATTTCTTTTTACCTCTTCCCAACAGGGAAAACCAGCAACAATTAGGAATGCATGATTATATGGTGTCATGGCTTTGCAATAAAAAAAAAATCATTATAATGGAGGTAAATGGGGCAAAAACAGCCACCAACATAACGAAAGGGTAGTCAATTTGCCCAGTGTATTGTTGAATTTTTGAAAAATATCTAAAGCATTTTCCCAAAATGTGTGTCAAAATAAGATTTGTCACTAAAAATTAGATTAGATTAGATTAGATTACATTAGATTTAACTTTATTGTCATTACACATGTACAAGTACAAGGCAACAAAATGCAGTTTAGGTCTAACCAGGAGTGCAATAGCAGCAAGTGTAGGATACAGGTATAAGTTATAAAGTGCAGTTATAGAAAAACCATGGTGATGTTTACAGATGGATGTATATACAGGTTGTATTGACTATGATCAGAGATTTACAATAAATAATTTTATGTACAGGTTGCTATTTATAATCAGAATTGTGCAGACAGATAAACAATTACAATTGTATATGTACAGTAAGTATGTAAAGCTCGAATAAATTAATCAGTGCAATGCAGTGCAATGAATATGTGCGATTTTAAATGTGTAAATGTTAAATAGTGCAGTGATTGTGAGGAGTATAAGTTATGAGGAGAGTGGGGGGTGTATTAGGGGGCAAAATAGTCAGTAGGGGGCAGAGTTCAAAAGGGAGACAGCTCTAGGGAAAAAGCTTGGCCTCAGATCAAATCATTCCATTTGCTGAAACACAGAGAAGTTTGTTGCCAAATTAAGACTTAAAATCCCCTCGGAGTGGATGAAAACATCCTCAACAGCACACAAGGGTTAATATTAATGTTGACAGTACTGACTTTTTAAGATCCGGAAGATGATTCAGTTTTGAATTTGCTCTTATTTTCACTATTTGCAACTTTGATTCAGATATGAGCTTATGTTGAGCTGCTGGCACAGAGATCCATCTCAGAGGCCAAGTTTTGGAGAGCTGCACCAGAGCCTCAGTGCTCTTCTGTCTGAGCTTCCACCTCTGGAGGACAGAATGGAGAGCCACTACATCAACCTGGGCCTGGAGGCTGCCAACGATCGACAGGACAGTGCACAAAACCAGGTGGAAAATAAAACAGACTATCTGGATCTGCTTAAAACTGGTGAGGGGTTTGAGGAAAGAGAAGGAAAGTATAAGGAGGGAGAGCAAAAGTATATGTGAGAATAGTTTGCATTATAGATCAGTTCCACACAGAAAAAAAATATTTAAAATGTATGTTGCTTCCTATGCTTTTAATTTGCTGCGATTCATGCCTTTATTTTTATATTTCTTCTCTACACTTTTCTCAAATTGTTCTTTGTACTGTAATTAAAAATCTCAGCAAATGTCCAGAATAAAAAAGAATAAGATTTTTTTTTACAAGTTAATTATAGTTTTATTTATTATGTAGTATCCTTCAGATGATATTTGGACAATTATGCCAAAAAATTAAATGTTCTTTAGATTAATATATTTTTAATTGATTGATCATTTTTTTTGAATATATTTTTACACCCTTGAAAAGGTACAACAATCGATAATTGTTTTTGGCATGTCAATACCAATCATTAAGTTGGTTCTGAAGAAATTAGGCGCACTTGTGTTTTTCAGTCTGTGATGACTGCACTGGAAATAAAGAGAATCTAATATAATCTAGCAGAAATGTTTGTGCTTTGCCCAAACTAAAACATTCTGTCAATTGTTAATCTGAGATATCAAACTCAGAATTGAAAAACAACGTTTATTTTTATGTTGTTGTTTTTATTCCTTATTTTGAATACGGCTGGACAATTACTCGTAAAAGTAATTGAAATCGACATTCAGAATCTATAATCGATCAAATTATTCTGGGTCAGTTTTTTCAATTAGTTTCCCTACCGCATTGTGGTGTCATGTGACCCCGTTCTATTAAGGCTGATTTCTACTTGTGCGTCGAAAGCACAGGTATGGTCCGGCACATCCTTTGCGAAGTCACATACCAGCGCACCTCTCAAAGAATGTTTCGTTTGCACTATGTTGACGATATTTGTAAGCTGCACCAGTGATGCCTTGAGACGGCACATTTTAAATTACAATAAAATTATTATTTACATTAACATATTTGTTTACAGAAGATTCAAGAAATCCACTGTTAAATATTATTTACAGGATATACAAGAGTTATTTTATTTAGAAGAGAGACTGCTTATTTTCTACTTTAATTTTGAAAAGCACTGAAAATAATTTTTTTTTTTTTCCAAAAGTGCAAGCTATTTATTTTCACTTTTTTACAAGAAAGTTGGTTTTAGGTAATGTTTGTTTTAGTTTTAGTTGTTCAACATTGATGTTAAATAAATTATCAGAGAAAGTGGATAGTGTGTGTTTACTTCAATTTTTTTTAAATCAGTAAAGCACCCTTCATTCAAAAATCTCTCACTTGTAATATGTGATCATATTTTCTGTACAAACTTATCAGTGAACTATGAGGGCAAAATAATAAATAAATAAAATAATTGTTTATTAATCGCAGTCAAGCTAAAATGTTCAATTAATCGAGATTTTGATTTGAGGCCAAATCGCCCAGCCCTAATTTTGAATAGTAATAGGCCTATTTTGGCATGTATGCATGCAAAATGCATTTCATACAACAGATAACTATGGCTTTATATGTATATTTTTCCACAACAAATGTTAGAAAAGTTTCCAAAGTCTGTGTTTTAACTTTTTTTTTAACTTCAAGAGTAATCAGCCAATTGTTTTCAGTAAAAAGAAAGGAAATTTATTTAAGATTTACAAGTTTAGATAGATGGGTGGCACAGTGGCTCAGTGGTTACTGTTGCCTTACAGCAAGAAGGTTGCTGGTTCAAGTCTCAGATGGGCCAGTTGGTGTTTCAGTGTGGTTTGCATGTCTTCCCCGGGTTAGGTAGGTTTTCTCTGGGTGCTCTGGTTTCCCCCACAGTCCAAAGACATGAGCTATAGGTGAAATAAATATATTAAATTGGCTGTAGTGTGTGTGAATGTGTATGGGTGTTTCCCAGTACTGGGTTGCGACTGCAAGGGCATCCGCTGCGTAAAACATATGGTGGATAAGTTGGTTCATTTCGTTGTGGTGACCGCTGATAAATATGGGACTAAGCCAAAGGAAAATGAATGAATGAATGAATGAATGAAACTCAAAATTGTTTTTATGTGAGTATATTTTTTCACAACAACAAATGTAAGTTTTTTGTTTTTATGGATGTTTTTTTGTTTGTTTTGTTTTTTGTTATTTTTTACTTGAGGAGAAATCAGCCAAACATTTTGAGTAAAAAGAAGTGAAACTTATTTAAGATTTACAAGTTTATATAGCAGATTTCATTCTCAAAAAGAGGTTAACAGATAATTAATGGCTTATAACTAGGGCCAGACTGAATCTGCAGACTTTTTTGCTATTTCTGCACAGAGTTTTGTAAAAAAAAAAATCAGCAAATTTATGCGGGAGTATCACAACTAAAAAATGTATGTATGAAGTAAAAAATAATACATTTTAAGCATTTATTTAATGTTTACAATGCAAATCCAACTAGATCCACTTATTTGGTTAACAAAGCAAGTCTCTTATATAATAGGTCTACTAAAAGACAGAAAATTCAACTTTACAAACTATATTGTAAATAAATCACATGAACATTTTAATATTAACCATAATGTTACTAAAAAAAACCTGAACAAATATAAATTTAAACAAATAAATAAATAGCAGATTCTGTGTGGACCTACTTACAGTAAAACTAAATACAAATTAATACCAGAAAATCCACTAATACTGAATGATAAAATATAGTAAAACTACATTAGTTTCATCCTGAAGGGGGAAAATCTTGATCCTTTTTGGACTGCAAACACCACCAGATTGATATAAGCCAAAAAGAGCTAATTATATTACTATAATCTAAAACATTATATTAGACCCTACTATTATTATATTATTATCATAATGTTTGTACACTTAAAAACCCTGGGTTTATGTTACCCCATCACAAACCAATTTAGTTAAATTTATAGTTTTGACTAATTTAAGTGGATTGACCATAAAACAATTAAGTTGCACAATCAAGAATTGTGTTTCAGCTTATTTTAAACACAGTTGAAGTCCGAATTATTAGCCCCCCTGCTATTTTTTTCCCCAATTTATAAATATAATAGTTTTAATAACTCATTTGTAATAACTGATTTATTTTATCTTTGTCATGATGACAGTACATATTTTTTGACTGGATATTTTTCAAGACACTTCTATACAGCTTAAAGTGACATTTAAAGGCTTAACTAGGTTAATTAGGTTAGGTTACAGTTTTTCTCAGTCGCTTTGGTGCATTTCTCTCTACACTATTAACATTTGCACAACAGGTCATGCATTTCTCAAAACAATTAGTCATTTGTGCACATAGTAGCAGTTTCTCATTCCTTTCAACAAACTGCAAATGCTTTTGGACACGCATTAATTGTTTTCATACAACTCTGCTGTTTATAACATTATCATTTGCTTATGTCATGTCAGTCAAAATGAACTAAACTTGTAAATGCTGAATAGTCATTCAATATAAAACTAATAGTCCTCATTTCATCACTTGAGTTATTACATACAAAAATGATGAACTTGATGTCAAAATCGGTCAAGCAAACTTTATAAAAAACAATTTAATCTTTATTTTCCTGAAAATGTCTTTAAAATTTAACAATTTGATGATTGATTTACAGACCTGTGTATGTTGTAGGCTCAGTTCCAATATGTACTGCAATATTGTGTACAGTTGTGCACAGCTCAACCTAAAGGGAGTTTATGTTTGTTGTAAATAAGGGTGTATTTATTCTTTTGCACAATGCTGTGAATAAATTAGGATTGTAAAGAGCATCTGCAGTAAAATTGTGAAACATACATATTCAGTGTCTTGTACTCAGATACCTTACTAAATGCAGTGATGTCCAACTTTACTGTAGTTTTCAAATGGCTGTGCAAATAGTATACAGTGCTGTCTTGAGCATTTTCTGCAAGTGTCACCAAAATCAGACTTTTTTTGCATTGAAAAAATGTACAGAGTAAAGTGTCATAATAAAAACATGACTAAGCCATTTGACCATCTTGTTCGTAAACAATGGTGTCAGGACTTTTCATTTTGATGACACTGACACTTTGATTTACATCATTACTTGCTTTAGAGGAATGAACTATCTATTTTGAGCAAGTGACGCGCTTTTGCAGGTTATCAGCTAGGTTTTGCAGTTTGCACTAATTGTTTTGCAGTTTGCATTAACTGTTGTGCAAATGTAAATAGTGTTGTGAGAAATGCACAAAAGCGTCTGAGAAAAACTGTAACAAGGCAGGTTAGGGGAATTAGGCAAGTTGTTGTATAACGATGGTTTGTTCTGTAGACTATCGAAAAAAACATATACCTTAAAGGGGCTAATCATTTTGACCTTAAAACGTTTAAAAAAAAATTAAAACTGCTTTTATTCTAGCCGAAATAAAACAAATCGGCCTCTGATGAAAAATTTCATCAGACATACTGTGAAAATTTCTTAGCTTTGTAAAACATCATTTGGGAAATATTTAAAAAAAGAGCAAAAATCAAAGGGGGGCTAATAATTCTGACTCAACTGTAACGTTAAGTGGTGTGAAGCAGCAAAGTATTTGAGTGTATGATCCAAACACTATGACATATATAAAACAGGCAACTGCTGGATATCATATCTTATGGTAAATTATAATCGTTTTTTTATTGTCCACAACTGAAAACATGTCTTTGGCTTACTAGTAAACACCAAAAAGAATTATGCAGCTACTCATATCGTCTCAGCATTTATGATTCTTGGAACACTTATGGTAATAAAGGTACATTTTAAATAAATAACATAACGATTGGATCTCTTGGGAGTAATATATTTCATCGCTTAGTACCGCTGAGGGACATTTGATACGATCAATTATTCATTCATTTCATCGGCTGAACATCTTGAATATTCTCTGGGTTGAGTCTGAGATCAGTCCGTAATGCCACGTCATCTGATGTCACTGCCGCACCTGCGCAGCCATCTTGTACTTCGAGCGAGGGGCAGATCGGAAGGAAGGAAGAAAAAGCTGAACAAAATAACAGCGTATTGCGTTATATGGTCAGTAATGTCCGTCAAGTGACTGGATCCAACGAGAAGAGCGTATTGAGGTGTGATCGGAGGGGGTAAATCAGAGAAAGCTGCCCCAGTGCCTCTGTAATCCAGACGTACAAGTCATCCTCTTCATCATTATCGCCTCTGCTCGCGGAGAAAAGAGTCCGATCTCCTGCTGAACCCGACGACAACGCCACAAACACGCCATGAATCCTGAATAGTGAGTATTTTAGGCCCGGTGTTGGTTGCGGGTGTCAATGTTTTGTATAATCATGAAGCGTCAGTGTAACTAGCTTTGTCTAGCTTGAACGGCTAACAACGTCCGGAACTAGCGGCGAATTCAGAGGATGTTTGTTGATCTGGAGCCTGTATTTAGATTGTTTATTTATCTAAATGACATAATTGTTTAGTCTTAAACGTTTAAAGTGTAATTTGGTCGCTATTTCGTGTTTATATCACGTAATTTCTGCTTCTGCCGTACTTCGTGACGTCATATTTGGCGTGTTGCGTTGCGACGCAGTGACGTCATTAGTTTACTGACGGTCAGCTGAATCCAGCTGTCAAAATGGATCTCGCATATAAGCGCAAGTGCCCTGTGCCCGCATCACACGGTGTTTTGAACCGCATACGAGCCTGTCATTGTGAGGCGTCCTAGTGTCATGTGGTTTTTATTAGGCCTGTGAATTGAAAGTCGGTCTTACTGCTTGAAGGGGTCATGAAGAGAAGCGTCGTGCTCAGTGATTTCTTAGTAGCATGCGGTCAGTATTAGTTTTGTACTCACACATTCAGATGTTCTCCTTATTGTAATTTCAGAAAATTATTCTTTGCACATTTTAAATAGTGAAATCATATTAGCAGCCAATTACTATCAATGTACAACATTGTTCACAGTCAAACAAATAGTGCTAGTTTTGTTTTGAAGTTATATTTACATGCGATTTCAGACCCAATATTCAAAGTACCTTGATAAACAATATAGGGAGCATGTTACAAGCGGTCACTGAATGAATGTGGGATTATAAAGCCAACTTTAGCTCAATGCAGTCAGTTTACTAGTTTGTAGGTAGTATAAAGATTATTTTTGAATAATATATGAATATCCTGAGGTAAAAATAATATGGAAATTGATTATTGTATTGTGTATCCATTTACGGTTTAACAACTGTATCGATTTAACTAGATATAGATGCTAAAAAAACACAAACATGTTTCAAACACGCCTGTCACTGTGTGAGTTTGCTAATGATCAGTTAAACATGTAATCTTCTCCTCAGACCTGTAAGGACACTCAAACAAACAGATTCATTCATTCATTTTCTTTACGGTTTAGTCCCTTTATTAAGCCGGGGTTTCCACAGCGGAATGAACCGCCAAGTTATCAGCACGTACCTGTACCGCATGTCTTTGGACTGTGGGGGAAACCGGAGCACCCAGAGGAAACCCATGCGAACGTGGGCAGAACATGCAAACTAGCCAACTAGCGTCGCCCCACACCGTCACCCCCAAACAAACAGATTTCACATTAAATTTATTTGTATGAATTGTCAAATTCTGCTTTTAGATTACACCTTTCAGTTGTCTTAAAGGCACAACATGTATTTTTTTATTTAAAAAAATACCTAAAAACCACTAAAGCACTGTTATATTTTTTGGTGGTATATGCTATTTACTCATTCTCAGGCCATACAAATGTTTCATTATATTTCCTCAGTATAACCTTAATAAAGATCTTTAGCTTGGTTTTAAGAAAAGGATTTAAACTGTAATCCATAATTCATAAAACACAATTCATAAAACACAATTCAACATACAGGGTTGTTGATTTAAATCAATACCTAGAGTACCTGCCGATACATTCAATCCTTATGTGATCAGTCTGTGCAAGAAACTAAACATTATTTACAGTATTATTACCCTTAATTCACGGCTTTGCCAAACATTTCTGAGGATGTTCATGACAGTCTGAGAGGTGAGCTTCCTTTTGCATTATGATGTAGATGCAAGCGCAAACTCACAGGTGATCTAAAACTGCTTTTAGGGTTGTCAAAAGTATAGTTTTGTATCTATCAGTACTGAAATAAAAAGAAAATGTCCAATCCAAAATTAAGCGCTGTTGAGCACATTCACTATGTGGCTTTGAAACGGTTCAGTATCTGTGTATCTGTGTTTGCATTTGGTGAACAGCATTGTGTGAACCAATCACAGTCATTTCTATTGAGCACATGAACACGATGGCCAGTCTGCAGTGTTTAGGAATGTATTTAAATGTTAGCTGGAAATTAGCGTTTTTAAAATTTCAGTACCAACTGGTTTCAAACTTGATACTTTTGACAACCCTAGTTTTTATATCTTAAATTTTATATGTATTAAATATCCAGGATAAGCAAAGGTAAGTAACATTTCCGCAAACTAACACACACATTCTTCCTCGTTGCTGTAGAGCAGGGGTTCTCAACTGGTTTGGCCATGGGACCCACATTTTTACATGGTCATCAAGCCGCGACCCAAATTTTTAGGAACTATAATACAATTTTAGGAATTATACTTAATTTGTATTTATTTGTTAACATAAACAAGTAGTGACAGATAAACATAAGAAATTCACCAAGACTTACAAATAATCAATATTTTATTGTTGTCATTTAACAAAATGAATCAAATTATAGAAATATTACAAAGTAAAAAGACAAATACTGTTACTAATAAACTGTTAATAAAACATGTTTTCTGGTTTCTAAATGTTGTTTTAATTTAGAAGGTTTCATGCTCTCATGAGAGCACCTCACTACATATGACACTGAGGCTTTAAGTCTTTTTTTGTTGTCAATATATATATATATATATATATATATATATCCATACTTTACAAATTCGGGGTCGCACTTACGCTTGACATATTTGTTGCAATAATTAAATGAAATTTTTACATGTCAAAAAGTACGGTTGTCACGCACGCATTTCAAAATAAAAGTCTGTTATAAGCTAATATAAGTAAAAAAAAAAAAAAAAAAGTAACTTTTGTTGTTGTTTTTTTTTAACACACTCCGCAACCCACTGAAAATGTTCCCACTTTTGGGTCGCGACCCACCAGTTGAAAAGCATTGCTGTAGATTATCATCTTACATTTGGTAAAGCTGTAGATTAAAAGTAATGCTGTATAGCGTTCAGGTTTTTGCACAAACTGGTCATTTGCCTTCATGAGCCTTCGGTGTATTCTATGAAGCCGTGGGTATTCATTTAGTTTTGCCTTCCTATGTGTTTTTGACACTGGAAGTGCAATAGCAGTTTGCATGCATTTTAACAACCACCAGCTGAAAACCTTTTTAATTGATCTATTCAAGGAAAAAAACACAATGACCTACATCATGAATGACTTGAGGGTGATTAAATTAAGAGCTAACTTTAATTATTAGCGGATGTTTTCATTTAATTAAATTATATGCGCCCGTCAGCTTTGGCCATTGATAAACTTGCTAATATTCTGTTCATGAATATGCTTTTCCTGTCCAAGACTCAGGTTTTCCTGTTGTTTGTGGGCTCAACACCTCTAGCTTTTTTCCCCCTTGACTCATGCAAGCACTCTGTGTATCATCAGAACACTAGCAGACCCTTGATTGCTTCACAACTGTTGTATGGTGCAACATTTCTCAGTTTGTCTAATGTTAGTACTTGAATCCAGAATAGGTCCCTCATTGCAACAGTGTCATCGTTGGAATCACATTGGCTCAGCTGTATTTTGAGCTAGTGGCAGGGGATACTTTGTTTATGCTGATTTTGTTTTGAACCTTCTTCACTGTCAGCGTGATGCTGGTTCCTGGCTGGCGAATCTTGAAATGGCAGTTGATTTAGCAACACTGTAATCTAATGTAGTTTTTTAACCGGTTAATATTTAAGCAGACCTAATGACACTTGATTAATTATACAGGTACAATTAAAAGTATGTTGTTTTTAATTGAAATTAGGCTGACTTAAAATATTACATGTAAAACGTGCAAATTAGGATAAAAGCTTCTAAATGAAAGCTAGAAGCTAACCAAGTTAGGAATAAATACCAAATTAGTATATGGGTCAAGGATGAGATGTGCCATTTTGGTGTCCACATCAAAACCTATTTTTAAAAAAGTGATTTGATATACTTAGAAAGCTTATTAAAAGCAAGTATAGTGCTTGTGCTTTAATGTTTCAAAAGCCTCATGTGGAAAAAAAGGCAAAAATATGGGCGAATGTTGCGTTGTCGTTCAGAGTAACAAATACAATCAATCGCCACCTTATTAGGTACACCAACTGCTTGGTAGCGCAAATTTCTAAACAGCCAATCACATGGCAGCAACTCAATGCATTTAGGCATGTAGACATGGTCAAGACGATCTGCTGCAGTTTAAACTGAGCATCAGAATAGGGAAGAAAGGGGATTGAAGTGACTTTGAATGTGGCATGGTTGTTGTTGCCTGAAGGGCTGGTCTGAGTATTTCAGAAACTGCTGATATACTGGGATTTTCACGCACAACCATCTCTAGGGTTTACTGAGAAAGGCTTGAAAAAGAGAATATATCCAGTGACCGGCAGTTCTGTTGGAGCAAATGCCTTGTTGATGTCAGAGGAGAAGGGCCAGACTGGTTCCAGCTAATAGAAAGGCAACATTGGAAAAACGTTTCCTGGTCTGATGAGTCTTGTTTTCTGCTGCAACATTCAGATGGTAGGGTCAGAATTTGGCGTCAACAACATGAAAGCATGGATCCATCCTGCCTTGTATAAACGGTTAAGGCTGCTGGTGGTCGTGTAATGGTGTGGGGGATATTTTCTTCACACAATTGAGCATCCTCTCATCGTCACAGCCTACCTAAGTTTTGTACTGACCATGTCCATCCCTTTATGACCACAGTGTACCCATCCTCTGATTCCTACTTCCAGCAGGATAACGTGCCATGTTATAAAGCGCGAATCATCTCAGACTGGTTTCTTGAACATGACATTGAGTTCAGTATACTCAAATGGCCTCCACAGTCACCAGATCTCAATCCAATAGAGCACCTTTGTGATGTGGTGGAATGGGAGATTCGCATCATGGATGTGCAGCCGACAAATCTGCCGCAACTGCGTAATGCTATCAAGTCAATATGGACCAAAATCTCTGAGGAATGTTTCCAGTACCTTGTTGAGTGTTGCCATGAAGGATTAAGCCAGTTCTGAAGGCAAAAGAGGGTGCAACCCCATATTAGTGAGGTGTACCTAATAAAGTGGCAGATGAGTGTATATTTATTTAAATGTAAAGTTTGTTTTTAAATTAAGAATTTAAAAAAGGTAAAACCTAATGATCTGAAGGATAATAGTAAAGATTCAGATTATTTATATTTTGATTTATCCTTTTAATATCATAAAATTATTATTAAGACAACATTATTTTAGTATATAAAACACTATAAACTAAATATTTAGTTTCTCCTAAGAAATAAAAGAATATTATACAAATTCTAACAACAAGACTTAAGTTGGTTTTATAGATGGGTGATCTCTTTTTGTCATTGACCTATATAATACTTTATGAAACACTGTACTTTACATTAAAACAGGAGGTACACTTTTTAATATCATAATATATAAAACCTAATTTACCCCCCAAAAAATCTTGATCTATTTAACGTGTTTTCTGTTTCTCCTTCTTAGTGACTACCTGTTCAAGTTGCTCCTCATCGGTGACTCTGGAGTGGGAAAGTCGTGTCTGTTGTTGAGATTTGCTGTGAGTAAATGCACAGATGGGTTGTTTCGTCAGCTTTTGCTGCAAGACATCAATTAAATCACTTGAAGTCATGCAGTTTGAAAGGATATCGAGTTTTTATATCCTATAATAGATCACAGCTCGAGCGTAGAATATCAACAACTATAACAAGATTATTATTTTTTTGTTCTGCAGGATGACACATACACTGAGAGCTATATCAGCACCATCGGCGTGGACTTCAAGATCCGCACCATTGAACTTGATGGCAAAACCATTAAGCTACAGATAGTAAGTACATTCATCCTTTCTCATAACACTTCTTTTTTTTCTACAAGTTTACAGACAGCTTGACAGTCTATAGAAAACTTAAGAATTTTAAATTAGACCCTTTTACTAAAAGCACATTGTTTGACATGAGTGTTTTTTTCTTGTACTCTCTAGTGGGATACTGCAGGGCAAGAAAGATTTCGAACTATCACCTCCAGTTACTATCGAGGGGCTCATGGAATCATTGTGGTTTATGATGTGACGGATCAGGTATGTTTTCTCCCTTGTTTAGACCAAATTTAACAAGTCGCTATTTGCAACTAAATAATGAATTGCTGTTTATAAAATGGTACTTTAGTTTTGAGCTTTAATGACATGTTTACCATATTTAGTTCAGGTTTGGTGCTTGTTAATTTTTGGTGATTGCTAACACTGTTATTAATTTTGTAGTATTTAAGTATGTGCTATGTGCCAGTTAGCCTTTTTTTCTTAGTAAGTTGTAGTAAGTCTGACTTGCAATTTTATTAAAATTATTTATTATTCATTTTAAATGATTTATATTTAGCTTTGTATTAATTTGAGTACTTTATGTATTTTAAAATGTGATTTCTTTTTATTTAATCTAATATTTAGATTGTATTTTATTTCAGCTGTTGAAAGCAAACTTTAAGCCTGATTTATACTTCTGCATCTAGTGATTGCTGTACGCTCACTGCACATATTGCATGCAGCTAATGCTATTACGAGCATTTATGCTTTTTGTCTGTGCTGCACTGGCAATAACACACCAGAAATGCTAGTTGGTAGTGGGGTGTGTAAACCCTTCATTGTGCCATTTTTTTATTTTGCTAGTTTGGCTTTAAACTGCATGCTACTGTTGAAGTAGCTCAAACTCACACTCATTCAGCAATAAAAGATTCAGAATCCAGCAAACGTTCAACAATTTTAATTGTAAAAATTGCAATTGAAAAATGTTATTCGTGAGTGCCGCTTTGTGTTGCCATCACAGAGAGGCTGTAAGTCTGTTTCCAAAACCTTTTCATTCTCTGTTCCTCGCTAGTGGAATGATCTTTCCATTCCCACACGCACTGCTGATTGAAATGTTTCCTTGGCTTATATTTTTATATATTGCTCAGCATAAATGTGTACACCCCCTTTTTAAAAAAAGAAAAAAAGTTATACATTTTTCTGAATGTAGCCAATAATTTAAACAAGACAGTTACACAAGTGTACTAAAATACAGTGGTCACTGAAATAGCTTTCAAATTGTGGTTCAGCACTGAATTAAAATACTTCAAACTAATGAAATTTGCCGGGACAAAATTGAATGGTACCAACATTCAGTGTATATTCATTAAAATAAGCATTTAGCCACCTAACATTGAATAGAAAGGTAATTCTTTCTTTTTTTAAACCTTTAAATTCAAATTATTTATTGATTCAAAATTAAATAAAATTTAATAAATTTAAGATTCAAATGAGTTATTGATTTGTTTTATTTTTTAAACTATACAATTTTAGTCAAGTTTTATATTTTTATTTTTCTCCCTTAAAAAAAATGTTTATTAACAATTAATTTAATATTTTTCCCCAAAATATTACTTTGAGTGTACTCCTTTTTAGACTGTGATCTTACAATATTTAGTACAATTTGTCCAGTTTTGGCATTGCTACTCACCAATCTTTATATATATGCACAAATATAATATTGTAAAGCTTAAAAAGCTTAAAGAGGTCTTCATTTATGCTGAGGACTGTGTGTATATACATATGTGTACACTTTTGAATTTTGTGACTTGCAGGGTTGAAATGAAGAGTTGTTTTGTCTTTTCTGCTCTCTCTATAGGAATCGTATAACAATGTTAAACAGTGGCTTCAGGAAATAGACCGCTACGCAAGCGAGAATGTCAACAAGCTGCTGGTGGGGAACAAATGCGACCTCACCACCAAGAAAGTAGTGGACTACACAACAGCCAAGGTATTAATGCCTCAATCGAGACACATCTTATCTTATTTAGTAGCTTTGTTTCCCTTATTATCAAATCTAAGTGGACTTTAAAATCCCAATTGTGTCCATTTTTTAGTGACATTTGGTAGCATAATGCCTTACGTGTCAACATTGGATTGTAAAAAGCCCCCCTCTAAATTACGACATATGTTCATCTGTAGCTTTTTCCGTTGTAAATAAACAGTTAAAATGGTCAGTAATGTTTTTTTAATGATATTATTATATACAAAGGATAGAATAAATAGTACACATTAGAAAAAGCTGCAAATAAATTAGCAAACAGTTTAGCCTATTAAAATTAATAGCTATTATAAAGAAGTTGAATCAAATCTCATTAATCTTTTCTTCACTGTTTAATTTTACATTCTGATTAAAGAGCAGAGAATGAACTTTTCATATAGTTTTTTTTTTCATTTAATTACATTAAATAGCAGAGCTGTCACTTTTTATGCTCATTTAAGGCTAAATTTGTTGTGTTTAAAAGAAAACCCACCATTATCAACATGTTTAAATATTTTATTATTATTATTATTATTATTATTATTATTATTGTGTATATGTCTGTTCAAACATGCTCCCAAAACCCAGAGTCCACTTTCGCTCTGCTTCAAATCGCGTGTACAGAATCCGCATCTGACAGTCACGCACCGCTACATGAACTGACTGTTTAGAAGATTGCATTGGAGGGGCAACAGCACCAGTAATAGAAAGGATGGGAAACCCGCTGTTTTTATTTACTTTCAAGTGTTTTCATGCCAAAATAAAATGAAAGCATAGAATAGATTCACATTTAAGAGCAAGAAGTGTCCCATAGTGGTTCAGCGGCATGGGTTGTGTATAGGGAGGATCGACCCTTTAATGTTTAATGCCACCCTTTATAGAAAGATAAAAAATATGGGAAAATACCTTTACAGGAGGATGGCGGGATAGAACTGTAAAATACAGGAGAATCCCGGGAAAAACGGGAGGGTTGACAGTTATACATAATGCATACACTGTTTCTCTAATGCGTCCGCTAGGCATGGGCCGGTATAAGATTCTGATGGTATGATAACATTGGATAAAAATATCACATCTTCTCTTTTTAAATGTCTGGATAAAAGACAAACACCTTTTTCCCCTTTTAAACACAGAATATTTTATTTTGAGAAGCATTTAACATATTTTGGAGCAGTCAACATGTCATAACATGCTTAATAATTCAAACAAATTGCTGATGTCTTCATTTATTTCAAAAACAGATTTTTGATGATGGTAAACGATGAAATCATTATCACATTTACACCCATATGCATGCTGATAAAATGGCTCTCTTGCTTTTGTGAGATTACCTACAATTTTTTTTTATGTAAATATATTTAAATAACTTTTAACAAAATCAAATCCCTTGCAATTAATTGTATTTAATTTCATTGACTTTAAATATATGATCATTCAAACTGCATTCTAGTAGGTTTTATAACTCACTGAATGCTTGGACTCCCCAACTGTGTTTCCGACACATTTTTGGGAGCAGTTTTAGCTGAAAGTTTATTTTTGCAGAGTGTGTGACCTACTTGATAGTGTCAGCTTTTACATGATTAAAACAAGTAAATCTCACACACTACTAGCGCATACTGCAGTTTTGTGTTCTGCTCTAACTTTTTAAAGCAGGATGGATTCAGATTGGCTGTTTATGCTTTATCTGATTCCAGGGCTGGATAATTTGATCAAATTAAAACCTTGATTGATAATTAAACTTTTTACCTCGATTGCGATAATTGAACGAGTATTTTCATTTTCAATTAACCTCCACTATAGTTCATTAAAGGTTTGAACTGTAAATATACTCAAATATTAAAGGTGGAATTTTTGTTCTAGTGAAAGAGCAAATTTCTTATCTTTGAAATATTAAAATAATTGATAAACTATTAAAATAATTTATGAATTAATGAAACACTTAAAGCAAAGTGCACATTGCCTAAAATGAAGATGTCTTGTGAAAAAAGTTACACTTCAGTTTAATTTTAAGGCAAGTTTACCCAAAAAATGTCAAATAACTTACATTTTTTTACAGTATTGAATATTTTGAAAAATAAAATAGGTTATCCTTGGGGTCTTAAATTTCAAAAACAAAATTTTAGGCCTTAAGTCTCAACTTCACTGAAAAAATTTCTTGTAGGTCTTAAATAATTTTAAACGGGTCTTCATTTTTCTCTATGTAAAGCTACTCGGTGGATCCAGCACACATCCAATCACTAACAATACATCTCAATAAAACTTTTAGAGTATTCATAACTAATATTAAAACAGTCTGTTGGGCATACATTTAGTTTTAAAAAGCTCAAGTTATGTTAAAAAAATGTATGTATAAATCTAGGGTCTGCTTGTTTTGACAAATTATTTAATATATGTGGCTAAGAAATAACTAGGCCTAATTATAATTTGTTTTTGATGGGGCAAGTACATTTTTCTGCTGGGCTATTAGCCCTGAATACGTCTGAAATTTCATTATTCATTGTCTTAAAAAGTCTTAAATTTGGCCTGGTGGAACGTGCAAAAACCCTGTGTAATGGTTATGGTAATACATGGGTACTGGCCTTTGAGCTGCCACCATTTCTGGTCAATTCTGAAGAAGCTGACAACTAAGAATATGATTTACATGCAATGTGTCCATTATCTGAGGTATGAGATACTCCCATGTTCTCATGGCTTGCATGTATGAGAGAGACAGAGTGTGAGTTCATAAATCGTCAGATATATGCTGTGCATTCACTGATATAGACAGTAATAATTGCTTTCACTGCCCTGTCAGCGACAGTTCAACAACAGATAATTGAAAATATATCTGCACAATAATTATTCTTAGCCTACATCTCAATCACTGGTGAGTGAAATGTAATGGTCCATTTGCCATTGGCTCACGATAGACATAATCCGCTTGTTAAGTGGTGACGTGTTGGTGATGTATGTAATACTGTTTCCGGGTCCAAGCCGCCATTTATTTGAGTGGAGAAATCATTCGTTTATAATCACGTTTTATTCCTATCACACATTAAAGTTAATTTTACATAAAGTCATAGTGTACACAACAATCCCTGGGCTTGCTGCATTACAAATACCAAAAATGTAACAATTTATAAAAAAATGAATCACTTTCTGGCCATCCGATATTAGGCATGGACATATATACTGAGATCGTGATTTTCGAAAGTATTAAATCGCTTTGTAAACGTTTATTATTACCATTTCATGAGTCTCCCCATTCAGTTGAATAGAGCGCTTGGACCAGGAAGCCGCTTCGCGTGACGTCACACTTAACAAGCGGATTTTGTCACCACATTGTAAAATTAGCTTGAATATGCGAGGGATTTTCTCAATGTAGAGGATGAGCAGCAATGCATGTACAGGTAAAAATGTTTTTAACACACCACTCACAGTGTGATATTGCTATAAACGACATGAGCACAAAGCTCAAACACGTCCATTTAGTGCAGAAATCACACGTTGGTAAACTGTAAGGGGACATTATTAACAGGATTAATAAAAGAAAATAACATGCATAGAGGAAAATATGTTGGTTAGAGTTCTTGTTTTTTTTTGTTTTAATTTATTTTCGACTAATGGTCAAGCCCTTATTTTAACTGTGAAAGTGATTACAAAAAGTCAAAAATCTTTTTTTAAATATTGCTTGTTTGAAATTTTTTAAATTATCCGCCTAACAACCGCAATATTAAGTAGTGTAAAATCTTCTCGTTTACCAATTTCGTTCTGTGTGCGAAAGACCTATTAAATGCAGTGACCAGACTGTACCTGTTAACCTGAGGCTGATTTATACTTCTGCATCAAGCGCATGCATATGGTCTGATGCATAGCCCTCATCGTGGCTGACACCAGCGCTGATGCGTAATATAGATTTTAGGGTTCAAAATGACCACCTCAAAGGAGAGGCCAAGTCGGAGCACTCACTCTGGTCTGGTCCCCCAGGCTGTGTGGTGGTTGGGGAAATTCCTATTTGAATTAAATCAATCCATTACAGTTAGCTTAAGTTTGGCAAACTAAATTCGGGACATCGCAACCTGCAGAACCTGGGTATTTTTTAAAAAATGACCACCTCAAAGACTAAAAGTTAAACTCTTTAAATGTGTGTGTAAATGTGAAGATTGTAAAACAGCTACATGGCTATCAAATATTGAACAGGAGCTCTTCTCAATTTTCAATTCAAAATCTTAGGTAAATACTCAATTGTTGTTCTTATAGTGGCTATTAAAGTCATGCAAAATTATATTCATGCCAAAACCATTTTAATCTTCTGCAAAGTGGCCTGTTTTATCATTCATTTGATGTCATGAAAATTCTGCTTTTTAGTCAGTGATTTTCTTTGCTATTTGACTCAGAGTTTTCATGGGCTGGTATATAAGATTCTGATGGTATGATAACCTTGATATAAATATCATGGTTTCATGATATCACGGTATTGTGATTACTGCTCTAATATATGTTCTTTTAAAATGTCTGGGTAAAAAAAAACAATTCCCTTTTTCCCTTTGTACGCAATAAATTTTAATTTGGGAAACATTTTAAGTATTTCGGAACAGTAAACATGTCAGGCTAAATAATTTAAATGAATTATTGATTTCTGCTATCTTCAGTTGTTTCAAAAATACAAATTTCTTTACATTTTTAAAATGGCATCTTTGGAGATCTTTTCTGCAGGAGATACTGCTGACCTAAAAAACAACATCAACAAAAAAAAAGTAAATAAAAAAAATCACCTTTACCTTAGGAGCGGTATAGCAAAAATTTTAACAGTTTTAAAAACTTGACTTTTCCAAACCGCGGTATACCTTGAAAACGGTTATGGCCCCATGCCTACTCAGAGTATGGGAACCCTGGTGATTCCAACAATATTCTTATATCATTATTGTTATCAGTATAGTTCTTATCCTTGCTGTAAGAGTCTTGTCTACAGTCAATTGTTTTTGACACTTACAGAGAAATGGCAAGAATGAGGTTTGACATAACAAAGCGTTCTGAAATGTCTCATTCTGGTTCTTTTTTTGCCTCACAGGAATTTGCTGACTCTTTAGCAATTCCCTTCCTTGAGACGAGCGCTAAGAATGCCACAAATGTGGAGCAGGCCTTCATGACTATGGCTGCTGAGATCAAGAAGCGTATGGGCCCTGGAGCGACAACCGGAGGAGACAAGCCCAACCTGAAGATCGAGAGCACTCCTGTGCGGCAGTCTGGCGGAGGCTGCTGTTGAACAGCTTGAGCGTGCGCGCGCACACACACACAAAACCATCCCTTACCCCTTCAAAAGCATTTTCTCACACACACACACCAAAAAAAAAGCATCATGGGAGGAACCACTGCATTAAGAGCCAACGTCTAACAGCCTCACGGCTTCATTTATAACATCATAGTCTCCTTGTTTTTATTCTCCTTTATTTTCCTCCCCGTGCACATTAATAACCCCGCCCACATCTGTAACCCCGCCCCCTGTACGTAAAGTCCAGGATGGGACTTCTGTAGTCATTTGTCCATGTAAAGAACCAGATGTCTTCATGAGAAGCAGGTCCAGGGGTGATTGGAAAATCCTCCTTTTAAACAACTAGGGAGGATAAGAAAGTCTCTCTAGTATGTCTATTTCTGTCTCACGTTGTCACTTGAATGAGGTTTTGTGGCGAAAGCATGGCTTCTGAGGCTGAAGTCAGCTGCAAAGTCGGCAATATTCTATACTTGTTCTCATCCTACTAGTATATTATTGTTATTATGGTGATTTTTAAGACTGATTTGTTAGTTTTTTTTTTTTCCTGTAGGTTTTTGTTTTTCTAATGAAGGCTTGTACAAAGGCTTACTGCTGTCAATGACATAGTCCGGTTAGGGACAGGGACGGAAAGGGTTGTTTATAATCTGGATTTGGAGGGGTCTAGGCTTAAGGCTGGTTGTTGAATGCTACTGTTCCCTCTTTTACCTCAATGACCTCTGCTACTTTTGAGTGCACAGCCATCGCAGGTTAAAAATGACTGCACGAACACCATATTGACACGCGCTGGGATTGTATCCTCCTGTGATCAACAGTTTCGTAGCTTTGAGATCGATATTTTCGTGTCATTTTACCATCAGGTTGAGTCGTCCCATTGTTCTCGCTGCTGCCAAAAACGGTCCATCTTTGTGCGTCGTATTTATTTACGTTCGGTAAATATATTTGCATATTTGTGAAGGGCCTTAATTTCACCACCAATGAAAGCGTGGTGGTTCTACGAATCCGGTTTAGCGTAGGATTGTTGTGTAGGAATATTGGGATTGACTGGTCCAGTGTTGGAGACCGGATATGACCTCCCATGTTCTTCAAGGAAAACTCTTAGTTCGTACGCATAGATTCTAGCCTACAACTTGTAACTTTTCTCAAATTTTAATGGTCTAGAAGCTCATTCAGATGTTGCCTTTGAATCCCACATGGTTGCATTTAGCAAATTTACGGAAACCACAAATGATTGGACCTGCTGACAGTGTTTTTTTTTTTTTTTTTTTGACCTGGCTGTTTTATTATGTGCAACGTAGAGTTTGTGAACTTCACTAGTATTAGTGCATCACTCTTGTCTTAATTAGGATAATCTCACTCTCATTGTGATGTTAGATCACTTTCTGAGCCATCGTAATCTAGTTTTTACACCACTAACGTCTGCCAATACTGACATCATCACTAATGTTTTGTGGTGGATTTCCTCGTACTATTTTTGTAAGGTAGCGTCAGGTTGGAGGGAGCAGTAGCAGGGATTATGGGTGTGTGTGCAATGGCTGGGATGGGCAAGGGGCAACTGCAAAAGCGGCGTTTGGGAACATTCCTTTGATTTTAAAACAGGTCCGTTGTGGATCCCGCGTTACGTCTGTGTGAAAAGAAACCGTATATGAAAGTCTCATTTAAACCCTGCACTCATTCACACACTAAACAAGTGCTTTTTTCGGGGGGATGTTTTGAAAAGGGGTCATTGTTTTCTCTGAAGGTTTGCTGTATTTCTCGATTTCGATGAAATGTGTCGGGGTTGAGGAAAGATGAAGATGGGTGTGGGGGTGGGGGGTTGTTGCTTATGAATGTGATGGAGCGTTCTTCGTCTTATCATTTTTACTTTCTACCCATGTCGTTTGCACATCTAATTTAGTTTGAATTAAGACACAGCGATGGTAAAATGGCAAGCACCCTCTTTAGTAGTTTCCCTGTCTAATATACACGCTCTTCTCTATCCCCCTTTGCTTGCTCACCCCCGGTGCTGTTTCATAGCTGGGTTTGATCTTGTTTTCTCTTCTCTGTACATATTATAAATATATATAATAAAATGATCAACATGAGACTTAACGACGGCGTTCTCTGCGTGCATTTCTGCTCTGTCGAGTGAAATATTGTGTGGGTGGTGAGGCGAGTATCACTTCCTGTGCTAGAGATCGTTTAGCTGCAATGTATTGATGTCAATTTTAATGACAAAATGATCATTTTGAATGGACTGGATAAATCTAATTGCTTTATCATCCCATTACTGTATCTAATCAAAAAATCATGAGAATCATTATTTTAGAACAATGAGGACAAAATAATTTAATTTGACGGTACACATCTGGATGCATTACAACAGTAATGATAATTGAGAGGAAATGTGTCTAGCTGTCATGAAATTAATGTCATATTTTCTTTATATACATATATATATATATATATATATATATATATATATATATATATCCAATCACAAGGCAGCAGCTCAATGCATTTAGGCATGTTACATGTGTTAGGCATGGTCAAGATGAGTTCATTTCAAAAACTGTAGTTCATACTGAACATCAGAATGGAAAAGAAAGGTGATTTAAGTGACTTTAAACGTGGCATGGTTGTTACTAGACTGGCTGGTTTGAGGTTTTCATAAACTGCTGATCTACTGGGATTTTCCCACACAACCATCTCTATAGTTTACAGAGAATGGTCCGAAAAAGATCAAATATACAGTGAGCTGCAGTTCTAAGGGGGCAGAGGTCAGAGGAGAATGGCCAGACTGGTTTGAACTGATAGAAAGGTAACAGTAGCTCAAATAACCACTTGTTACAACCGAGGAATGCAAAAAGCATCTCTGAATGCAAAGGACGTCCAACCTTGAGGCGGATAGGCTACAGCAGCAGAAAACCACACCTGGTGCTCCTCCTGTCAGCTAAGAACAGGAAACAGGCCACAATTCCCCACAGTCTGAGTATTGTTGCTGACCACTTCCATCCCTATATGACCAGAGTGTACCCATCTTCTGATGGCTACTTCCAGTCATGTCCAGTCAAGTCCATGTCATAAAGCGCAAATCATCTCAGACTAGTTTCTTGAACAAGAAAATAAGTTCACTGTACTCAAATGGCCTCCACAGTCACCAGATCTCAATACAATAGAGCACCTTTGGGATGTGGTGGAATGGGAGATTCGCATCATGGATGTGCAGCCAACAAATCTGCAGCTACTGCGTGATGCTATCAAGTCAATATGGACAAAAATCTCTGAGGAATATTTCCAGTACCTTGTTGAATATATGCCATGGAGGATTAAAGCAATTCTGAAGACAAAAGGGGCTCCAACCAGGTAAGGTGTACCTAATAAAGTGGGCGGTGAGTGTACAGTATGTATGCGTGTGTGTGTGTGAGTGTATATATATTTATATACACACACACACAAATATTATACAGTTTAAGTCAGGATTATTAGCCCTGCTGTTTATTTTACCCTATTTTCTGTTTAATGGAGATGTTTTTCATCACATTTCTAAACATAATAGTTTTAATAACTCATTTCTAATAACTGATTAATTTTATCTTTGCCATGATGACAGTGAAAATTTGACAATTTATTTTTCAAGACTCTTCTATACAGCTTAAAGTGACATTTAAAGGCTTAACTAGGTTAATTAGGTTAACTAGGCAGGTTAGGGTAATTAGGCAAGTTATTGTATAATGATGGTTTGTGCTGTAGACTATCGAAAAAATATATAGCTTAAAGGGGCTAATAATTTTGACCTTAAAATTGTGTTTAAAAAAAATTGTGTTTAAAAACTGCTTTTATTCTAGGCGAAATAAAACAAATTAGACTTTATCCAGAATAAAAAATATAGGAAATACTGTGAAATATTCCTTACTCTGTTAAGCATTGTTTTGGAAAATATTTGAAAAAAAAAAAAGGAAAAAAAAGAAGCAGTTGACAGGAGAGCTAATATTTGAGACTTTAACTGTGTGTATAAAAATAGACTTCTATAAATGGGTAACGCAGCTCTTTTTTTTTTCACCCTTTATATTACAATACCGTTTATTTTTTTTTACTGAACAAGTTTGATGAATACAGGATTACAGTGCAGCCACAAAATCTTTCCTCTTCTTTAAAAGTCTACATTTTACTCTTTTGTCAGCAATAAGTTTTAAATGTCTTAAATATAATATATTTGATCAATTATTAATATAATTGACTTTATTTTTTTACATCCAATAATTGTATTGTTTCAGCTTTATTCAATTTGGCTATTGCATGTTTTAGGCCGTTTTTAATATAACACTAGCACTGCTGCAGGTAACCTGCAGTATGTTCTAAGTGCTTATTTTGGCAGTTAACTCCACATAAGCAAAGCACAGAGCAGATTGTACCATGCGACAGCAGATGAATCCTCCTCCTCTTTGTGTGCCTATCCGTCTCCACCTAGTGACCTGTTAATGATCTGAAAAATTACAAACCTGTAAACAAAATATAAATAGCATATTTCACAAGTGCTTAAGTAATACTTAATGTCCATTTTTTTCTATAAAAATCAGATAATCTTTCTTAAATAAGCATGTATTTTGCTTTTGCTCAATGCAGTCGTCCATTATACTGTTCTATTAGATGACTAAAATAAAAATACAGTAAATATAACCTCATATTTGACCTCTTGATGGATTTACTATGTCTCGTGGGCTTGTTTTCATCTCTGCACTGACACATTGAGAGGGAGGGAGGCGTGTGCACGTGTAGTTTGGGGTGAGCAAATGACCTTGAGTTATTTATAGCCAGTCAGAGTAACTGCAGTCAGTGTGCAGGAATGTACCGTTCTGCTCAGACTCCCGGGAGAGAGAGAGAGAGAGCGAGCAAGAGATGGGATAAAAGCGCATGCAGCATCCCTCTTCTCCCTCTTTTTCTAATTTCTCAATGTGCCAGCTCATCACATTCTCTAAACCGAGACCCTGAAAATGTAAAGAGATCCGAGCAATCCTGTGCAGCTCATGCATCATTACACACACAAACTCACGTGGATGCTAAATTTAAGCTGCTGTTGTTTTTCTGGAGGAGAGCTGGTTGACAGCTTTGTCTTCATCCTTTTGCTGTTTTATTATTCTCTCACTTTATTTCATAGATGCTTATATATATATATATATAT